ACACCCCTTGCACCATTCAAGCTGGTCCATAGTTAAAAACTCTTTCCTGAATGCAGAAATCTTCTAATCCTAAAATCCTAACCTCAAAATTTTAATATCATAACCTCAAAATCTTAAAATATTCAAGGAGTCTTCAGGAAGAACATTTGAAGCTTTAAAAAATTGTGAATCTGCTGTTCCAAAATATTTTTGTCAAGCCCCTTCAAAATACCCCCAAAACCACTCCTCATTGCATCCTCCATTTCCCCAAGCCCCAAAGCAGCTTACAAAACTATAAACTATCTCGTGTATCTTTTCCCATACCTTCAAACTTACAAATATGCACGTGGCTACAAAAAAACTTCTTCATCCTTACTTGCTTGCTTGCTACTAGTTGGCTCGATTATGTATAAAAACTATTGCCACATGAGATTTTTTTTATTCTGTCTCATTTTAATTTTTTATGAATTTTTTTTTTGCTTAACTTTTATTTTGATGCTCGAGGCATTTTTAATAAATTTTTGCTTGTAAGTTTTTTTTGGTATGATCTTTGGCTTTAAAGGTAGAATAATGTAGGATTTTTCGTTGTGGTTTGTGAAGCTTTAAAGTTTGGGACGTGATAACTTGTTGGATTTAATCGATAAGTGTGAGATGGCTCCAATACGGTTCATAAGGACTATGTAAGGTTTTTTTTTAAAGTTTTTGGGGTTTTTATTAAAGAATTATAAATATATATTAGGAATTGATATAGCTTTTTGAAAGGAGGAGGCTCTAGACACCAAAGGATACTGATTATGGATTAATAAAACTCGTTTAATCTGAAAACTGATAGAAATATTCCAAAAAACACTTTGTTTACCGCATATTTGACATAATTTCAAAATTAAATGAATCATGTCATATGAATCATGTTCAATATCAATTATGTAAACTTAAACAAATTCTTACTCCTTTTTTCGATAATTATTATCAACAAAATTGTATTAACAAAAAAGAATTATCAGCAAAAATAGTCAAAAGTCCAAAAATTAAGTAATGAATTGACATACAAAATTTATGCTGATAATGCTGCATATGCATTATCATAAGAAATATGTAAACATCTTATTTGTTAAAAATTCAGAAAAAATATGTAATAAAAATCAGTTCTATATTCAGAACCCTCAAAACAAGATGTCCTATCGATTACTTAAAAAGTTTAAAAAAGTTCTTATAATTCAACAGCAAGTAGAGAGCACCCCAAAAGGCTATCTACTCTGCAAAAAAAAGTGAAGTGAAAATAAAAATCAAGTGCAGCACAAGACATTTAACAATCGTCAATCATCAAGTAAAAATTCGATAAAAATAAGCAAAATCAAGTTCAACACGCGACATTGAATATTCATTAAGCATCAGCATTTATTTCATCGTCGACATTCAAGTAACAAATCGAGTGAAAATAACGCAAAATGAATTCAAAAGAAGCCAAAGCAGTCATGTCAGAAGTGCAGACTGAATACAATCAGCTTGGAAAAACTTCTTGAAAAAATTGGGAAGACCAGCACAGAACGAAGAAAGAGATCCACCGTGGAGAGTTTTGAAGCTGAACGAGCATAGATTTGGGAGAAAACTCGTGACCCACAACAATGTAATCGTAAAAGCACAGCCTCCACCGGAGTATCAGGACAAAATCGACTTGTTTAAAGAAAACAAACAAGAAAATAACGGAGAAATTACGTGCATGAAGCAGAGGAAGCGACTCAGTCGGCATAGCTCCGTTTAGATACACGGAATTAAGTCCGAAAACCGCATTAATAGAGACATCAGCAAATATGAACTGGAATTACTTGGTAGACGATAAAAACAATCAGGCAGCTCAAAATGAAGAGACTGGCCAACAAACGACTATCGAAATACCACCCACGCTTACAATAACACCAGCACATCAAACGCTATTGGTCCCATCATTGATGTAGCAGCAAATAGCAGCGCCTGCAACTTATGCAACTTCACAAACAACGATGAGCTCCGAACAATGACATAATATCATCCAAGTTCTTTGATGCCAAAGGGAACGTCTGCAAATTAAATACAAAATCAATAATACAGAGTAGACAAAACACAATTCCAAAAAATGAGTTGGATGCCCTACAAACACTTAGCTTATTGTTCGTCAAGATGTTACCCGCATTTGATAGACAGCATATTCAGACAAAAAAACCGTAATACACTGGGTAAAGAGTCAAAATTACCACTCAAATCAGTTCATACAACAACGAATAGAAAAAATCAGAGAGGTCATCGGTTCCGACAATCTATACTATGAAAAATCAGAAGAGAATTCTAGCGATATCGGCTCTCGCTCAGCAACTCTACCAACACTAATTGAAAGCAAGCTATTGCTGCAAGGAGCTCCTTGGATCAACGACGAGATCCTACCAAATGAATCAGTAGAAACAAGGGAAGTCCAATGCTTATTCACTTACGCAGACAGCGACCCTAAGTTGATAGAAGAGTCAATCATCAATCCACATAAAAGCTGGATTTCTATCATACGATCTATTGCATTTATTATGAGATGGAAGAACGGAAAAAAGGAAAAAGCGAAAGGAAAAGTTGACAACCCCTTACAATACGAAAAACACTCGCCATTCAGCGCTGACAAAATAAAAGCAAGTAAGAAATCCTCATTAAATACGAGCAAAACCGTATCCTTGGAGAAGAGATCCAACTACTAAAGGAAAGAAAATTGGTAAAAAAGGGTCACTGGCTATATAAAATTATGCCCCATAATCGATGAAGATGGAATTCTTCGTTTGGGAGGAAGACTTAGTAACGCTCTCATACCAAATAGTCACAAGCATCCAATCATTCTACCAAAAACCGAGCTCACATCAAGACTAGTTGAATATACGCATCGACTAAGTATGCATGCAGGGGAATCAAAGGTCTTACAAATGCTACTTCCTGAATACTATATACCAGGAATAAAATCAGCAGTTCACAAAGTCAAACGGAACTGCATAAACTGTAAAAGATACGACGCAAGAATTGTGCAACCGCAGATGGGTCAACTACCTAGAGTACGAGTCGAACCTGCCGCACTGTTCCAAAAAGTCGGAGTTGATCTTTGTGGAACATTCACCATACGAGCATCTACCTTAAGAGGCTCAAAAACCACAAAAGCCTATCCGTTTTCGTATGTTTATCAACAAAAGCCGTTCACTTAGAACTGTTAGGCTCACTTTCGACAGAAGACTTCCTAGCTGCACTAACAAGAATGAGCAGCATAACAGTGATAATGGAACTAACTTCAAAGGAGCAGCTCGAGAAATAGGAGAAGCCTGGAAGAAAATATTAGACGACAGTGAATGAAAGCTGCAGTCAAAGAAATCAAATGGAACTGGACCCCGTCACAGTCCAACTTTTGGAGGATTATGGGAAGCTCAAGTAGGTGCACTTAAGTACTTTACAAATCGAATGAGCTCAATCGCGAATCTACACTACGAACAATTCTACACAGCATCGTGTCAAGTTGAGGCCATCCTAAACAGCCGCCCACTTTACGCGAATCCCATCGACCCAACTGAAGAAATGGCGATTACTGCATTTCACTTCATAGCCCAAAGAGCCTACACTTTACTCCCAACTGATGTTAAAGAAGCCACCAAATCATCTTTGACCAAAAAAACTTCAAAACACTAAAATAATAATCAAAGATTTCCAAGCAAAATACGTAAATCTGTACTTAGCAACAATGCAAAAGAGAAACAAATGGATTAAACCAGCACGTACTATGGTGAAAGGAGAAGTTGTGCTAGTAAAAGAACCTGGCGTTAAATCAGCATGGTGGCACATGGGAAGAATCGAAACCGTATTCTTAGACAAAGCAGGAGTAGTCAGACAAGTGAAAGTGGGAACCGCGGATAATAAAACAAAATTAACTAGTCTTAGTCTTAGTCTTACTGAAGAAAAAGATGAAATCATTCAGGAAAACAAAGCAGAACCACCGTCAAAGCCAATCAAGAAAGTGAATCAGAAAATTCTCTGCTTAACTTTCTTGATTGGCTTTGACGGTGGTTCTGCTTTGTTTTCCTCAATGATTTCATCTTTTTCTTCAGTAAGACTAAGACTAAGACTAAGACTAGTTAATTTTGTTTTATTATCCGCGGTTCCCACTTTCACTTGTCTGACTACTCCTGCTTTGTCTAAGAATACGGTTTCGATTCTTCCCATGTGCCACCATGCTGGTTTAACGCCAGGTTCTTTTACTAGCACAACTTCTCCTTTCACCATAGTACGTGCTGGTTTAATCCATTTGTTTCTCTTTTGCATTGTTGCTAAGTACAGATTTACGTATTTTGCTTGGAAATCTTTGATTATTATTTTAGTGTTTTGAAGTTTTTTTGGTCAAAGATGATTTGGTGGCTTCTTTAACATCAGTTGGGAGTAAAGTGTAGGCTCTTTAGGCTATGAAGTGAAATGCAGTAATCGCCATTTCTTCAGTTGGCTGGAAATGAATCATGTCATATGAATAATATTCAATATCAATTATGTAAACTTAAACAAATTCTTACTCAATTTTCGATAATTATTATCAACAAAATTGTATTAACAAAAAAGATTATCAGCAAAAATAGTCAAAAGTCCAAAAATTAAGTAATGAATTGACATACAAAATTTATGCTGATAATGCTGCATACGCATTATCATAAGAAATATGTAAACATCTTATTTGGTATAAATGCAGAAAAAATATGTAATAAAAATCAATTCTATATTAAGAAAACTCAAAACACACTTGTTAAAAAATTGAAGAAAAAAATCAATAAATCCTTAACGATCATACTCGAAAACTAATGCTAGAAGACATGGTCTATAACCTATTGACACCAATCATATTAAATATAATAAAATCTTAATGCATCAAAATCTATATCAAAAAAATTATTGGTCACCCTGTACGACCAAAAACAATTCAATGTCACCCTGTATCTCTACAATCATCCATTCTCTCCAAAAACAATTCTCTCCGCATTTATTTACAACTTTTATTTTCAAACAAAAAATCTCAATTGCTTGTTTTCAAATAGTTTGTTGAAAAAAAACATTAAATTCTCACAATTTTAGTTATCTTAAATAAAAACTAAGCACATAACTCAACACACATCATTCCCATCAATACAGCAACATGACTCGTCACGCTAGAAACTCAACAGCCGGATCAGTTTACACTTATCATGAAAAGAAGAAGGATTCCAAAACTTCTGGATTTGGAACTGAGCATCAACGTTTGGCTAAAGAATCGTTAAAGTCATTCGATTGCTGCAATTTGACTCTTCAGCCGTGTGCACTTCCAGTCATCACTAAGGATGGATATTTATTTGACAAAGAAGCTATTCTGCAGTATATTATTACCAAAAAGGGAGAATACAACAGGAAAATGAAGGAATTTGAGAAGCAAAAGAAATCGGATGAGGATGAATTGGCTGAGATTGCAGCAGCTGAGAATAAGAAGAAGTTGGAAGATTTTGTTAAGACTGAGAAGAATATCAAGATTGGAACTAAGATGGGTAAGTTGTTTGAAATGGAATTTGATGGATATATGTGATATTGGGTAGCTAGTCTTTGAGAACTTTGATGTAGATTACATCCTGTTCTTGATATATTCACATACTAAGGAACAGTCAAGGGGAAAACAACATAAGGAGAAACAGTCAAGAGGAAAACAGCATTATGGGAAACAGTCAAGGGGAAAGCAACATTATGGGAAACAGTCAAGGGGAAAGCAACATTATGGGAAACAGTAAAGGGGAAAGCAAAATTATGAGAATCAGTCAAGGGGAAAACAGCATTATGGGAAACAGTCAAGGGGAAAGCAACATTATGAGACTCAGCCAAGGGAAAAACAGCATTATGGGAAACAGTCAAGGGGAAAGCAACATTATGGGAAACAGTCAAGGGAAAGCAACATTATGAGACTCAGCAAAGGGGAAAACAACATTATGGGAAACAGTCAAGGGGAAAGCAACATTATGAGACTCAGTCAAGGGGAAAACAGCAATATGGGAAACAGTCAAGGGGAAAGCAACATTATGGGAAACAGTCAAGGGGAAAGCAACATTATGAGACTCAGTCAAGGGGAAAACAGCATTATGGGAAACAGTCAAGGGGAAAGCAACATTATGAGACTCAGTCAAGGGGAAAACAGCATTATGGGAAATAGTCAAGGGGAAAGCAACATTATGAGACCCAGCCAAGGGGAAAACAGCATTATGGGAAACAGTCAAGGGGAAAGCAACATTATGAGACCCAGCCAAGGGGAAAACAGCATTATGGGAAACAGTCAAGAAGAAAGCAACATTATGGGAAACATTAAAGGGGAAAGCAACATTATGGGAAACAGTAAAGGGGAAAGCAAAATTATGAGACTCAGCAAAGGGGAAAACAGCAATATGGGAAACAGTCAAGGGGAAAACAAAATTATGAGACTCAGTCAAGGGGAAAACAGCATTATGGGAAACAGTCAAGGAGAAAGCAACATTATGAGACTCAGCCAAGGGGAAAACAGCATTATGGGAAACAGTCAAGAAGAAAGCAACATTATGGGAAACATTCAAGGGGAAAGCAACATTATGGGAAACAGTCAAGGGGAAAACAGCATTATGGGAAACAGTAAAGGGGAAAGCAAAATTATGAGACTCAGTCAAAGGAAAAACAGCATTATGGGAAACAGTCAAGGGGAAAGCAACATTATGGGAAACAGTCAAGGGGAAAGCAACATTATGAGACTCAGTCAAGGGGAAAACAGCATTATGGGAAACAGTCAAGGGGAAAGCAACATTGTGGGAAACAGTCAAGGGGAAAGCAACATTATGAGACTCAGTCAAGGGGAAAACAGCATTATGGGAAACAGTCAAGGGGAAAGCAACATTATGAGACTCAGTCAAGGGGAAAACAGCATTATGGGAAACAGTCAAGGGGAAAGCAACATTATGAGACCCAGCCAAGGGGAAAACAGCATTATGGGAAACAGTCAAGGGGAAAGCAACATTATGAGACCCAGCCAAGGGGAAAACAGCATTATGGGAAACAGTCAAGAAGAAAGCAACATTATGGGAAACATTAAAGGGGAAAGCAACATTATGGGAAACAGTAAAGGGGAAAGCAAAATTATGAGACTCAGCAAAGGGGAAAACAGCAATATGGGAAACAGTCAAGGGGAAAACAAAATTATGAGACTCAGTCAAGGGGAAAACAGCATTATGGGAAACAGTCAAGGGGAAAGCAACATTATGAGACTCAGCCAAGGGGAAAACAGCATTATGGGAAACAGTCAAGAAGAAAGCAACATTATGGGAAACATTCAAGGGGAAAGCAACATTATGGGAAACAGTCAAGGGGAAAACAGCATTATGGGAAACAGTAAAGGGGAAAGCAAAATTATGAGACTCAGTCAAGGAGAAAACAGCATTATGGGAAACAGTCAAGGGGAAAGCAACATTATGGAAACAGTCAAGGGGATCTTAACATTATGAGAAACAATAGTTCAATTCTCCAATAATATTTTCCTCATCATGTTGTTCTTCTTGCTCTTTAATCTACAAAATACCTACAACCTAAACATAACCTTAACCTCCCTTCTTATTTTTAGACCAAGCTGGCCCCAGCACATCATCAGCTCTCTCAAACATGACAGGCAACAACAAGCATCAACTGCCAAGCTTCTGGGTTCCATCACAAACACCAGACTCTGGTAAAGCAAAGTTCGAGAAGCCAGACAGCACAATTTACTGTCCAGTCAGTGGAAAAGTCCTCAAATCGAAAGATCTGATTGATGTGAAATTCACATTGGCTGATCCAAATGCAAAGCAGTCACTCGTTGGACAAGAAAATCGTTATATCTGCGCTGTGTCAAAGGATATTCTGACAAATTCGATGCCGTTGGCTGTATTAAGACCCACTGGTGATGTTGTAACCATGGATTGTGTTGAGAAGGTGATCAAGAAGGACATGATTCATCCATTGACTAATGAGCAGTTGACAGAAAAGGACATCATTATGCTGCAGAGAGGTGGAACTGGATTTGCTAGTGTAAATCAATTAAATGCTAAGGTTGCAAAGCCAGCACTTCAGTGTTAAGAGTTAAAATTAATAAAAAGGAATTTAACCAAAATATGAAATTTTAAATCTTTTATTTTTGTCAAAAAACTGCAATTTTAAGTCATTTACATGCATTCTTGGACGTACATCTTGGTTGTTTCACAGACTGGCAATGGATGCATTTGTGGACACTGTAAGAACAATTTCTTGATTGTGCAACCTAAAAGCTTTGGTAAATGTGCTGGAAATTGACATGGACCTTCAAGTCCAGCTGGTCTGACTTCCAATGCACATTCATCAACAGAAGTTTCAATCAAGTCATCCCATTCACTATCAAAGACTGAGCTTTTCAAGGTTCTTTTAAGTCCATTCAAGTTGACATTTGCTGAGTCATAGACAATTTTAGTGATACGCCATAAGCAGCCCATTGGACAGCATTCATCATTAGATCCAATGCATTCATCCAAGCAAGTGTCAATAAGGACACGATGAAGATTAATGTGTGGATATTTGCAGCACTTATGAAGCTCCCAGCGGTGAAGATTCAATTCATTGCATCGGGTTAGATTGACGACACTTTCAGGTGGACTTTGTGAGTCGTATTGATGGATGTTGGCTGATGCAGCAGCAATTGTCATGCACAATATTAAAAATTTTATATTTTTGCACATTTTTTGTCTTAGTTTTTGACAATAAAATTGAAAATTGAATGCCAACTGAATTGATTATAAGCTGAAATTGAGGTTTTATAGCCGTCAAAATTGACATTCCAATTGACCTTCAACGGTGTCTTGTTGAACTTTTTACAAAACATTTCCTGGACAATTTGAGTCAACCAAAAAAAGAATTGAGTTGTAATTTGAGTGTGTTAACATGATGAAGTAGCTGTTATGGTCACTTAAGTCAGGGTTGGGTTCTTATTTGCGTTCATGATCAGGCATCATCAGCAGTAGCTTTAATAAAAAAATACCCAGAATCAAGCAACTGACAAAAAAACCCATAAAAGAGTAAAGCATTCCACAATCGATGCGATAAGTAAATGATTAAATTTTATTCATTTCATGTAAATATATTCATTTGGCCCGAGTTCTTTTTTGCTCAAATTTAGTTCTTTACTTAATTTAGCATGATTTTGTTTCATTCTTTGTGCTTTTACTTTAAACATTTTTCGAGATTTTCGCCTTTTGTAAGCATTTTCCAGGTTAAGTGAGCGGTTTTTAAGTTTCTGGTGAGTGGTTCTGAAATTGATGAATTTAATTAGCATTGCATAGATTTGGGGCTGTAAAACTTAGCAAGAACATAGCCAGGGGGGAGGTTCTAGGTGTCAAGCCCAACTTTCGTTCATTTACAGATCATTAGAAGATTAGAAGATCATCAATTTTAGTGCAATTAGCAAATAATTACAATGAATGCTTACATAGAAAGTCTTTGTTATTTAACGGTCAAAAAATAATTTGAAATTTTCCCGCTTAAAGTTGCACTTCAAAAACAATATTTAAAGTATAATTAATAATTTGTAGCAATGAATTTCCGTTTATAAAACGTTTATCATTTAACGGTTTCTTGAGATTCAAAATTTTTCAACGGTAGAAATAAATTCGAATTTCTAAACGCTCTCATCACGTGTTTTTTCATTTTAAATATAAAAATCATTAATTAAAGTACAAAAACACTGTTTCAAGACTTTTAAATACGTTTCCCGAAAATAAAACAATGGACCTGAGCTAATAAAACAAACTAGAACTCTCTACAATGTCTGGTTAAAAAGTTTTCCTCCGCCCGAACGAACAGACATAGTGAGATATTAAGCTACCTTTTAGAAACAAGTTTCAAAAATGCGCTAAAAAATCCAAACTGACCCCCCCCCCCCCCCTTCCTTCCCCCTTCCCCCTTAGATGTTGATTATTGAATGTAAAAGTACGACATAGTTTGGTCAAGCTCGACGACTTTCCCGAGATTGAAACCGAAAATTGTCAAGCTTTAACCCAAGCATGGCTCTTTCATAACCTCAAATCACTGGCACATTATTACTGGTCTTATAAATATTTGCAGATCACACCAGAAGCTGTAGGTTGTGTGCATATATTCTTATAATCATACTAAACATAAACGATAATGGAACGTTGAAATCAACGTCCCTGCAATTCTTGAGGTAGGTCCAGGGAACAAATCATCATCAACGCTATGTCCTCACCTGAATTCAGCCTGATTTGATTTTTGGGGTTTTCTTTCTAATTTATTATAAATCAAGTCCATCAATCCATAAAAGCATTCAACAATTGATATCATTGAAAATCCAAGAAATAATCCCAACAATCCACCAACATCTGCTATGACTGTAAAGAATTTATATAATTTATAACGTTCAAAAACAGGAGAGTATGTAGCAGTAAGAATTAAAGAAAACTGGCAACTTACAGTTCTGTAGAGTATAAGGTCCATAATATTGATAGTCGAAGTGAAAATGATCTCCGATTTCAAATGACAGGAAAGAATAGGCACAGCTAAGAATTAAAAATCAATGATCAATATTTTTTTGTTTCCTTGGAAATTTTGGGTTGTTTATAAATGACGTCTAGCTAATAGTTTGTTCAATTTCAGACACTAACCCACTCAATGCTCGTTAAGGTCAACACAAGGATTCCGTTTAGATTCTATTTTAAAGACATTCTTTTGCTCCCTTTCATCGTTTATTTTTACTTGCCAAAATGTCAAAGGTATCACAAAACCCAAAAAATGCTAGACATCACTTATAAACAACCCCACATTCCCCTACCCATCCGTAACATTTCTAACAGTTTTGATCATCCTTGTGTCAGAATAATCAAATAATTTCTCAGATTTTGTCGTATACTTCAAATAATTGCAATTTTTTAGGCATCCGCAAGGAATCTCTGACTCTGCTTCAGCCTCGTATGGTGGCCACGTCTTTGAAGCTTCAATATAGCAACTTATGTCCTTCATGCCACAAACTCTTGTGTCATTTGTCCTTGGCATTGAGAATTTCACACATCCACAAAGCTTTAATGTATAGTTTGCTAGACATTCGAGTTCACAGTGGTTCTGTGCGTAGTTTTTGAAAAAAATTAATTTTTTTTCATCTTCAAAGTAACAGTTTCGTGATGCTGGTGAGTATGGCCTTAATGCATGGTGGGTGCTGTAGCCATCAACTTTGATTGTGATCTAGATAATTTTGTGGTTTGAAATATGATTGTTGTTATTGATGCTATGGGGTACTTTAAGTTGTAGGTCTAAAGGGTAATTTTTGTCTAACCTCAAAATTGACAAAAATTCTAACCTCAAAATTGACAAAAATTCTAATCTCAAAATTAACAAAAATTCTAACCTCAAAATTGACAAAAATTCTAACCTCAAAATTGACAAAAATTCTAACGTCAAAATTGACAAAAATTCTAACCTCAAAATTGACAAAAATTCTAACCTCAAAATTGACAAAAATTCTAACCTCAAAATTGACAAAAATTCTAACCTCAAAATTGACAAAAATTCTAACCTCAAAATTGACAAAAATTCTAATCTCAAAATTAACAAAAATTCTAACCTCAAAATTGACAAAAATTCTAACCTCAAAATTGACAAAAATTCTAACGTCAAAATTGACAAAAATTCTAACCTCAAAGTTGACAAAAATTCTAATCTCAAAATTGACAAAAATTCTAACCTCAAAATTGACAAAAATTCTAACCTCAAAATTGACGAAAATTCCAACCTTAAAATTTGTAAATAAATTCTAACCTCAAAACTAGTAAATTTGTTTAAGAAAGGGTCCCAAAAGAGCTTAAAAATCCGGTCCAGGACTTCTCAAATTATGGACAGCGATACCATTGGTTCACCAAAACTCAATCTAAATGCAGATCACACGAATTAAGAACTTTGGTGTACTGCAGTTCAAAAAGTTTGAGAACTCCAGACTTACCCTCTTCGAGTTTCCATACTCGACAGCACTTTCATAATTAAACGGAGTTAAAATTTCATTTGGTGAATGAAAAAAGAAGTAAAATGACTTTCCACGTGGAATGCAAGAATTTTCAGCATTAACTTTGTCCAAAAAGAAATGAAATTCTAAAATTGTGTTCTTGATTGACTTCACGGGGACTTGATTATCGTCATATGACAAATTATATCCATTCTGTAATGTCCATACTGGATAGTCTTCAACTGATTCGTCTACAAAAAAATCATCAAAATTAGTAAAAGATCTTGAAATTCCGTTAATTTTGTACGACTTGAAGTCATCGCTGATTAAGCTTGTGTCGAAAATCGTGTTAAAACTTAAGGAATTGATGCTGTAGCAAAATCCATAGTCAGTAAGAACACGATTAAAAAGATGGTTGCAGTTCTTCTTCAAACGATTAAAATAGCAAAATGCAAACATTTCGTCAACTGTCAATGAGCTTTTTTCAAGCAGTTCCACAACATTCTGGTCAGTATCATTACCACAGCAATCATTATAATATTGGAAATAATTAGGATAACAAGCCTGAGCATTTGCAGCTAGCATCTTCATCTCAAAATCACTCATTCCAATCATATCAGTTGTCAGCTTCGCAAGATCATCTTTAGCAAATATTGATGGACAAATTGTAATTGTTGGAAATGGAACCCAGTCAATTGGTTGATCGCGTACTTGAACATCAATGATTGGTGTGATGACAAGCTTTGTGTAAGACACAACCAAATAAAAGAACAAACAGAAAAATGACAATAAAATAATGAAAATCCAAAAAGTACGCGAGATAAAGTTTTGGTTTTTATTAAAGACGAAAACTTTAGTGATTTTCAGGACATCGTTTATTGGTTCCATGATTACAACTTAAACTTAGGACTTTCATGTTAAAACTGAATGCTTGAAAACTTTTTTAGGAATTGAAAAATTATCATTAAAAATAAATTAAATCCATTGACAATTACGTGCTTTAGCAAATTGAATTGAATTTCCATAAGCTTGATTACAAATCGTAATTATTGGATTATTGCATGATTTCATGGCTCTATACCGACTTTTTAATTATCATGAGCTTAACTAGTTATGGGATTCAAACTTATATTGATTTTCTTCTGGCTCCAGCTTTATTTTGTCCTTTTCTAGCTCAAATCTGATCCTATACTTACTTCGCTGGCCTTACAGATCAATTATGATCCACGGCCTCCCTTAGATGCAACTGAAGCTAGCTCTATCGCTGGCTCCCGTTTGCCAATTTCCAATAACAAATGCAATACTGTCTCTGTCAACAGCTTCTTTCCAAGAGTTCATGGGACGTCCACTTAACTTTTGCCATCTACAAATGCATTATTAAAGACTTCATTACTGTGAGCTTCAGCAGGTCCCTTAACAATATGTGCGACTCCAGGGAACGGTTCAATAGATTCTATCATCGATCAGGATCGCAGTGCCTTCAACTCGTCGCAACGTGTAGTAACACACTGCTTGGCTGAAACCCTCTTACATTACATGTCTAACTGTGATTCTATCCCGAGCGGCACAAAGGTGTCATATAACTGTCATATGACTGCCATATGTCAATTGCCATCGTTTGATGGCAATAAAAACTGCTTTATGGCAGTCATATGACAGATAATTGCTATCGATGTTGACGATATGTCAACCAAATAGTATGATAAAGTAATCCGACTTCCATCAATAAAAATTGACACAAATGGAAACTGTTATATGACAGTTTCTAGGCAGTTTTATGACAGACACAGATGGCAGTTCTTTAATCAAATTTCACTTAAATGGCAATTATATGGCAATGAGATGACAATTTTATGGCAATTTTAAATCAATAATATGGCAATTTAAGGCTGAAATATGAATATAAAAAATTACAAAAATATTAAGGGGTTTAAAGTTTGTGTTTATTAAAGAACTCGTATAGGAAAAACAAAAAAAAATGAAAATGATGAAAAAAAAATAAATTAAATAAACTTTTTCGGCTTTTTCTGCCCCATCGTGCGTTGCGGATTCCTGTTTGTATTACTGCTTTTAATTCATCAAAAGTTCCTGAAGCACTTCAATTGATATATCTTGAAAAAGATTCGTTCCTGTATAATATTTTTGAATGCTTTAAAATAATATCCCGAATATACAATGAGCATGCTCAGAGCACATTATTTGTGAGCCTATTAGCCTTTGTGAGAATGTGCTCATTTTCATACATTTCAGTGATGCGCTTACGGTCCCTTCTTGAGCATGCTCAGTGAGCACATTCCTATGTGACATGTATTAAGCTCATTGAGTAAACTCATGAGCATACTCAAATGAGAAGGTAACATGTCACATGCAACATTTTTCTCATGTAACATTTTTATTGAATATACTCATGAACATTCTCAAAAAGTACATACTTATAAATATTCTCAAAGAGTACATACTCATAAACGTACTCAAAGAATATATACTTAGTGAGTATATTTATGAGTATATGCTCATCTGAGCACACTCATGAGTGCACTCAAGTGAAGTTGCAAAATTCAAAAAATTAATTAAGCTAAATTTGAGTGTTATAGGTTATCTGAAATTAAGTACTGTTCCGTTTATTTCTGTGAATAATTTTGAAAGAGTTAGAAATTATTAATGTTTTATTTCAAATCCTTAGAATTGAAACATATAAATCTGGTCACCCATCCTTGTTGAAATATCTTCTGCGTTGCTTAACTTCTGTCATCTCACACTTTTCCTTGGAGCTATTGTCTGTAGATATATAATAATTTATATATGGCATAACACATAGTTAAATTATTATATTTTTACAGGCGAACTAAGTTCTTTGAAGTTTGGATCTTATTGAGCACCAATTTTAACGTTTTCGATTTAGCTGACATTTTTTTAAAAACGTCAGCTTCCTTAAAAACTCGTTATTTTAATGTTTTCGATTTAGCTGACATTTTTTTAAAAAAGGTACCAATCTGCTCTTGAATAAACTCAGTAAGTGCACTCACATGAGAATATAAAAAAAATTGTGTGACACAGAAGTGAGTTTGCTCATTATATGCTCATGAGTACATTCAGTAAGTGAACTCATATGAGTGAATTCACATGAGTATGTTCTTAATATTCTCAAGAGAATGTTCAGTAAGTGCACTCATACGAGTGTATTCACATAAGTATGCTCTTAATATTCTCATGAGTATGTTTAGTAAGTGCACTCATATGAGAACGTAAAAAAATTATGTCACACAGAAGTGAGTATGTTCTTAATATTCTCATGAGAATGTTCAGTAAGTGCACTCATACGAGTGTATTCACATAAGTATGTTCTTAATATTCTCATGAGTACGTTCAGTAAGTGCACTCATATGAGAACGTAAAAAAATTATGTCACACAGAAGTGAGTATGTTCTTAATATTCTCATGAGAATGTTCAGTAAGTGCACTCATACGAGTGTATTCACATAAGTATGTTCTTAATATTCTCATGAGTACGTTCAGTAAGTGCACTCATATGAGAACGTAAAAAAATTATGTCACACAGAAGTAAGTTTGCTCATTATATGCTCATGAGCACATTCAGTAAGTGAACTCATATGAGTGAATTCACATGAGTATGTTCTTAATATTCTCAAGAGTATACTTATTGAATGCACTCACGTGAGCTTACATAGTTTTTGTAAAAAAATAAAGTGAGTACATTCGTAATGAACTCCTGAGCATGCTCAGTTGAATGAGCTTGCATGAGTATAATTTTTGAGTAGACTCACTTATATGCTCACTTTTCTGAGCATGCTCTTTGTATGTTCGGGTATATAAACAATTTTTAAATATTTTGCTCACCTTCTACTAAAGTCCATCCTACTTATTAAGTCCTAACTGATATGAATTTCAAAGGTCAAAACAAAATGGACTTTTAACTTCAAAGTCACGATTTAAAATGAATTTTTTCATAATTTTTCAAAAAACATTTATAACTATGATCAATTTTTTTCTCGTGGCAGTCACATGACAGTCATATAACAGTTTTATAAAATTGTCATACAACTGCTACCAAATATCCGTCATATAACTGTTATCTGCCTTTTCAAAACGATCATATAACAGTCACATGACTGACACCTGCCACCTTGTGCCGCTCGGGTATGCCTACCTTATATGCCACGTAGGTTTGTTACAGCCAGGTTACAGCTCATATTGTGCTATAAAATTCAAGCTATGTTGTAATAATCAAAATAATCAATCTAGATAAATATTTCCAGGATGTCCACGGTTAAGTTCTCTTTCATCACAAGGTTTGACTTCAATTATTTTAGTTCTTAAGTTATTTTCAACATTTTTATTCCTGATTTTTGATCTGTTCTGTAACTTTCCATTACAAATTTTCTTTGCATTTCTTGAAGAACCAGCTTTAAGTTTGCTATGAAGTTGTGATTTTTTAATTGAACTGGAAACAATTTGTTGGACTTTGCTAGAATATGAGTAGACATTGAATACATTTTGAGGAAACAAATAATTTTCATTAATTTTACTTATTTTGAGTCATCCTGTCGTGAATCATGACCATCAGTGCATATAAGCATTCAAAAATTGATAAAATTGATATTCCCAAAAATAATGCTAGCAATCCGCCAATATCTGCTATAACTAAATGATTTGGATTAATAAAATGTTATTGGTATAAAGAATAAGTCTGGACAGCTTACAATTCTGTAGAGTATATGGACCATAATATTGATGACTTAAATGAAAATGGTCTTTGATTTCGAAGGATAAGAATGAATATGTTGAACTGCAAGTTAAACATAGATTTAATACATAATAACCTCTAAATTATAAAAATTTCTAACCTGAAATTCATGAAAATATCTAACCTCAAATAAACAAAAAAAATTCTAACCTCAATTTAATGAAAAATTCTAACCTCAAATTTATCAAAAATTGTAACCTCAAAATTATCAAAAATGTCTAACCTCTAAATTACAAAAATTTCTAACCTCAAATTCATGAAAATACCTAACCTGAAATAAGTAAATAAAATTCTAACCTCAATTTAATGAAAAATTCTAACCTCAAGGTTATTAAAAATTTTAACCTCAAAATTATCAAAAATGTCTAACCTCAAAATTCTTCAAAAAAATGTCATCTCACCCATTCGTAACATTCCTAACTGTCTCAATCTCCCTAATATCTTCATAAATTGAATTTCTCTCCGATCTGACTTTATACTCTAGATGATTGCAGGTTTTTAAGCAGCCACACGGAGCTTCCTTCCCTTTTCCAGGTACATAATAAGGCCAAACCCTCCAAACATTATGGTAGCACTGGACCTTTTCCATCCCACACACTTTTGTACCTGCAACCCTCGGCATTGAAAATTTTACACATCCGCAAGTCTTTAAAGTAAAATTTGTCAAGCATTCGAATTCGCAGTGACTTTTTGTGTAGATTCTGAAAAATTGAAGTGACTTTTCACCAGCATAGTAGCAACCACGTGCAGTTGGTGGGAAGTTGCGTAGACCATCATCATTTTTAAATCTAGTGATCGAAACTACAACTCTTTTTTCAAATTTATACTCAACACTACCTTCGTCATGAAATGGTGTAATGATCTCATTTGGTGGATGAAAAAAGAATGAAAAATCTCTTCCGTGGTGCTTACAAACATTTTCGACATTATTTGCGTCCAGGAAAAGATGAAAATTCATTTTTGTGTTCTTAATAGCTTTTAGAGGAATTGAGTATGGTGTGTATGATGGGTCATATCCACCTTCTATATCCCATTCTGAAAATTCATTGCTTGAAGTATCATTGAAGAAGGTGTCGAACTTTATGAATGATTTTGATATTCCTGTAAATATTTTTTTCTGATTATTGAGCTTTGATGCAATTAGATTAATTCTGATCAAGTCCAACGTTGACACAATCTAGTCTAACTTCAACACAATCTAGTTTAATTTTGACACAATCTAGTCCAATTATGACACAATCTAGTCCAATTTTGACACGTACTAGTCCAATTTTGACACAATCTAGTCCAATTATGACACAATCTAGTCCAATTATGACAAAATCTAGTCCAATTTTGACACAATCTAGTCCAACTTTGACACAATTTAGTCGAATTTTGACACGAACTAGTCCAATTTTGACACAATCTAGTCCAATATTGATACAATCTAGTCCAATTTTGACATAATCTAGTCCAACTTTGACACAAGCTAGTCCAACTTCAACACAATCTAGTCTAATTTGGACACAATCTAGTCCAATTATTACACAATCTAGTCCAATTTTTACACAATGTAGTCTAATTTTGATACAATCTAGTCCAATTTTAATACAATCTAGTTCAATTTTGACACAATCTAGTCCAATTTTGACACAATCTAGTTCAATATTGATACAATCTAGTCCAATTTTGACACAATCTAGTCCAACATTGACATAATCTAGTCCAATTTTGACACAATCCAGTCTAATTTTGATATAATCTAGTCCAATTTTGACACAATCTAGTTCAATATTGATACAATCTAATACAATTTTGACACAATCTAGTCCAACATTGACATAATCTAGTCCAATTTTGACACAATCCAGTCTAATTTGGATATAATCTAGTCCAATTTTGACACAACCTAGTCCAACTTTGACACAATCTAGTCCAACTTTGACACAATCTAGTCGAATTTTGACACAATCTAGTCTAACATTGACATAATCTAGTCGAATTTTGACACAATCTAGTCTAACTTTGACACAATCTAGTCAAAATTTTGACACGATCAGTCCAATTTTGACACAATCTAGTCCAGTTTTGACACAATCTAGTCCAACTTCTACACAATCTAGTCTAATTTTGACACAATCTAGTCCAATTGCTACACAATCTAGTCCAATTTTGACACAATCAAGTCCATCTTTGACACAATCTAGTCCAATTTTACAAGGATCTACTAAGAAATTTCAAAATACTAACCCGTAAGTTTATAGCTGTCAAAATCATCACTAATAACACCCGAATTAAATATAGTTTGATATCCTTGAGCATTGATCCTGTAGCAAAATCCACGATCCGTTAAAATCTTGTTAAAAATGCTGCCACAATTTAGTTGAACTTCATTTAAGCTGCAAATTACAAAAACTTCTTCTACATCCAAAGTATTTTGATTCAACAAGTCGACAACATTTTCATCAGTTTTATTTCCACAGCAGCTTGGAGAATGCTGCACATCAGATGGATCGCATGCTTGAGAACTTATTGAAAATATTTTTTGCTTGTCTTCATCAAGCTCTGCTGTATTGTCCAAAAATTTAACAACTTCATTTTTAGCAAAGACACCAGTGCAGATTGTAATTGCTGGAAATGGAACCAATTCAACAGGATTTTCTTCAATCCTGACATCGATTATTGGTTGGCCAATAAACTTTGTGTATGCAGCAGGTATGTAGATCCACAAGCTACAAAATGACATCAAAATTATTAAAAACCAGAAAAGTCTGATGTGAAATTTTTGACTTTTATTAGCGACATAATGAATGAGGATTGAGACGAAGTTGTGAGTTGGTTCCATGTTCAGGTAGCTTATGTGACTAAGACTGGCTGAAATGAATTTACATAAGGATTTAAAAACTGAACATTTTTTTAATCTTATTTCAATTAATAGTAAAATATTGAAAATTTGCATAATAATTAAGCCACTGGAGATTGACGTGCAATCTTTTATCATAGTTCAAGCATGTGTTGCTCTTGGACTTTGATGAAGCGCTTGAAATGTGTAATAAAATGATAGAATTGACCGACTCAAGTGGCAATGATTGCGGACTTGACAAGATGGTAACGTGATGCTGCTTTTCAACGGATTATCGGCACAATGTCCTTAGTAAAGCTTTTGAATTTGGATCATTATCTTTTTAAGAATCAATTTCATAAGTCCATAAGCAATCTCAACAATAGTCAGTAACGAGAATCCTAAGAAAAGTCCAAGAAGTCCTCCAACATCTGCAACAACTGAAAATTCAAACTTTATCATTTCCAAACCCTGGATAGAAGTTTTACTTACAGCTCTGAAGTGTATATGGTTGATAGTACAGATTGTGATCCATAAAATGATCAACTACCTCAAAAGACAATAATGCATAGCCGGATCTGCGATTTAAAAATCACATTTATTCATTCTCAAATGACACAAATCGGTTAATCGATCAGAAATTCGGAATCAAGCCGGTGTGATTCTGGCATGGTGCTGGATTTAAATCGAAGCCAGAGTCATACTGTTTGGGCGCCGGATTTCTATTCGATTAACCGACTTGTGCTATTCGGGATTAAATTGTCGCCTTAATCAAGGCTGCTGCCTCATGAGTGTCTTACCCATTCAAAATATTCCTATACTTCCTTAAAATAACAGGTTCCTTTAGTCGTGCATTTTTCTCAAATCTTGACCTGTACTTAAAATAATGACAGTTCCTTAAACATCCACATGGAGCATGTTTTCTTATATTCTTAACAGGCCAAGTATTGAGAGCTTTTTTATAGCAACTTAAGTCCTTTATCCCACAAACGGGTGTACTTGCTGTCCTTGGCATTGAGAACTTCACGCAACCACAAAGCTCAAGTGTGTAATTAGTCAGGCATTCAAACTCACAAAGGTTCTTCGTGTAAGTTTTGAAAAATTTCAACAGCTTTTCACCAAAATATAAGCAATTACGAACTGATGGTGGAAAGATCTTAAGCTGATTGTTTATGCTGTAGCTTTCGATCTTGATTGCTATTTTCTTATCAAATTCGTAGTCAATTCCATTCTCCCAATTTGATGGAGTGACAATCTCATTCGGTGGATGAAAAAAGAAGAAAAATGATCGTCCATTCTTGGAACAGATGTTGTTGGCATTGATTGGGTCAAGATGAAGGTGGAATGACATTTTTGTGTATTTGAATGCTGTGATAGGTACTGAGTAGGGGTTGTGGGACTTTTTAAAACCTAAAATCAGATTTTGGATGTGGCAATATTAGTTTATCATTATTAGGACACACGCTTACTTACCATCCAATCCCCAATCAGAAAACTCATCAGCTGACGTGTCATTGAATAATTCATCAAATTTCTTAAATGATTTTGAGATTCCGGTAGCTTTATGTGAATCAAAGTCGTGACTCAACACTCCAGGATTGAAGATTGCATGATAGCCTTGAGAATTTATTGTGTAGCAAAATCCACGGTCAGTCAAAACCTTTTTAAAGGTCAAATTGCAGTCAATTATGAGATTATTAAGGACGCAAAGTGCGATAATTTCATCAATTTTTAAGGAACTTTCTTCAAGTAATTTCACAATATTTTCACTGGATTTAAATTTTAACCATTCTGGATAAAATTCTGAGTAAGTTGGATTACAGGCTTGAGAATTTGCTGCTAGCACTTCCTTCTGATAATCGGTTAAGTTTGCAGATTCCTCAAAAATGTCATTTTGAGTCACAAGTCCATTTCTAGCAAAAACAGGTGAGCAAATTGTGATAGCTGGAAATGGAGCTGATTGAATTGACCTTCTTTCTATTTTAATCTCAATAACTGGAGTTAAGATGAGCTTATTCCATGCAGTATTTATGTAAAATAAGAATACTGACAAGGATGGCAAAATAATCAACATCCACAACAATTTGATGTGAATTTTTACATTTTTATTGAACAAAAAGCGATTTGCGATTGACAGAAAATTGTGAGTCGGTTCCATTGCTGGTAATCGTTGACTTTTATGGTTTTCTAAATGACAGGAATAAAGGTTCAACTTGAAATGATGAAAAACATGTTTTTTTTTAATGCCTTTATACTCAATCAAATTAATAAAATCACGAACATTTCACATTTAATGTCCATTATTCTCATTCTTATTCCTCCTTGAGCTGAAGTGGCGGAATGGCTTAGTACTTCGGTACCAGATTATTGCAATACCGACACATCAATCATGGGTTTTGGTATTTTTCATTTGTACTTTTTCGAATTATATGTTCTGTAAATGAGGTTCAGCCTGTTATTTCGGCTATAGACAGAAATGTCATCAAAGGAGTGGTTCGTGTCCCACTATAAATGGTAGGTCTAGGTTTGAGTGCATTGTTTTCACGCATTCTCACTCTTTAAACTCTAATTAGCTGAGAATCGCCTTAGCGCACCTCTGGTTCACAATTGATCTGAATAGGTAAAGGTATTGTATAATCATCCACAGGTTTACTGATATTCCAAAAATACTTTTTAAGTTTATGCTCTTTTCGTCTATTTTCTTCCATCCTGACAACATCTTCAGTTCGTTACACAAGCTCAGACATTTGATAGTCAGCAATAATAAGCTTAAAACCTTGCAGCCCATCTCATTGGTCAATTCAAGTAGGTTTCATACATTGTACTTGAGAAAGAGCAAGAACCATTAAGAACCTTGGCTGTGTTACTGAGATTTCAATGCTCTTTAATATATTTTGTTCCAAGACATCACCATGAACCTTCCAGGACCATTTTGTGGTTCCTGTTTATGTGTAGTCACAGATCTTCTTACTGATCTTCCCGTAGAAAATAAACGAAAAATTCCCAGACTGATAGTCAAGTTTGTCATAACGTTCTTTCATAATTTAAATTGAATTCATTAATTTGTATAGTTGTTTACCCCTTTTCAAATATATGTTCAATTTAATTACGAGCCTCGAACAACAAACATGCTTTACTTCAAAACAAGCCATGTCGTCTCACCTAATTAGGTACAATTACACAAAATTTTGCATTGCTTCATTTTGATGTTCTCTCATCTCTTCTTCTTCATCCTATTTAAATCATTGTTGATTAATTTATCATCTCAGTTGTTCCTAAATGTTCTGTGAGCTCAACAGTAGCTTGATAATTTAAAAAATAATTTCTGTTAAAAGTGTGAATTTTTGTGCCAAATCATTCGCCAACCCCAAAAAAGGCTGATTTTCTTTCACAAAACAACACAGACGTGTCGAATTCTCATGACAATGACCTCAAGCAACCTTAATCTTCGTGTTTTCTGTGCAATCTTTTTGACTACCTTCAACTTCATATCAGCGGATGAACAATGTTCATTTGAATATAATCCTGGATTAATAACCTTAGGTTTTAATAATTTGTATACTTGCACTGTGTTTAATTCAACGGAACCAACTACAAAACTTCAAAATAATCGACACTGGCCACGCAGAACGAACAACGATGTGAAATATGTTCAGATTCAATTTGATGGATTTTACCAAGAATTCGATCAATTTTACTGCTTTTCATTCAAAAACTTGGAACAATTTGGAATTTCTGGCATAAAAATCCAAAAATTTGGTTCAAATTTCTTCAAAGATTGCAATAATTTGAAGCACATTTCAATCTCATCCAACGGAGTCAAGGAACTTCCAGCAGATCTCTTACTTGGGACTACAATTCTTGATCAATTGGATATAACAAACAATGACTTTGAAACACTGCCTGAAGCGATCTTTTCAAATTTAAATCAACTTACACATTTGCATCTTGACTTTAATAAAATTAAAGATTTACCGCCAAAAATCTTCTCGTCACTCACAAATCTGAAACTATTAAGCATCAGAGGCAATCAAATCACAAAGTTGAATCCAAAATGGTTTGAGAATCTTCAAAATTTGGAGTTTTTGCAAATGAACAACAATAAAGTTAAGGAACTTCCTGACAACACCTTCATGTACTTAACTGGATTGACTCACTTGGAATTTACTAACAATGGACTTCAAACACTCAATCCAAATTCATTTGAAAATCTCAAAAGCCTTAAAACTTTGTACTTGTCTGAAAATGACATCACTGGATTCCCCAAAAATGTCTTCAAACCTCTCGAAAATTTAACATTTTTATGGATCAACGACAACAAAATAAAAACAATCCACTCAGACTCATTTGGAATGCACAATAGTTTGGTCATGTCTGGGATGTCCAACAACAAGATTGAAGCCATTGATGAGAAATTCATTGATAATGTGGCAATAACAAATTTGTTCTTGTTTGGTAATGAATGCATTGATGATTGGATCAGGAGTAACGACAGGAGTGTTTTTAAAATGGAATTGAAGCAGTGCTTTGAGAATTATCAGCCGAGAGAAGAGGATGAAAGTAAGTTTGGATTTTTAGGAGAAGTGTGTTATTGAGTCTTTGTCCTATTTATTGTTATTATTTGATAATTTGCAGCCAAGCCTGGATGATAAGTTTGCATGACTTTGGCATGGAGCTAAATTGGATTTAAATCCGGCTCCACGCCAGAGTCAAGCCAGCTTCGTGTTATATTTCTGATCGATTAATAGACTTGTGCTATGCGGGAACCTTAAAAAACAAAATATTTGACTTAATTTAGTTCTTTCTTGCCTTTATTACAGATTAATAACATTTCTTACAACTCTACAAAACGTTGATGGAGTTAAAAGAGAATAAAAATGCTGACTTTATGATGACAGTGACTGTAATAAAAGCCAAACTAATAAATCCTTTTTAAATGTTTTGTAAGCCTGAATCTGAGTGAATTGTTCTTATTTTGTTGTCACCGTGCCATAAAAATGATAAAACTTCCAGCGGCTTAAAGATATTTTTCGGGAATCCAGGAATGTCATTTTTTCAGGTTCAAAGTTCCCAACTGATTAAGATTTGCAAATGAATTTGAATAGAAAGTTTTTAGCTTATTTCCGCTGACTGTAAAGTGTGTCAGCTTGTGCAATGAGCTAAAGACGTTGTCTGGAGATTCCTTAATATTGTTGTTACTAATTTATGAGTGTTCCAAATTTTGAAGATTTTTAAACCATTTGTGATTTTATTGCCAGACAAGACCAAAAAACTCATTGTTGTGAGCGATGAAAAGACTTTTGGCGGGAAATTTTTAATTCCGTTGAATTCCAAGCTCAAAAATTTAAGTTCATTTAAGTTTGAGAAAATATTTTCAGGAAGTGTGTCAAAGTTGTTGTCGCTGATGTGTAAATCACCGAGATTTTTAGTTCCAGCAAAAAAATCTTCTGGCAGTTCCTTGAGTCCATTAGATGAGATTGGAATGAACCTCAAATTATTGCAATTTTTGAAGAAATTCGGACCAAATTTACGAATTTGTGTCTTGATGATTCCGAATTGCTCTAAATTTGGAAAGGAAATGCAGTGGAACTGATTGTAATCCTCATAAAATCCATCATATTTATTTTGTACATATTTTACATCATTGTCATTTTTGCCTGGACAATGTTGATTGACTTGAATTGGTTCCGTAGAATTAAGCACAGTGCAGGTGTATAAGTCATTATATCCTAAAGTTAAGCCTGATCCTGAACTATATCCAAAAGAACATTCTTCATCCACTGATATAAAATTGAAGGCAATTTAGAAGATTGCACAGAAAAGATGAAGATTGAAGATTAAATGAGGTCATTGCCTTGGGAATTCCGCACTGACGTTGACAGAAAATCCAAAATTGTTTACTTTTTGCTGGTTTTTGCTTCTTTATCGTCAATTTTTCACTGATTTTTAATTGTTGTGGAATTTTTTCGTTATTTTAAAATGATCGAGCTACTCTTGACCTTACAACTTACAGAGCATACTTAGTCAAGACCACAAACAACAACTAAGGTTTTAAACTAATCCACAAAGGATGGAAGAAAAAAGAGGAAAAGAGCATAACTTAAAAGAGTATTCTTGGAATATTGGTCAGCTGCTTATTAAAATTAAAACCCAATCTTGGAAGCGGAAAAACCAAAACAAGGTAAACTTAATCATCAGTTTGAGATTTTTTCTCCTCTTTTGGATATGCCCCTGGATTCTAGGAAAATGCATATAATATCATGAACCAAGATATAAAGATTATTGTTGAAGCTTTTCCAGCCCAGCTGGCCAGCCATACATTGAGCAATTAAGCATGTGAGTTTATTATTATTCTTACTATTAAATCCTAGGCTTATTGTGAGCACTCGTGGCCTCATTTATCAGGGTTTAAATTTGATTACGATATCAAGTTGGTTTTAACTTAACTGTAAGTTTTCGGGTCAACTCTTTCAAAATGCCCTCTTCCCTCCCCAAACAAGGACCACTTCCCATGGCTTTACAAAACTTCACAACCTCCCCCTGACCCAACATGGACCCTAATAATGATAATAATGTGAGAGAGTTTCTGCCATGCGATGTGTTCCTACACTTTGCGATGAGCTGGAGGCACTGCGATCCTGATCGATGATAGAATCTATTGTACCGTGAACATGGATCCTACACCCCCCCCCCCCCCTGCCCTCCCTGCCAAAAATCTATCCTCAATTTAAGTTTAGAAAATATATCTTTATTTATTTCTATAATTTCAGTTTATTGATTGTTATTAATGTAATCAGGAAGTCAAAATTTTACTTCAATCTAAACCCATATGCTGCCTTCTATGGCTGTTCAATACGCTGTTGCTCGTCATGATTTATTTTGGGTTGATTAATCATCAGGAAAAAATATTTTATCTGTAAATGAAATAAGAATCGGTCAAATAAGGTAGGTTGACACAAAGACCGAATAAAAACTACATTAAAGCTCCAAATCAGTAATGACCAAACTTTTTTTGAGCCACGTCACACTTTTGTGATGAGTCATGACCACAAAGCCAAAGGCATATTGTTCGTAGAGTTTCCCAAAGTTTTATCCAGCACACTAGTGTGCCGCGTCACACAGGTTGACCATCACTGCTCTAAATAATCAAAACTTACCTCCAACATCTTGCCTTGGCTGATAATTCTCAAAACACTGCTTTAATTTCTGCTTCATAACGCTCCTGTCGCTACCCTTGATACCTTCTTTAATGCAAATATTCCCTTCCAAAAACATATGCGTTAGTGCCACATTATCAATGAATTTCTCATCAATGGCTTCAATCTTGTTGTTGGACATCCCAGACATGACTAAATTGTTGTGCATTCCAAATGAGTCTGAGTGGATTGTTTTTATTTTGTTGTCGTTGATCCATAAAAATGTTAAATTTTCGAGAGGTTTAAAGACATTTTTGGGGAATCCAGTGATGTCATTTTCAGACAAGTACAAAGTTTTAAGGCTTTTGAGATTCGCAAATGAATTTGGATTGAGTGTTTGAAGTCCATTGTTTGCAAATTCCAAATGAGTCAATCCAGTTAAGTACACGAAGGTGTTGTCAGGAAGTTCCTTAACTTTATTGTTGTTCATTTGTAAAAATTCTAAATTTTGAAGATTCTCAAACCATTTTGGATTCAACTTTGTGATTTGATTGCCTCTGATGCTTAATAGTTTCAGATTTGATAGTGACGAGAAGATTTTTGGCGGTAAATCTTTAATTTTATTAAAGTCAAGATGCAAATGTGTAAGTTGATTTAAATTCAAGAAAATCGCTTCAGGCAGTATTTCAAAGTCATTGTTTGTTATATCCAATTGATCAAGAATTGAAGTCCCAAGTAAGAGATCTGCTGGAAGTTCCTTGACTCCGTTGGATGAGATTGAAATGTGCTTCAAGTTATTGCAATCTTTGAAGAAATTTGGACCAAATTTTTGGATTTTTGTGCCAGAAATTCCAAATTGTTCTAAGTTCTCGAATGAAAAGCAGTAAAATTGATCGAATTCTTCGTAAAATCCATCAAATTGGATCTGAACATATTTCACATCGTAGTCAGTTCTGCCTGGACGATGCCAATTCATATGAATTATTTCTGTAGTATTAATCACATCGCAGGTATACAACTTATTATATCCTACAGTTATTCCTAATCCAGATTCATATCCATATGAGCATTGTTCATCCGCTGCTATAAAGTTGAAGGCAGTCAAGAAGATTGTACAGAAAACATGAAGAATAAGGTTGATTGAGGTCATTGCTCTGGGAATTTTGCACTGACGTAATTGCCTAGTTTACAGTTTTATCACTAAAGTTGCAAACTGTCGACTGATTATTAATCCAAAAATTCACTTCACTTTTATTAAGAATTATTGTTCTAAATTACATTCGAGAATTCTTGACCTTAGCGATTACAAAATATTCACGATCAAGACAGTAAACAACAGCTGAGATGATAATGAAGACAAAACAGAGAATGACAGTGGTTTAAATAGAATGAGATGCAAGAGAGGAGAGCATCAGAGAGAATAAAACTTTAAAGAGTATTCTTGGAATAAAAGTCAATTCCTCATATGCAGTAAGTCAAATCATCTCAGTGGGAAACCCGGTGTAAAAGCTATAAGCTGAATATTCACAATAAAAGCTTGCTTAAAAGACTTTGTTCATGATGTTTATTAAACTTATTATTTAACGGATCTATCAGTTTGTTCTGAGTCTTTATTCTCAGATTTTCGAGAACTGCTGTAAAGACAATAATGTTGAGTAATGAAAATTACATCAAAAAATATTGAAAATAATCCTAGACATAATTTTGCAGGGTTCCCAAAGGTTGATATCCAGTCATCTAGAAGATAATAGTCAAAACTATAATAGTGACTGCTAAGAGTCCTTAAACCAGAGCTCGAAGTCGATGGAATTTTGTATGGAGTCGACTCCTTAATACAAAATCGATGGAAATCTCGAGTAGACTTCGAGCTCTGCTTTAAACTCACCATAATTGTAAGCATTAATCAACATCTGCAAAATGGACAGAACTCCACCAATCAAGTCCAACAAAACTCGCTCAATACTCCATCCAACTGTGCTTTTCCGCCGACAATTCAGCACAGCTTGTGGAATGTACTTAGTCAATGTGACAGCAAGCTTAATATAACTCAAAGTATACAAAATGTCAAGCCAGTGAAGTGCACCGACCGAACAAAAAAACACATTTACTCCAACAATTGTCATAAAAGCTCCAAGCAGCGTCCATGTGATGTAGGAAATGCTTTGTTTGCCATTCTAAAATAAATTAAGAATAAATTACTCAAAAAAAAGATAAGAAAAGTCAACAAAAAAATTTACCTGATACACAAAGCATTGAAAGATCATCACTAAGCACACGAGAAGACTATGTGATGTGGAAAAGACGTCATTAAGTAGAACCGGTGTCTGTCCATTTGGGAATCTCGTAAAATATTCATCTTGAAAGAATTCACTGAAGTAAAAGCACAGATTAAAGATTGTGTACGACACGTGTCCAATTATGTTCAGTGCCAAAAAGTCAAAACTGAGTCCGACAACTGATTTTCTTTTATAATTCAACCAGATCTGAGGATATGAGCATATACTCCATGCTAAAAAGTAAGCCCATCCAACGACAAACGATGTGCTGATCAATTCACGTGAATTTCCAATTGTAATTTTAAAACTCAAGTTTGAGTCACTGATGAGATGCTTTGGGTTTGAAATTCCAGTTACTTCTGCTCTTCCAGCTTTCAATGCTTCAATTTTAATTGTGAAATTTGAGGCTGGTGAATTTTGAGGGATTAAGATTGACTTTGGTGACCATTCTAAGAGGTTTTCTTGATCATTTAGAAAGGTTATAGAAGCTGATTGATTTAATGGTGAGCTGTGGATTGAAAGTTGATTTTTTAATTTTTTATCTTACAGTTCTAGTGGCGGCAAGTTGCTATGGAGTAGGGATTTTTCTCTAAAGGAAGGTTCTAGGGCTACTTAAGGTGGCTTATCTTAATCTGAATATTATTTTATTATATTTATTCCAGTGTTATCCAAACTGTGTGCTGCTTCACACCAGTGGGCCTTAGAAACTTTATGGGAGTGACACGAGCCACATGTTGTTTACGACTATGATGTGCTGTGATTCAAAAAGTTTGGACAACACTTATTTATTCTAAGCGAGTGAACTTCTATGTGGTGACTTAGCAAAGTGGAATCTGGGGCATCGAGTCATGATTAGGCAAATCTGCCAGTTCGAGAGTGAAGTCTAGTTGTTAGGCAGAGGATTGGATCCCTCTTCTATGAGGATGTGAGCTCCATTCCCACCAGAAACCGATCTTTCAATCTAAATCTTATGAACATGACCACGATTCACACAAAATTAAGACACTCTACCTCTGTAGCTCAACTTACAGCCAACAGAGAGTAACTCTGAAGCCGGTTTTACGTGATGCTCACTTAACATTCCTCCAAACTTCATTATTTCACTTTTTAACTATTATTAAGTACCCTTAGCAGCCCTTGTTTCCGACCCGAAGTTTTCAAGTAAACCTACACGTGTTTGACATACTTACGTCAATTTCAATTCAATTCTTCCACTCTCGCCAACAATAAGTACATCTGGTGCTGACATAATCTCAAATGATGACAAATTCTCATTTTTAATAATTTTAAATTGAATAATAATTAAAATTACTATAATTAATTTATTCATTACTATTCAGCTAGAAAGATAGTTATCAACTGAGCATTTGCGTATTCTTAGATGTCTTGTGTTCTCATTTTATAGCCCGAGATATACAAAATAATTCGTTCGTCAATAAAATATGAGATAATTGAACGAAATTGCACTTAGATGATTAGCGATAGCTGGGATGGTTTAATAAAAAAAATAAATTTGTGATTGTGCCAAAAAAAGTTTATTGTTCGGAGATGAATTGCACGAAAATCACTCATTTTGAAATAACAAATAATTTTTTTATTTGATGGATAAAAAAGTTTAGAATTTTATGTGTTCCTGCAAGGTGCTTTTTTGAAGCAGTTCCCTAAATATTTTTGTAAGCTAAGTTTCATTTTTTTTTTCTTGAGAACACTTAAAAATCGAATAAAATTACAAGTCCAAAAGGTAGAGAATTAGATGAGACCCTTAAAGGTAAAGCATGGAGACGTCCAACACTTTTTGAGCTGGAGGCACTGCGATTCTTAAAAGAATCTTTTGTACCACACCCTTTAGACCTACAGTTTATAGTGTAATCCAAGCTATTACAAGCTCTGCTCATTGCAAAGACACGAGTCCGTCATAAGACCTGATGCATCCTGCAATGTACCTAGTCACGATTCGTGTTTACAATATGCCGTGAGAAAGTCATCCAGATGCTAGTTACTCTTGTATACCTAGCAAAGGAGACACGTTATGTGCCGAACATTTCAAAACTACACCCAATACACGAACCGAGCTTCGGAACTAGAATGGTGAAATTTAAAAACAGCTTCAAAAACTTTCCTCGGCATGAAATTGAACCTAGAACCTTTGGCACGTAAGCCTAACGCACTACCACTTAAGCCACTGATGCCATTTCACCGCTGAACAATGATCCCAACTGCAGCCATATATAATAACCAAAGTAAGATAAGTGAGAAAATTTATAGCTTAAAATTTATTTATAAATAAAATTTTATTTACAAATAATAAATTAATAGATTCAATTATAATTATAAATGCATTTAGATTGAGTTGGTTGTTTGGGGGCTTGTCGACTTAAATAAATAGCCAACAGCTTAGGGAACCGTACCTCAACATCCCTCGGCTACTCATTAAAGGTCAAAATTTCTCATCCTTTGTGTCAGGTTCCATCATCACAACAGTATTTATTGTAGCATTACTTTCATGAATTCCAGGAATCTTTGATGGCACATCTTTATGCCTATATAGACAATAATGCTGATTGATGAACATGACATCGAAAATAATTGTTACAATTCCTAGTAAGAGTTTTGTTGGATTCCCAAAGTTTGATTGCCAGTCATCTAAAATGAAAATATCTGATAGATATAATTGGGCTTCAGAATGCTAAACTGAATAGCTATCCCTAACAGACAATGAGTAAACTTAGTGGTACCGTAACATCCTCAAGTGTAGTGCAAAAGGAGTAGAGTAGGAGTAAGGTAGGAGCAGTTTAGTGAAGGTTTAGGGTAAGTTCGACCACTTGAGTTCTGTTAAGCAACCTCATGAGTCCAGTTAAGCATTGCAACTTACCATAATTGTAAGAATTAATGAACATCTGCAGAATCGATAAAACACCTCCGGTAAGGTCGAACAAAATATTCTCAATGCTCCATCCAACTGTACTTTTTCTGTGATAATTCAGCACAGCTTGTGGAATGTACTTAGTCAAAGTACTGGCTAGCTTGATGTAGCTTAGAACGTAAAGAAAATCTAGCCAGTGGAGTTTGCCAATCGTACAAAGTACCGCAATCGCAATGATCGTCACTAAATAACCTCCGATTATTGACCACGTTGTGTTAGAGACTCGTTGAGTTCCTCGCTGCATTTGTAATAAAAAGCAAGAATTTTAATAAATTTTGACACTTAATTGACATGTTTTATATAAAAGCTGTTGGATTGAGGACATCGATAGCTTCACAAGCCTACCTGATACATACAGCACTGCAATATTATAAGCACATAAACAAGAACGCCATGTGTCGATGCAAAAACATCATTCAGCAGTACAGAAGGCTGACCATGTGGAAATCTCACAAAATATTCGTCTTGAAAGAATTTCACAAAATAAAAACAAATATTGAAAATTGTGTAAACTATATGACCGAACATGTTGTGCGCGAGGAAGTCAAAACTCAATCCAATCACTGATTTTCTCTTATAATTTAGCCACACTTGTGGATATGAGTTGACACTCCATGCAAAAAAGTAGATCCATCCAACAATTAATGACACAATTATTAAAGCACGTGAATTTCCAATTCCAATTTTGAAAAACAAGTTAAAGTCATTGATAAGATCTTTTGGTGCTGACTTTCCAGTCACTTCGACACTTCCAGCCTTTAAGGCGTCAATTTTAATGATGAAATTCGATTGTGAAGAATTTGGATACGTTGAGATTGTTTTTGGTGACCAGCTGATGAGATTTGGTTGATTTTCGATGAAGGATACTGTTGCTGATTGGTTTAGTTGAGGTCTATAACATTTAAATGTCAATGTTTATTAGCAATTATTGTTTATTTGTTTGACACACAATGTTTAAGGCTAAGGACACTAGTTGTTGTTAAACAATGAATGTGGTTCTACGAAAAACTTTAATGAGTTCATTTATAAATGACGTCTATTGAATTTTATGTTCTTCCTTGTTTATAGAATCATGGCTCCTGGTTTCTTACTATTTTTTCTGCAATCAAGAACCAAGAACCAAGAACCAAGAACCAAGAGCCAAGAACCAAGAACCAAGAACCAAGAACCAACCACCAACAACCAAGAACCATGAACCAACAACCAAAAATTAAGAACCATGAACCAACAACCAAAAATTAAGAATTAAGAACCGAAAACCAAAAACCAAGAACCAAGAACCAAAAACCAAAAACCAAGAACCAAGAACTGAAATTCAAGAACCAAGAACCAAGAACCCAAAACCAAGAACCAAGAACCAAGAACCGAGAACCAAAAACCAAGAACCAAGAACCAAGAACCAACCACCAACAACCAAGAACCATGAACCAACAACCAAAAATTAAGAACCATGAACCAACAACCAAAAATTAAGAATTAAGAACCGAAAACCAAAAACCAAGAACCAAGAACCAAAAACCAAAAACCAAGAACCAAGAACTGAAATTCAAGAACCAAGAACCAAGAACCCAAAACCAGGAACCAAGAACCAAGAACCAAGAACCGAGAACCAAAAACCAAGAACCAAGAACCAAGAACCAACCACCAACAACCAAGAACCATGAACCAACAACCAAAAATTAAGAACCATGAACCAACAACCAAAAATTAAGAATTAAGAACCGAAAACCAAAAACCAAGAACCAAGAACCAAAAACCAAAAACCAAGAACCAAGAACTGAAATTCAAGAACCAAGAACCAAGAACCCAAAACCAAGAACCAAGAACCAAGAACCAAGAACCGAGAACCAAAAACCAAGAACCAAGAACCAAGAACCAACCACCAACAACCAAGAACCATGAACCAACAACCAAAAATTAAGAATTAAGAACCAAGAACCAAGAACCAAGAACCGAAAACCGAAAACCAAAAACCAAGAACCAAGAACCAAAAACCAAAAACCAAGAACCAAGAACTGAAAATCAAGAACCAAGAACCAAGAACCCAAAACCAAGAACCAAGAACCAAGAACCAAGAACCAAGAACCAAGAACCAAGAAGTAAGAATCAAGCACAAAGAAACCAGAATCAAGAACCGATGTTTTGGTTCGTGATTACCAGTTCTTAGTTCCTATATCATCACCAAAAATATAAATGGACATCATTTATGAACAACCCAACTTTATATCACACAAAAAACACAAAACTATAAACAAACTCACCCGAATTTCAACAAAATTTCATGACTTTCGCCCACAATCACGACATCAGGTGCCCATAAAATTTCAAATGTTGGTAAATCATCACTAAAACTAGCTTTAAGTCTCTCAAAATTGACAAAAAACACAAAAAATATTCTGACTGTCTTATGCATTACTTCACACGAGATCAACAAGTTTTGTACTGATTTTTATATCATGAAAAAATGAGGAATAAAGTTTTTCTCATTTGTTTTTGCATCCCGACCGAACCTGATTTAAATTAAATTTATTCAAGCATCTAAGAAGAGGAATTTTTGAAAGTAAAATTGCCGTGTGTCATCCATTTGTGTTGCTGCACAACAGTCCGGTTATGAGAAAATGTTCATTGACCCAGTCCGGAAGACAAATGTCACGGGATTAAAAGATTTTTTTTTTTGTTATTTTACTGTTCTGGACTTGCGATGGGTTTGATATGAAAAAATGGTCAAAATAAAATTTATTTTTTTTTATTGAACTTAAATTAATTAAAATTTATGCTTTTTTTCTCAGAATTTTTCATTTTTCGGCTCGGCTTCTATTGTGACTTCTGTGCTTTCAGCTTTATTGTCTTCAGAATGTCTTGCACCTTTGTAAAGGCAGTAATGTTGAACGATAAAGATCAAGTCGAAGAAGATTGAGAACAATGCGAGTCCAAGCTTTGTTGGATTTCCGAAGTTTGATTGCCAGTCGTCTATAAAATTGGGAGATAAACGATCCAGACCTTCAAAACCAAAAGTCCTACTCACCATAATTGTAAGAATTAAAGAACATCTGCATCATCGACAGCACACCGCCAGTCAAATCCAAAATAATATTCTCAATACTCCATCCAACTGTACTTTTTCTACGATAATTCAGCACAGCTTGTGGAATGTATTTAGTCAGTGTAACTGCAAGCTTGATATAACTCAAGGTATACAAGAAATCAAGCCAGTGAAGTGTGCCAATTGAACAGATGATAATGACGACAATAATTGCTACGAAGAAGATTCCGATGAGTGACCATGCAATGTATGAGACTCGTTGGACACCACGCTAGAAAAAAATAGAAAGTTTTTGAGGTTAGGATTTTAAATTTCAAAATTTGAGGTTATGATGCTAAACTTTGAAGTAAGGTTTTTATTTTAAGGCTAGGTTTTAAATTTTAAGGTTAGAATTTTTATATTTTTGAGGTTATGTAGTTTAGTTTTGAGGTTAAATTGCTATAGTTTGAGGTTATGTAGCTAATTTTTGAGTTAAAGTCTTAAATTTTGAGGTTAAATTGCTATATTTTGAGGTTAGGTTGCTAATTGTTGAGTTTACTGACACATTTTGAGGTTAAATTGCTATTGTTTGAGATTAGGTTGCTGTAATTTGAGGTTAAACGGCTTTATTTTGAGGTTAAGTTTAAAAATGCTGAGGTTATGTCAACTCACCTCATAAATAAAACACTGGAAAATAGTAAAAGCTGTCAAAAATGACGCATGAATCGAGAAAAACACATCATTCAGCTCAACAGGATTCTGTCCATGTGGAAATCTCAAAAAATATTCATCTTGGAAGTATTTCAAGAAGAAAAGACTACAATTAAAGATAGCATAAGATGTATGCCCAACAACATTCAATGCCAAGAAGTCAAAGCTCAATCCAACAACTGATTTTCTTCTATAATTGATCCAAACTTGTGGATAGAATGATATACTCCATGCAACAAAGTAGACCCATCCAACAATAACAGATGCAATGATTAATCCACGAGAATTTCCAATTGTAATTTTAAAGAACAAGTTGAAGTCACTGATGAGATCTTTTGGGGTTGACGTTCCAGTTATTTCAACTTTTCCAGCCTTCTTTGCGTCAATTTTAACGGTGAAATTTGAGTTTGGTGAATTTTGTGGGATTGAAATTATTTTTGGTGACCAGTCGATAAGGTCTTCTTGGTCCTCTAAGAAGGAAACGTTGAAGGTTCGTGGCACTGAGGATCTAAAAATGGATGAGAGTGAATGAGTCAAGATTATAAATTTCTTATCAGCACCGTTAGCTTAAGTCACAATTCATCCACAAGTATCCGAAATCTTCTGGTTCAATAAATGCTGAAGTGTGCGATAAGAATAACAATGAAGCTTGTGAGATAACTTAGACTGTAAATCAATAAATTAATAAATGCTTTTGACAACTTATCAAGCCATGGACATGATTGTTGAAAATTGGGGATAATTTGGCTACTGATAGGGTGTACTTAGAGAATTGTGTTGCTGACTATAGAAATCTTAAGGCTTAGATCAAGAAATAGCTAATATTAGATGTCTTAGTCTTAGTTTTCTTATAAATTAGGGAAAATTATAAACAGCAATAGAGCTAGCTCAAGGTGGTATTTAAAAATGCCGAAGGTTCACAATTATTCTTTAAGGTCAGTAAATTCAATAAGCTAAGAGCTGTCTTATCCATGAACTCCTGACACATCCTAAAGCTAGAATCAAGCTCATGAGGATTCTAGCAATTTTGGAGAACACTTCAATTCACTACTAATCAGCCAATTTAATGTAATAATCCTTTTTACCAGTGATGTCCCAACTGTGTGCCACGACGTACCAGTGAAAAAATTTGGGATATCCCACAAACCACACAAAGCATGCTTTTGGTCTTGGCTTACCACGAAGTGTACCGTGGCACGAGAAAGGTTGGACACCTCTGCTCTAAACAATGAATAATTTTACTGATTTTCACTTTTTATATTCCAGTTCAATTTCCAAACTTCACATAACATTAACAGCTAATTCCACTCAATTGCTACTCACACTAATTGCATAAATATTTCATGACTTTCTCCAACAATCACAGTCTTGCTCGTCCACGAAATGTCAAATTCTGGCAAACTTTGTGATTCTGCATTTTTTAAGCTCAAAAATGCCACAAAAATCACACAAAATGTTTTAATCCTCTCGTTCATTTTGATATCGACTTAACAATTAAACAGTTTTACATCGATTAATTGAACAAATAATGCCTTAACTGCCTTAATACTTCTTTTCACATTATCAGTTGCATTCAACTTAAACACTTGTAATTCCGATTAAATCTCTCAATTGACTATTAAATGAACATCAAAAGTTGTACAATAAGTTTTTGTGATAAGATAAGGTTAAAAATGTGCTGTGTGTATGCTCGTAATTAGTTCATTACCTCAATTCTGTCGAGTAAATTGTGGTAGGGAATGAAACAATAAAGAAAATTTAAAGCTTGTAAGAATTTTTAAGTAGCTAAAGCTATGGTTTCTTTTGTTATAGTTCACTGTGGGTATCTTCACTCGACTTTGGCTCACTAAGCTCGGCTATGGCGCACTACGCTCGAGTATTGCTCACTAAGCTCGGCTATGGCTCACTTCGCTCGACTTTGGCTCACTACGCTCGACTATGGCTCACTACGCTCGACTATGGCTCACTACGCTCGACTATGGCTCACTACGCTCGACTATGGCTCACTACGCTCGACTATGGCTCACTACGCTCGACTATGGCTCACTACGCTCGACTATGGCTCACTACGCTCGACTATGGCTCACTTCGCTTGACTTTGGCTCACTACGCTCGACTATGGCTCACTACGCTCGACAATGGCTCACTACGCTCGACTATGGCTCACTTCGCTCGACTATGGCTTACTACGCTCAGCTATGGCTCACTTCGCTCGACTATTGCTCACTACGCTCGACTATGGCTCACTACGCTCGACCATGGCTCACTACGCTCGACTATGGCTCACTACGCTCGACAATGGCTCACTTCGCTCGACTTGGCTCATTGATAAATTGAATGATTAAGAATTTTTACAATTCCATAATCACCTTTATCATTTGACTTATTGACTCAAGTACCTTTTCCAAAAAAAGTTCAATTTTATCCAGTATATTCCAGCTTAAGTGCTAATACTCTCGAAAGATATTTACAAGTCATCATAATCAAGCATTACAAGACAATTTGAAACCATTAAGAGTAACATGAGCTTTATAAATCCATTTTATCAGCCAATCTGTCTGTTGTTGAAATATTTGATTGACGTATTAAGATGACTATTGGAAAGATCTTGATAGTGAATACAATAATTGGGATGATAAGGCTGCTTTATAGCAATTCTTGAGACTTTTTCAAGTGACTAAATCTAAAAATAATCGGAGGACGTAATTGGCTGGTATGGTGCTGGTATGCGTCAGATTTGGGTTAAATTAGGATTTTTTCATCCCACTGTGGCCTCTTTATAGGATTTCATGATTTTGCACAATTTCCAAGATCTAATTCAGTTTGTAGAGCTAACCAGGATAATATAAGCAATCCATGCCTGATTATATTCTTTCTCAGAGCAACATACCTTATAGAAATGTAAAAACACACCACTGACCTATTTAACTGCAAAATATACACGCAACAGGTGTTAAACAAACTGCATTGGAATGCAGATGCATCTAAATATCCACAAGTGTAAATGCCTCAACAAGTTTCATTCAACAAGTCACGTGTGATTTCCATGACGACGTTGCTATTGACAACATCTTCTTTATGTTTATTTCGTGTCAACAAAATTCAAATCTGCATCAATTCTATCAATTCTGACCAAAACAAATGTCAAATCTGACTTACAATAATCTCTGGCGAACAGCCCAAGTCGACCTTGAGAAGCTTGCAACTCACGATTATGAATTTCAGTCATCGGAACCACAATTTGACAAGCACTTTGCACAGTCAAAGATATTTGAACTATACTCAAAGTACATCATTATTGGGAATAAATTAAATGAAATCTACGATCAGATGCTGCAGCCACAGAAGAGAATTCTTGTCAAGAAGATCCTCGATGCTTGTCTTGGTCGAGTTTGTGAGCTGAAGCAAGATTTGGTCAAATTGGATCTGACTGAATTTAGTTACAATGATGAGATCATGTTGAAGCTTAAATTGACTCCATTTGACACTGAAATTGTCATTCCTCACTACTTCCTACGCGAACGGGAAGAAGAACTGATGGCACGTGCCAAGACAATGGACGAGATCCTCAAAAGAATCGGAGTTATTGAGGAGGAAATTCCAATTGAAAGATTATCGGAACTGGAAGCAATCCGGATCATCCAAATGCACGAACGAGCACGTCAAGGACGTCTTCGTGCTCAATTTATGAAGGAAATCCGTTCACTAAAAGAAAAAGGCAAGCCAGAGCGTGGAAAAGCTGAGACTGGATTTATGGCAGCGCTAAAAATCCAAAAAGTCTGGCGTGGCTTTGCAAGTCGAACGCAAACAAGGAAGAGAAAAATGCAGGAAATGATTCTGATTGGAATGCTGCCAGATCCAACTAGAGACACAAAAAATCTCGAAAATATTGAGCGTGTCAGGAATGAGAGAAGGAAATTGCAGATGGAATATCAGAAGCTGTATGAGACATCAATGAATCGGTTCGAGACTGAAATCAAAGAGAAGCAAGGATCAACTATGAATGAAGACATGACTGATGAGATAAGGAACTGGTTTCGGGATTATTTTGGACGAACTGGAAAGTTCCCAGAGTTTCCATCTGAAGAAGCTGGTGGATCGAGACATTTGTTGAGTCGTCAAGGTAAAATCTTAATTTTTGGTTAGACTTTGCTTAATTCTAGTAATTTAATGTAGGCACAGACAGTGAATTTAGTCGATCATCAGCTCCATCATCCAAAGAGTCCAAAAAGACCATTAAGGATAAGACTAAAGAAAAAGGCAAAGGAGATGAGCCAATAATTGATGATGGATTTAAGAAAGGATTCAAACCAGAAGAATCGTCATTTTTGCCGGAAATTAAAGCTGGAATTGATGAGTAAGTTGTGCTTTCACTGGTTTTTTTTTTGTACATTGAACTAGAGTTAAGATTGTGGTTCCATGTTGGGTTGAATAGTCAACTACCTGGTTTTCTACATAAGCACACAGTAAGAAAAAGTCAAGTTCAGGGATATTAAATTTGATTTTTTCTGAAAATTCAGGTACAACGACATTTGGAAGGGCAAGTACGAAGGTGGAAACTTGAAGCAACTTCACTACGAAGACATGATCTTTGCTGATAAATATTCAGAAGTTGAGCTTGAATTGAGGAAGATTGTCGATGAAATGATGCGTCATGAGCTTGAGCTGTTGCAGGTAAGTCAATACTTATGTCAATTTTGTGTTTCTTTAAACAATTCAACTACCATTTCAGATAGCTCTCGACAAAGACAGAGCAGCAAAAGGCAAGAAAGTCAAAAAAGGAGGCAAAAAGGCTCGACGAGCAGGAAAGAAAAGCAAAAAGAAGAAGGAAAAAGATCTCACACCTGACCGAACCACAGAATCTCTTTTTGAGGAACTTGTTGTCAATGGAATTATTGTAAAGTATCCTGAAAATTACATGAAGAATTTCCTTGGTGATCGAGCTTATGCTGCTCGTAGTTCAACCAATCCAGCACCAGGAGATGTCAGACAATTGTTGAAAGAATATTGCATATTGCCATTGGGTAGTGCGATGATTAGGAACTATGCGCCTTGTATTAAGTCAATATTGATTGGTGGACCTAAAGGTAAGTCACTTAATGGACACTGGGAAGTCAAGACTAGTCATGAACCTTATTAAGGCTCAAAGATCATATTATTTGGTCAAATTAAAGATTTTTAACCTCAAAAACAATTCCAGGAACCGGAAAGCGCTCTCTTGTCCAAGCAATAGCAACAGAAGTCGGTGCAGTCATGTTCGACCTCAGCCCAGTCAATCTAGTTGGAAAATATCCTGGAAAAACTGGTCTCATCATGTTGATTCACTTGATTCAAAAAGTTTCACGTCTCTTACAGCCAACAATTTTGTATTTTGAAGACGCTGAAAAGCCATTCATGAAGAAAATTCCAAAAACTGACAAGACTGATCCGAAAAGGTTAAAAAAGGATTTGCAGAAGATTGTGAAGAATATTGCACCTGAGGATAGAGTTATGCTGATTGGGGTGTCTAATGCTCCTTGGGTGTGACTTTAAGCTTTGTGACATAAAGAAGTGGTTTTAAAGATTTTTTTGTTTTTCAGGATGCAGACCAGAAGCTCCTTCAACAGACTTACAATAGGTTCATTTACATCCCACGGCCTGATTATGGAGCTTTGTCACATGCTTGGCGTGAATTGTTAGCGTGAGTTGGACTTAAATTGAAAACATTGCTATTGATTCTTCTTCCAGGAAAGCTTAAATCTTTCGAGCTTAACGATTGTCAGTCTGTAAGACAGAATCCACAAACTTGGAATGATGTTGAGGACTTCACGGGGGTCCGGGAAGTTCCAGAGCTCGAAATCAACAAGAACCTAATCAATCAATCCCTTCTCATTCCAGTCAGTATCCAGGAGTCTCAAAAACCTTTGATTCTGGTGCAATGGCTAAGGTATCAGACGGATACACAATCGGAGCTGTTTCTCAGTGCATTCGAGATGTCATCACATGTAAGAGGATGTTGCAGTTGAGAATCAAACCATTGACACATGTTGAACTGATTAATACATTAAGTACAAAGGAACCAGTCTACAGAGAAGAGGAGGAGGCGTTTTTGTCTTGGTGGGCAAAGGTGATGATCAAGTTGATAGTTTTGTTGTTGATTTTTAAGGTTAATTGAGCTTTTTTTTTTCAAAATATTTCAGACTCCTTTGGGAAAGTTAAAAGGCAAAGCAATGGAACTAGAAAGTGACAAAATGGACAGAGAGCTAATGGATCCCAAGAAAAAACCCAAATAGATTTTTAATAGAATTTTGTGTGATTTATTTTTTTAATAAACTTAGTTGAATAGTTGGATTGAATTTAAAAACGATTTGTGCGACTCCACATGATTGAAAATTGCAATAAAAACAATTTTAATATAAAAATAACTTTGAATATTTTTAATGGAACAGCTTAAATCTGAAACAAAGCTCAAATGTGTCATTCAACTCAAAATCATTTACCAAAAAATAATTAAACCAAAAAATTAAACCTTAAATTAATTTTTAAAAATCAAAAATCAAAAAAGTAGCAAAAAAGTTACTGCAAGGTGTGGGGTTCGAACCCACGCTCCCAGATGGGAACCAGAGCTTAAATCTGGCGCCTTAGACCGCTCGGCCAACCTTGCATTTGAATCGATGTTCGTGTTCTTGACAAAATTGCCTCTTAAACCTGTCAAGTATCTGATTTGAAATCAAGTTCAAGGAAATGTGTGAAAAAAAGAGAAGTTATCAGAATGAGATAATTTTTTAGGCAGGTGTTTATTTTTTTGAGAGGTGAATGTGCTGTTGATGTGATGTTTATTGAAGGTTAGAGAGAAAAAATTGAGGGAGGAATCAGGTAAGAATATTTTAAATATTTCAATCAAGTTTAAAAAAATCTCAGTTATGAAGGTAAATTACTAGAGAGTGTCTGGATTTGGGCTTGTTCTTATTAAGTCTCACTTAAATAGTCTATTAAAATTTAACTTTGAGCTTGTCGAAAAGAACGGATGCAAAAAAGGAACAAAAAAAGTCAACAGCACGTAGCGTTCCCAAGCGGTCACCCATCTAAGTACTAACTACGCTCGACGTTGCTTAACTTCGGTGATCGGACGAGAACCGGTGTTTTCAACGTGATATGGTCGTTGACAAGAGTTGTTGTGGCTAGTTCCACTTCTTAAACAGTTTCTCAGCCATGATTCATACAAAATAAAGAAACTTCAAAAGAAAAGTCATTGATTTTTGGATTAAAATTGATAAATTTAAAGGAACGGATGCAAAAAAGGAACAAAAAAGTCAACAGCACGTAGCGTTCCCAAGCGGTCACCCATCTAAGTACTAACTACGCTCGACGTTGCTTAACTTCGGTGATCGGACGAGAACCGGTGTTTTCAACGTGATATGGTCGTTGACAAGAGTTGTTGTGGCTAGTTCCACTTCTTAAACAGTTTCTCAGCCATGATTCATACAAAATAAAGAAACTTCAAATGAAAAGTCATTGAATTTGGGATTAAAATTGATAAATTTAAAGGAACGGATGCAAAAAAGGAACAAAAAAGTCAACAGCACGTAGCGTTCCCAAGCGGTCACCCATCTAAGTACTAACTACGCTCGACGTTGCTTAACTTCGGTGATCGGACGAGAACCGGTGTTTTCAACGTGATATGGTCGTTGACAAGAGATGTTGTTGCTAGGTCCACTTCTTAAACAGTTTCTCAGCCATTATTCATACGAAATAAAGAAAAATCTTTGAATCAGGCACCTAAATTGACTTTTTTAATCTTAAGGCTTGATTTTTATGACAATAGACCTAATGAAGCAATTTACAACATTTTAATCAATTCTGTTTCAACTTCAATAAAATTGCAAACCAAATTTCAAATTTTTCATCGCTTTCATGTCCCAACTTCAACATCATTCCATCCAAAAAAAAATCTTAATCAACGCAGAACAAGAGTAAACAGATGCAAAAATTCATCAGCTGATGTTTGTTGTGGTTGAAAAAAAATGAGTTTTTGCTGATCGAATAAGAAGATTTTTGTTATTTTTTGGGTCAAGAACGGGATTGTTACTTGCTGAAGAGTTGATTTTTGTGTAGTTTAGTGAACTTTGTGGGAGCATAAGATGAAGAAAATTTCAAATTCTTGAGAAATTTAGTTAAAATTATAGAAATTTGAAGATTTTGTGGTAAAATAATGAAAAAGTAAACAAAATGTTGTGAAAAATATAAAAATAGATTGAAAAATTTACAAATTTGAATAAAAAATTAAAAAATTTGAAATTAATTTAAAAAATCAATAAATTCAATAATTTAATTTAAAAGAAAAAAAGTTAAAATTGAATTTAAATTGCGTACTTAAACTTAAAAATGAAACATTTTTAAGGAAAATTAGTAAAAAATTAAAACAAAACAAGTTACTTAAAATAGTAAATTGTAACAACAATGAGTTAAATTTGAAGGTAAACAACAACAAGTTCCTTAATTAAGTTGCAATTATGTTACAATCTTAAGGCTACAATTAAATAATTTAAAGCAAAATTGATCAAATTCAAAACTTTAAATTATTTTTTTTTATTTTACAAATTTGATTAAAAGATTTTCAAATTTAATTGATCTTTTTCTAGAATCAATAACGAAGTCAACCACCAAAGATGTTCAAACTATTCAACAGAAACTTATTTAAGCAATGCCGAGTTGTGCACCAAAGATATGGAGCTACTCAAAAGGTAAAGACCACCTCGTCTTATACATCAAGTCCCAAATGTCTTTCAAGGACAGTGCTTCTCAAACTATGCTCCACGATACATATCTATGTCATTGTAACATTCATCTCTCGTCAGAGAATTGCTACTTAAACTTTAATAATTTAACCCAGTGATGGCGAACCCATGTGCCGCGGCACATGAAACCCCACAATCCGTATGCTGTGTGCAGTTTCAGTAATAGCTTACCATCATGTTGTGCCGAGGCACAAAAAAGGTTGACCACCACTGATCTAACCGAACCAATCCCCTTCCCATTTCAGCTCTCAACACGAACCTTCCACTATGACCAAAGCAAGTATCACTATTTGATAACTTCCGTTGGTCAAAATAAAGCAAATACGACTGAACAGCTGCAGTTCCTTGAAGTTCTCGTTCGAACAATTGAGACTGAAAGGCAAATGATGTATCCACAGACTCAGCAGTTAGCCACAAATTTACTAGTTGAGCTGCAAAATGAGACGAGAGAAGTTCCATGTGAGGTGCTTCAGGAGAATTGCAGGCTTGGATTAGGTAACATTTTTAAGTATATTCGTGCTGTAATTCCATCTAATGTTTAAATATTCCAGCACTGCTAGGCTACTCAGCACCAATTCGTACCGAATATCTTCGAATCCTCACAATTGATGGAGGTGGCATACGAGGCATTCTAGTCATTGAAATGTTAAAGAAACTCGAGGAATTGACAGGAAAAAGAATTTTTGATCTTTTTGACTTCATTTGCGGTGTCTCGACAGGATCAATTGTTGTTTGTGGCCTCACAGCTGATCCACTCAGGACTTTATCGGAAGGTCAAGAACTGTACAAAGAAGTCAGTCGAAAAGTATTTCATTTACCGGGTACGCTGGATGTTTTGTCAGGAACGTCAAGGCTAATGTGGACACATGCTTATTATGATGTCGATTTATGGGAGAAGCTGCTGAAGCAGACTATGACTGACATGAGAATCATTGATACATCGAGATTCGCTAATGTTAAAAAGGTTTGTGGCTTAATATGTTCAACTTGTTACTAATTTTAATAATTCTGAATCTTCCAGTTCTGCTGCGTCTCAACGACAGTATCAGATGATTCACTAGATGCTCATGTCTTTCGTAACTATGTCTTGCCATGGAATGTAGAGTCAATTTATCATGGCAGTCACACAGCTGCACTATGGGAAGTTGTAAGATGCTCAAGTGCTGCTCCAACTTATTTTGGAGATTTTATACTCAATAATCAGGTTCATCAGGATGGTGGGGTGCTTTATGTGAGTATAGACTTAAATTGGAAATGACTTTCAGGTTGTGTGTGACTGAGCAGTCTTGCTTAACCTTTTAACATCATAATAAAAGCAATGCTGTCAGCAACACAACTAAATTGGAATGACTGAACACAATTAAATCCCAATTTTTGAGTCATTGCAACTTCAAATCATTCTCCAAACTTATCAACTTCTCATCATTCCAGAATAACCCGTCCTGTGTAGCTATACATGAAGCCAAGCTTCTCTGGCCGAATCAGAAACTCTGTCTAGTCTCATTAGGAACAGGTCGGTCACCAAACAAAAGGAAAATGGATAGTCAAAAGCTTTATACACAAAAGCAAATGCAGAGTCTGTTTAAGGACACTGCAATACAGACTAGCAGCTGGAAAACTAAGTTTTTGAGGATTTTGGATGCAGCTACAGATACGGAGCAGACACATCACATACTCAGTAAGTACAATTTTTTATTCGGAATCCTTAATTCTAACACAATTTATCCAACAGGTGACCTAATGGAGCCCGGAACCTACTTCCGATTCAACCCGTATCTCACCAATATGGTCTCAATGACCGAATGCAATAAGGATAAATTAGCTCAGCTGGAGAAGGATGCTTTGATGTATTACAGAAGGAATGAGCAAAAGTTTGAGGAACTTGCTGAAATGCTGTTGAAACCAAGGACTGGATTGACGGCTATTAATGATTTTTTGTTCAACTAAATTGGCTATTAAGATAGGATTTAATTAGGTTTACGCTCGAGGACGTTGTATGATTGTCTTGCTAGGCTGAATGGCACAAGTTGGTTAATCGATCAGAAATCTAGCAACAAGCCGGTGTGACTATGGCATGGAGCTGGATTTGAATCGAAGTTTGGTGCCAGTTTTCTACTCGATTAACCGACTTGTGCTTTTCTGGCAGATTTGTCACTTAGTATTCTGTTTGTCTATTGATGTTGACCTTAATAGTTTATTGGTGCAAAATTAATAATCAAGGCTTGATTGATCAGTTCTATATTCTCGAAAGAAGTACAACATGAATCCTAGCTAGACTTATTTAGGTTTTAAACCTTAAAAATCGAGCTAATCCCTTCGTTCAAGTCCTATTTGAGATAATTAAAAGAAAATTTTGTAGATTGTTGCTAACATGGATGTGTAGGGTATGCTTAAAGCAAAAAAAAACACTTCAAAATTCTTCATTATTAAGTTTTTAAAACTTTGATGCATTTTTCAAAAATTATATGCAAAATTTAAGAATCAAGTAGCTTTATAGAGTCGTAAATTTTATTATGTTTTATGTCACAAGTTTCGAATTTCCACTGTTATAAAAATAGTCACTCAATAAAATGTTTTATCAATTTGAAAAAATTACCTTTTTGAGATTTTTGTGTTCAACACTAAGTTTAGCAAAATATTTTTAAGAATTGAGAATTTTATTTTAAAAAGTTTCATTAAATTTTACCTAAAACTTGATATAAAATGCAAAATAAATTAAGGTTAGCTATTAAATACTGCTGACTTATAACAAGCTTAACAACAAATATTTAAAAAAATAAATTTAGTTTCAAAACCTTTTTAAAAAAATCAAATTTTACAAAAAGTCAACGAAAATCACAAAAAAATCAATTAAGAAATAGCAAAAATTCATCAGAATCTACAAAAAAATGGATCTTTTCTGTGAATACTCAACAGTCTCATCATTCTACACCGATGAAAACATCTACAAGTGTGAAGTCATTGGAATCAACAGAATTGCAACAAATGGACGTGTCCTCAACATCCATGGAACTCATCCAGATGGCAAATCTAATGCCGATGTCAACACATTGACAATTTTCGATCATCAAATTGAAAACTTTCCACGTTATTTGTGCAAATTCTTCCCAAACTTAAAGTCAATTTCCGTCCTTTGTTGTGGATTAAAAAAATTATCAAAATTTGACTTTATTGGATGTGAAGGAATTGAAAAGTTGATGCTGAATGGAAATTTAATCAAGTCTGTGGCTCCGGATGTCTTTGAATATGTTTCAAATTTAGAAATAATTTCATTTTTTATGAATCAAATTTCATTTGTGCCTGAAATTGTCTTTGATGGACTTAAAATGTTGAAATATGTCAATTTTAAAATGAATCCAGGCATTGATTGGTGCTGCAAGGAGTTTGGACGACAAGGAAATTTATTGGCAGAAATTAAGGGGAAGTTGAGGAAGGATTTTGGTGCTAAACAAGTCATTGAAAGTGCTGAAAATGGAACTCAGGAATTTTTCGAAGCCTTCAAATTTTTGGAGAATTTTCGAGACTCGGCAAGGATTGCAATGGAAGATAACTGCGATAATAGGATCAAGATGATGTTTAATAGGTTCTGAAGGGTTTTGAGGTTAGGTTGTGGATCAGATTTTGAGGTTAGGTTGGAATTTATTGCAAAAACTCGTCAAAAATGTAAAATTTTACAAAATAAAAGAAAATCAAAATTCTAAAAAAATTATCCAATAGAATCCTTAAAAGGAGATTTAATTTCAAACAGCAAATCAATCTTAAAGACCATATCATCAGTAGAATTGAACACAACAACCTTAAGTTTGTAATATCCTTGAGGAAACATGTCGAATGCCTTTGATTCATCCACAGTAATGTTATAAAGTTGATAGTCGCCTTGGTAAGGACATTTATGAAATAATTTAGGCGCAGATTCTTTGAGTTGTCTGATAATCAACATAATGTACATGTGGGTCTGCATTCCATCCATAATTGAGCACCATTCTCTCTTCTTTGTGTCAATTACTTCACGATAAATAGTTCCATAGCGATAATGTAGAATAAATTGGAAGTGCATTGGCCTTTTTATTGGCTTTACAACAGATCCAACTAAGTTTAGAGTCACAATTCGTCGTGTATAGGCTTTGAGGTAGCATCCATGTAGTAAAACTGAGTTGTTATCTGTTGAGCACTTTGCAGAACGGAATCGAACTCCAATATTGTATTGAATTGATGGTTTTACTGAATTAACTTTGAATATTGCAAAAATCACCAAGAATAATGATACAAGCTTCATATTAAGGCAGAAACTGATTCCCAAATGTTAATCTGATTTATTTTTATACAATTGCAGCCATGTGTTTAATTTGGCTCATAATAGTAATTATTTTAGGGGTAGACGTAAATAATTATTGGTAATTTCATGATTTGGTATTCATTAATTTTTGACTCTCCTTCCATTAAACTCAAACTCATTGCTCTCATTACAAAATTAATTATTTTTGAGCATTGATAAAAATCTCAGTCAAAATAAAATTAAATCTCTCAAAATGAGTCACATCAGAATAAAAACAAATAAACAAGCTGAATGTTGATAAAGGCTTTGAATTATTTCATTTTAATCTCATTTTGTGTCTGGATTTAAGTGACTTAAGATGAGGTAATTTTGGTTTCAGTTTAGTATAAACTTTTAAATTTTAAGAAATTGGGAATGTGATTCTGAAATTTAAATAAGGTTTGACTTTGGAACTGAAGTTTATTACGTGGTTTAGGAACCAAGAAAACTGATCTTGAATCAATAATATGGTTCTAGAACCATTTTTTTGGTTCTGGAACATTATCTTGAATCAGAAACTATTTTCTTGGTTCTGGAACCATTTTCTTGGTTCTGGAACCAGTTTGGAATCATTTTTCTAGTTTGAGAAGCTTTTTATTGGTTCTGAAACCATTATGTTGAATTTGAATTCATTTTGATGGTTCTGGAACCATTTTCTTAGTTCTGTAAACATTATCTTGAATCTAAAACCATTTTATTGGTTCTAAAACCCTTGTTTTTGGTTCTTGAACCATTTTATTGGTTCTAAAACCATTTTGTTGGTTCTGGAACCATTTTTTGACTCTGAAACCATTTTATTGGTTCAAAAATGTATGCTAGGATAATGAATCTACCAGTCCGTGTAGCAGCAAGGATACGATTGGTTTTTTTTTTCGAAATCAGTCCAATTAGTAAAGCAAAGGTCACGCAAAAGGCTTTTACTAAATTCTGTAAATGATTCTGGCGACTCTAATGTTCAAATCAACAATCTTATTACAAACTGATAACTTTAGTAGTTTCATCATTCACAGATCCATCAAATTATCAACTTTAGGCCTTCAAATGTTCCTTATCGCAGCTATTTTTGCTGTCTTAACCCAACCAAGTCTTCAAAACTCAATAAATTGTGACTTTAACAAGCAAACTGAAGAAGAAATCCTCTGCATCATCAACAAGACGGCAATATCACATCCAGATACAAAAATAGAGCATAACCATGTCGATAAATTGAATGTCTTGAAGATATTTGGCACATCAATCGAATATTTGCCAGTAAAATTGGATCTAAGCTTACCAAAACTCCATCAATATTTTGTGGATAATGCGAGATTCTCAAAGATTGAGAAGAAAAATTTGGAAAACTTAAAAAGTTTGAAAATTCTGATCCTCAAAAGTAAATTATGCTCAGAAGTAGCAAAAGACGCATTTGAGGATTTAGAAAACTTGACATTCTTGAACCTTGCTGACTCTAGCATCAGCTACTTCCACTCAGAGACCTTCAAGCCACTGAAAAATCTCGAAGTTTTGAATATTTTGGGAAATAATCTTGAAATTCTTCATCCACATGCTTTTGACTCGCTTAATCAGCTTCAAATCCTCTCGTTCGCCAGGAACAATTTAATAACTTTAAATCGTCAGCTGTTCCTCAATAAAAATGAACTAAGAATAATTGATGGATATGACAACAACTTTGAGCACTTGGATGAGACAACTTTTGATGGACTTAAGCTTGAAAGTCTAAATTTACAGCAATCTGGAAGCTGTTCATTGTACAAATATCAACTCACTGAAAGACAAGAGATCATGAACATGGATGAGGTCAAAGAAGACATTCGGGATGACTGCAAAGGAACTGACTTTAAAATTTATGAAATTCATGCAAGAACGATGGAAATTGTTGAAAAGTTTGGTGATAAAATGTAGAATATCCAAGGTTAGAGCTTCTTATAAACCTTAAATTTGATTTTTAATAAAGTTTAACTGTTTCGTTTTCATTTTTCAAATTGAAATGCTTAAATTTGCTCGATCTTCATCATTGTAAAGGAGCTGCCATTGTGAATGGTGGAAATTAATTCATTGTAATCGTGTTGATCAGTAAAATGATATTCATTAAGGTTTTAAAACGTGTTTGGAAACTAAAACTAAGATCCAGTAGATCTTAAAAAAGCTAGAAATCTCCAAGTGCAACAGTGTTACTAAAACCTTTAAGCACTGTAATTTTATTCTTAACATTAATAATTCTTAAATCTATATTATGGACGCAAGCTCAGTGTGTAGCGTATAATCTTCACTAAGCAGTTGTGCGTCCAGCAGCCAATTAAAAGCTGTTTTTAGATCTTAGAACTAGTGTTCGTGTCGGCTCTCGTTCCAATTTTCAGTAGGTCACAATGTCTCTAGATTCATTCCAGTGAAAGCCCTCGTTGGTGAATTTACGGCTCTCGTATCTTTTTCATTCTGTCTACATAATTTTTGACCCGTTCCTACATCTCACATTGCCTAATTCTTAGTTGTACGTCTTAAACGTATCACCTAAGAAGCCAAAGTATCTAAACTTCGAAAAATCACTAGGCTGGTGGTGGGATTTGAACCCGGGAGTCCAAATTCAACATGACCTTTTGTGACCTGTACCTTGCCAACTGAGCTATCATGTCATTTTTGCTTTTCAGTATGCTTAATTACTAGCTTATACAAAGTAACTGGCTTGCTTTATCTCTAGCATACCTTACATTGAGAAACATCAGGGACTGCCATTTCTAGCGCAACTTGGCAACCTTAGGTGGGGATGAAATTCAACAAATTACAATTTTTGGATTAAATAACACCAGAGCTCGATGCCGACTTGAGTTGATTCGAGCCGACTCAGTTTTTTTGTTGAGTTGACTTCATTTTTCCGAGTCAACACAAATCGACTCTAACCCTATCGACTTCGAGCTCTGAATAAATCTTATCTAATACTAGGATAAGCTTCTCTTTTCTGCCCTTGAAACTGGCCTGTTTGGTTTTGAACTAAAGGAACTGCATCTAGCTGAATTCTCAATAAATTCCCAAAATTAACTTTTTCAAGCGATAAGCTTAATTTGAACAACTTAAAAAAAAGTAATAAAAAAATCCGTTACAAAAAAAGTTCAAAAACATAAATTTTCCACAACACCAAGTTGCCCCCCTTCGCATCAATTGAAGCAAAAGTATCTTTGTTATCCCCTGGCGTCAAAAGAGGCAAAAACAGCAGAAAAACAAAATAATAGAAAAAAGTGAAAGAGCAAAAAAAATGAATTAAAAATAAATTTTTTCCATGTTTTTAAAAATTCCTCCAAAAATCAACAACAAATTAAGATCAAATTAGCCATTCCCATCAGATTACATCACACGAAAAGTATTAGAAAAAGTTGAAAATAGTTTTAAAATTTAGAAATTAAAAAATTAATTTGTGAAATCTCAAATAAAAATGCCACCACTCCATCGCTACCACAATAACTACACATACGTCAGCTCCTGCACAAAATATTTAATTTTTCTACTTAACTTTATATTCTGGCTGTTTGGTGGACTTCTTATAGGTAAGCAATTCATCACAGTTCGATGACTCATTCGCAACACTTTCATTTTTCTGATGTTTTGTTGTTTACTTTCAGGAATCGGATTTTATTCTGGATTTGATAAATTTCAAGCGACAGGACTCATCAAACTCGACACTTACTATGATATCCTCCTTAATATCTCAATTGTCTTAGTGCTATGTGGAGGTGTCGTGTTCATTGTCTCATTCTGTGGATGTCTCGGTGCCCTCAGAGAAAATACTTGTTTATTGAAATTTTACTCGCTATGTCTACTCGTGTTCTTCTTATGTGAAATGGCAATTGCTATTGTTGGATTTATATTTCCACATACGTTGAATCAGATGCTGGAGGACTCTTTTACTGATAGGGTGAGTTGTCTATGCTTTATGGCAGTGATGGTCAACCTATGTGCCGTGGACAAAAATTCGGGAAATTCCACGAGACGTATTTTGTGTGCAGTTTCGATCTAAGCTTACCATAAAAGTGCTGGATCACAAAAAAAGTTGACCAGCACTGCTCTATGGCAAGGGATTAGTCTATTTCGATAGAATTTTTAGGTCAACTCTGAAAAGTTTTAATAAAATCAAAAATCGTACCAAATACGAGCTAAGCCTCACATCACACACCACCAAACATCAATTTGATCTAAATCTAAATCTCACCCACATCCAAAAACTACACAAAAAGAAATGACAAAACATTTACAGTTGACCTGTTTTTCGCACAGACCAATTAATCAATTTTCTCTGACAATAATTGCTCAAAGATATATTTTTTTAAAAAGAAATTATTATTTAAATTGCTAACGAGCCACGATGTCGTTTTAAATGAAATAATTAACTTATTTATTGTCTTTTTGTACTTTTAGATAGTTACGCTGTACCGTGACGATCCTGACCTACAAAACTTCATCGACTTTGTGCAGCAAGAGTTCAACTGCTGTGGATTGAGCTCGGCTGGATTTTTGGATTGGTGAGTATTGGCTGGGTTTATAGGTTTTTGTTTTTGGGAAGCTGGTATTTGGTATGAGGTAAAGCATGAAGAGGGTCCAGCCTTTTGAGCTGGAGGAACTGCGATTCAAATTTGGTATTTGCTATATTGAGTTTATGAGTTGGATATACTGCAATTTGTGTATTAAACGATTTTTGTGAATGAATCGTTTAAGGAAGGAACTTAAAAATGAAACTAGATTCAATAGATTATCGTTTAATCACAAATCAAGTAACTATCAAGGGTGTGGAATTGTAAATTACATTTTGATCATTTTTGATTAATTTTGAACATTTTTGATAATTTTTGATCATTTTTTGATCATTTTTTGATCATTACATCAGTACCACACCCTTGGTAACTATATTACCAGTTCTGACATCCATACAGATTAAACATCCTTGATAAGACGGTTCTGTAGAACCAATGAACCATTTAGTACCAAAGGTTTAGTTAATAAATTTCAAGTAGGTGCTAAAACCTGCGAAATCATCTTCCATCTAAGAATTAGTCATTATCAGAGTCTATTTTCTATTGATCCTGGGTACAGAGATATCTAGGGTATATCTGAGACTGCTGTAGAGTACCCACTGGCATAGCAAAGAGTAGGAACCTGGTTTTAAGCAACGCTAAGTCTCTATGAGTAGCCCTAGAATTCATAGAAGCTACCCTCTAGTTTATCATGTTGAAATAAGGATTAACCATTCATAAATAATACCTGAAGCAAGTGTTGTCCAAACTGTATGCCGTAGACTTTATTTGTAAATGACACGAGCTACAATCTGTGTCTGATTCAGTCATACCTTACTCCTAAAGTGTGCCGTGGCTCAAACTGTTTGGAAAACACTGCCTTAACCGATGAATTCAGCATTAATCTTGCTAGTAAAAATATCCAACAATTAAGCTCAATGTCAAGATTTAATGCTTGCAGAAACCAAGTTACATAAATCAGCAACTTTCAATGCCGCAAAATGATTTAAAATATTTTTCAAAATTATTAACAATTTAATGTTTAAATCAAGATGACGGTAGTCATGTTTATGCTTATTAAACTAATTTGCAGCAACTTTCATTACAAATTATATAGCATGAATTATTGTTTTGTATATAAAATGAGCTACTGAGTTTATTTTGAACTGTTTGCTATGAACATTGGTGTAATCAGGGGGTTCCTATTCTCCCTTAATTTAGTTTGGGAAGTATCTAGAATCTTTTGGAGTCAAGATCCCTCCTCCTAGCTCCACCCCTGACTGTGATTCATAGAAAGTTTCATAATAACATAAGCTAGATCAACACAGCGAAGAAAATCTCATAATAATGCACAATGACTTATTCTTGTTGATAAATATCAGTATTTTGTTATCTGAGTTGTGTAAACAATCACTCGCGTACATTTTATGCCATTTGATTTCAACTTCTTTTATATTTTCTAATTTTTAGGTCCAAAAATGAATACTTCAACTGCTCATCGCCCTCAGTTGAGAGATGTGGTGTCCCATACAGCTGCTGTATCAACTCAACAGACATTTCTTCTGGACTGATTAATATGTAAGTATGTCAACTATCTTTATGAAAATTTAAAAGGAAAATCAAGAGCTCGAGTGGATCAACATAGTTTCTAGATCAATGCTAAGTTGAACTGTCCATGTGTGGGTGCCTTAGTTGTACTCAAGTGTCTGCTTGAAGCCCAGTTTTATGGAAAATAATAAAATTTATTACAGTATGTCACTCGGGTACATGGATCTTCCTAAAAGCTTCGTTACAAGCATCTAAAAGGCCACTTATTTAATATGGAAGTCAGTGTGATGCTGGCTTGCTGCTAAATTATCGTCTTATTTCAGGATTATTATTTTACTTATCTAAAACTTTATCAGTCACATGTAGCACCAAGACACAATCCATACATTTGTGAACACCCTAAAGACTAATCATAGCATCAACAATATTAACAATTCTTTCTCTTTTTACAGTATGTGCGGCTATGGCGTTCAATCTCAGTCCGTGAGTCAAGCGAGCAAGAAGATCTGGACATCAGGCTGCATAGAAATCGTTCGAGTCTGGGCCGAGAGAAATCTTTATTTATTCGCTGGTGTTGCACTAAGTTGCAGTTTCGTACAACTTCTCATCATTTATCTCGCAAAGACACTGGAGTCTCAAATTGAATTGCAGCGTTCAAGGTGGTCAAGCACTTGAGTTGGATATTTAAGGGACAATTTCCGATGCCAGTTTTTGTAAAGACAAAATTTAAGAATTAAATGGGAGGAAGCTCAAAAAATGTCAGAAAAATGTGAAAAAGTCCTGGGGTGGGGGTGAGGTGTGGTTCAGGTTGTGGGGGTGGGTGACTGTCTTCATTTTTGGGATACTGCATTATTTTTAATTACGCTGACTGATTTGATTGAGTTACTTTCGAGGTTAGGTTTTGGTTTTTTAAGGTTATATTTTATTATTTATGAATTTTGAGGTTAGATTTACTCAAAAAAAAGGTTTTTGAGGTTATGTTTATTCAAAAAAAAAAAGGTTTTCTTAAGTTAGATTTATTGAAAAAAAAGAATTTTTGCGGTTAGGTTTATTCAAAAAAATGATTTTTGAGGTTAGGTTAATTCAAAAATCTTTTTAAGGTTAGTTTAAAAGAAATTCTTCAGGATCTTTTTTGAGGTTAGAATTTAAAATAATAACATTACGTTTAATGATTTTGAAGTTATTATGTACCAAAAATTATTTAAGAACATATTTGAGGTTAAGTTCTCAGTAATTTTAAGAAAACTTGGTTAGGTTTAGCATAGCATGTTTGAGGTTAGGATGGTTAAAACCAATTTAAGGTTTAGTTTTTAAAATCAAATTTGAGGTTAGAAATGGCAGAATTTTTTGAGGTTAGGTCATATATTTAATAATTTATTTTGAATTATTATTAGGTTAGGTTTTTGTTTTTACAAATTTTGAACTTATTCTTTACCAAAAACGCCAAAGGTTATCCCTTATTTTAGTTTTGAGGTTATGTTTTCTAAAATATTTTTGCTTTATTTTTTCTAGAAGTCTCGCGGCTCACAACATGAATCAACGCATCCAACCCAGGATATAATTAAAAAAAATTTATATATTAAATATTATTATAAAGTAATTTTTAAAATTGAGTCTCGTATTTTAAATGAAATTTGACCGGTTATGCCTGTAGCATGACTCGTCGCCAATAAATTACCATAAAACTGAAAATTGCTGATATTTATTGGTGCATCAAACTGAATTGGAAATGATTAAAATAAATGAAAAATTTCAAAAATGATATTTGCAATTTTTGGTTTTTGAAGATTTACCAAATAAGATAAATAAATTTGAAAAATTTAATAAAAGTCATGAGAAAGTAAATCAATTAAAATAAATGATTTTTTTTTGAATTTTTTAGGATCGGTTTTTGATTTCGGTTTAAATTGAAGTTTGAGATTTTTAAGGGGACCTAAGTAGAACTTAATAAGTCCAAAATAGTTGTTTGGAGTATGACGAGGTTAAAAAATGAATAAAGCTAGTGAGTTGGTCAGGAATTTTGGGGATTTAACAGGAAAAAGGGGTTCTAAGTCATAAAAATAGGCCTTTTGAAGCTTCAAGGTTTAAAATGAGCCAAAATAAACTTATGCTTCTAAAAACAAAAATCATCCATTCACATTCACCTATTTTTACCCACAAAGTTTATCAAAACAAGAGACAATATTTGCTTTTTTCTCAAAGTTCAAATAAATAATTTTAAAATAGAGAAAAAAATATCCACGTGTATGGAAAATACTACTAGACATTATCATAGCAAATGAACCGCAAAAAAATATCTCATTCTCAAAAAATTAACTTCTCTCTTCAAAACTAAAACTTAGGCAAAAATAATGAAATGTGTCAACTTATTGACTGCACTAGTAAGTAACGAATTGACGTCAATTTTAATAAACAAATTTAAATAATTTTTTAAGCAAAAAATGCGTTTACAATAATCTTAACCTGCTTAAATTTCTTACTTGTCAAATATTTTTGTGAGAATTATTTTTTATTTTTCTTCTTCACATTTTTAGCAGTTTGTCACACACGCATTTACCCATAAAATATTTTTCGCACATTCAGTTCTGCATATTTAATTAAAAAATGAGGATTTGGATGAAAATTGTGATTTTAATTGCATTTGTGGACTTGTCGTACTCAGAAGTGTCATCAACTTTATCTCAGCTACATGTGACTGAATCTGATGGTGAGAAATTGAATAACATTTAGTTATATTATGTCGAGCTAAAAACTCGGTCATCTCAGATCAAGCTAGAAAGTTCTCTCATCTTGGGTTAAGCTAGAAAATGCGGTCATCTCAGGCAGAGCTAGTAACTTGGTCATCTCAGGTAGAAATCAAAAACTCTGTCATCTCATACTGAGATAGAAAAGTTGGTCATCTCGGGTCGAGATAGAAAATTCTGTCATCTCAGGTAGAGCTAGCAGATTTTGCCATCTTGGGTTGAGCTAGAAAATTCGGTCATCTCGGATAAAGCTAGTAACTCGGTCATCTCAGGTAGGAATCGAAAACTCTGTCATCTCTGGCTGTACTTGAAAATCGGTCATCTCGGTTCAAAGTAAAAAATTCAGTCATCTTGGAATGAGCTGTAAATTCAGTCAACTTAGAATTAGCAGTAAATTAAGTAAACTCAGGTTGAAGTAAAAATTCGGTCATCTCAGTTCGAGCCAGTACATTCAGTCATCTTGAGTCGTGTTGAAAATGGGGTCATCTTGGGTCGAGCTAGCAAACTCCGTCATCTCGGGTCATGCTTGCGAATTTTACCATCTCGGGTCGAGCCAGTGAATTCTGTCGTCCTGGGTAAAGTTAGCAAATTTAGTCATATCGGGTCATGCTGGCGAATTATGTCATCTGTATTCAAGAAGTAATTTAATTTTTAATGCTCAATATTATCCACAGAGCCTCCAACAACAAAAATCACAAACGAAGATTTCAAAATCTTTACAATCCCTCGTGAAAAACCAGCAGGTAAGCCAACCAAAATACCAATAAAATTTTAAATAAAATTTACAATTCCTCCTCACAGATTCTAAAGAGCAACTATCACCAGATGAGCTTTCAGTCCTTAAATCAGCCGGACTGCGTGACTTAGTGAACCAAACATTGAACAACGACAACAACTACCGAACAAATCCCAAGAAAATAGAATGCATAGTTGAATATTTCAAGAAAAATAATTTTAATGACGAATTTACATCAGAAATTGGAAGCATACAGAACAGCACAGTCAGCATAAAGTTTCAAAATAGTGACAAAAATACTCAAAAACTTCAGTCAATTATTGACGATGCAAACAGCAGTTGCTTCAGTGCTGGATTTATATCAATTATTATTTTGTCAATTTTGATGGTTCTCATTGTTGGAACTGTCGTGTGGCTTAATAAGAAGCAAGCTCGGTGGTCAAGATTTAATTTAGCATAAAACATTAGTAAACTTTTGGAAATAAAGTTGGAATTTTTAAGGATGAAAAATGTTTGGTTTTTGATTTTGTGTGCATTTCAGGGTGAGTTTGTTGCCGATTTCTAGGGCTATCCGGGGTTGTGAATTATAAATCATGTCCAGAGAGGATTCACATTGACTGCGTATTTCGGGGGTGGGGGAGGGGTTCAATAAGCTTAATAGAGGGGTATGGATCCAAGGAGCAACCAGTTGATGGATTATATAATTGAAAATTTCCAATCGAACTTTTTCCACCAAGTGAATTTCCCCCTGTATGGATTCTAATTTGAATAAAAGGGGGCAATTAAGATTTAATTTTTTTATTCAGATTTATTAAAGATTTTATTTTTTCTTATACACATTTCAACATCCAGGAAGGTCTAGGCTCCCTCACACCCACTCTTTAGTCTATATCTTCTAAGCTGAGTATGTTTAAGTGAGTGCTTCCATGTCAATCCATGTCTGAATATGATATTCAATGAATCATAAATGAAATACTACAAATTACATCAAACCAAACTTTTATCTACATTTTATCCGTTTAATTCTACTAAACATGACCAACCAACCAAGTCAGATCATTCCAAATTAATGTTCATCTCATTTACTCAGTAATCCTCAATCATAAAGTTTAAAATTCCATTGAAAATGTCAAAATAAGAATTTCCAACAGAATTAAAATCATTTTTGAGATCACAGCCTGACTCTGAACCGCCAGCAAGACCATCAAGAGGTCGGATAGCATCAATAGCACCAAGGGTGTTTGAACGATTCAGTCTATATATTGCAAGAATTGAACCACGACTAGAACGGAATTTAAATGAAGAACTTGGTGATGTCAAGTATGATTCATCAAGTGGATCATCCCGTTCACTTTTGGTTGTGATTCTTGTAGTCAGGTGAGTCTTTATGGATTTTGTAATGATATTAAATTTAGAATCTTGACTTAGTGGGCTTGATTCTTAAAGTCAAACTCACGAACAGACATTTGAGCTGCATCATTGAAAATTTCATGTTAATTCCAGCTTACTCATCAACATTGCATGCATCGGAGTGTTTTTGTATCAAGCATTGTTGATAAATGATGACTTGATCCGAGAAGAGCAATGCGTTCTAAAATAAGTGAATAATTTTATATGATTTACTCTAAATTTACCAAGGCGTGGAAACTATCCCAAATATTCCATTTATCCCAAAAATATCCAAAATAATCCCTGAGCCTGTATGCACGATAATAAAGATATCCTAACGTATCCTTAATGTATTGGACATTCAATCTTGGGATTCGATGGGATATCTCAATTTCAATCCATGCAGGCTCAGGGATTATTTTGGATATTTTTGGGATATTTGGGATAAATGAGATATTTGGGATAAATTCCACGCCTTGAAATTTATTATAAACTTAATTTCATTTCTCACTTCCAGAAAGCTTATTCGCGATAAGTTTGTGAGAATCTACAATAATGATATTTTTTCCAACGAATCATTGATCGATAAAACCTGTGATCAGCCTTTATTAAGAGCTAAGCAATATGTGGATGAGAAAATTCGTATTTTTAGAAACAATAAATTGGACAAGACTGAACAAGATGATTATGATGAAGATCGCGATCGATTAAATGAGAAAATTGACATAACAGAATTGGTGATGATTACGCAATATATTGACAAGATGGTTGATGGACTGAGAGGATGAATGGCATCAAGTTGCACAATTATCGCGAATGATCAGCCAGATAAGACGTCAATTATGTGTGATTTTAACTATAAAGCTAAAATTAAGGAAGAATGAGTCTTTTAAATGATAAAGCTTTGCTTCTTTTTAATGTGTAACCTTAAGTTAACCTTACTGCAACTTACCAACAAATAATAAAAATTTGCATTTTATAATTGACATTAATTATTTGAACCAAAAATTAAAAAATTATTTTTAAAAAGTCAAATTTGTGAGTTTATAATTTTAAACTTCATTTGACATATTTAAGCTTAGCCATGAAGACCAAGCTGCAAATAGTTTTAATTTTTTCGGTAATTTTGCTTCATTTTTTGATCCTTATTGTAGCTGGTCTACCAGAAAAACCAAATTCCACCCGACTCAAAAGTATTGAGTGCAGCAGTTTGGATAACAAGACAAGCGCAATCGAGTTCTGCTATGTAAAGGCTTATTCGAGGAAGTTTGTGACTTTGAATGTCAAATTCAAATTATTTCGAAAATTCGAGAAGCCACTGTACATCCAGTATGTCCTGTCACGTAAATCAAGTGGAAATTTTTGTCAAAATATTTATAAATCTGATTTAATTGAATTTTGTGGTATTATGGACGGTGCAGATGTAAATCCATTTGTAAAAAGTGTTATTAATATTTTAAATAGCACAGCGCCACAGTTATTTCATAAATGTCCATATGAAGGAGACATTGAGGTCACAAATGCGACAATTTTAGGCGAGAAAGCATTTATTCTGCTGCCAACAGCAACTTATTGTGCAGAATTGATGATTTTTGATAATAAGAAGACGCAATTTATTAGTTTTAAAACTATTGTTGACATCAAGAATGGAATGGACGTTTTAAACCTCGATCTTATTAAGAATTAAGTTTTTAAGCTTTATAAATTTAATAATGTCAATTTTTGTAATGTAATTCACTACAGTTTTATTAAATCTTTTTGGTAGATATTAGCCATATTTTGGTATACATGAGCCATTTTTTTGGTAGATATCAGCCATATTTTGGTAGATATTAGCCATATTTTTGGTAGACATGAGCCATATTTTGGTACATATGAGCCAGATTTTGGTAGATATGAGCCAGATTTTGGTAGATATTAGCCAGATTTTGGTAGATATTAGCTAGATTTTGGTAGATGTGAGCCATATTTTTGTAGACATGAGCCATATTTTAGTAGACATGAGCCATATTTTTGGTAGATATCAGCCATATTTTTGGTAGATATTAGCCATTTTTTGGGAGATACTTGCCATATTTTTGGTAGATATCTGCCATATTTTTGATATCAGTCATATTTTTGGTAGATATCAGTCAGAGTTCAGATAAATAACAATCAAATTTAAATCGAGATCAGCCAGATTCTAACACTGTTCAATAATAAAACAATTCAAATTTAAAAAGTTGTTGAATCATAATAACTTTAATAACAAAATAATTCCAAATAATTGCTCAATAATTATCTTTATTTTTCCGTGATTCATAATCTGATTTGCCTTATTTCTTTCATTTGAAACATAAAAGCCACAACATGAAGATTGATTCCAAAATATTCTTCATTGTTTCACTTAAAATATCTTTAATTGCCATAATAATTCCATTAAGTGTCTCAAGTAGCCAAAGTATTCATCGAATCAAAAGCGTCGAGTGCATTAGTTTGGACAATAAATCATTGTCGGTTGACTTTTGCTTTGTTAAGGCATATTCTCGGCAAGTATCAACTTTAAACTTGAAATTTGACTTCCATCGAAAATTTCCAAAGCCAATTTACATCCAATATATCCTCGGACGCAAGAATAGTGGAAATTTTTGTCAAAATATTTTCAAATCTGATTTAATCGAATTTTGTGAACTTATGGAAGGTGTGGCCGCAAATCCAATGATTCAAAATTTATTTCATCTTCTAAATGACACTGCACCGCAATTATTCCAGAAATGTCCTTACCAAGGTTCCATCATCGTCACAAATGCTACATTTGATTTGGAAAAGTCTTTAGTTGTCTTCCCATCTGGATTATATTGTACTGAACTAAATTCATTTGACGATAAGAAGAAGCAAGTTACTGCAGTAAAATTGACTTTTGAGATCAAAAATGGCTTTAACTTTTTTGGGCTTAAGGATAAACGTGGAAATTAAAATTGAGAAAAATTAGGTTTTCAATGAATTTTGACAAAAAATGAACCGAATTACGGCAGAATATAAGTTTTTTCTGGACTTTTGACAGAATTCTGGTAGACTTTTGACAGAACTTGACCCGAAAATTGATAGAAATGGAACCGACTTTTGACAGAATTCTGGCGGATTTTCGACAGAACTAGACCCAACTTTTGATAGAAATCAAACAGACTTATGACAGAATTTTAGCAGATTATAAACTTTTTGTGGACTTTTGACAGAATTCTAGCGGACTTTTGACAGAATTTGAACCGACAAATAATAGGAATGGAACCGACTTTTGACAGAATTCTGGCGGATTTTCGACAGAACTAGACCCGACTTTTGATAGAAATCAAACAGACTTATGACAGAATTTTAGCAGATTATAAACTTTTTGTGGACTTTTGAGAGAATTCTGGCGGACTTTTGACAGAATTTGACCCGACCCGATAGAAATTGAATTGACTAATAAAAATTTTTGACAGACTTGCCAAGAATCGCAATTGTAAATTGTTCAAAATTGATAAAATAAATTAAGATTGTTGCAATTTTAATCAAATATTGCAATTAAGGAAAATAATTTCAAAAATTGTCAACATTAACTTTTAAGCTTTCATTTTACATTCATACAAACTAAAATGCAGACCAATAAAATTATTTTCAATATTTTGTCAGCATTTTTATTCCAAATTTTTGTCATTAACTCAACCTTCAGTGCGTCCAAAAGTCCAAACTCAAATCGAATAAAAAGTGTTGAATGTAAAAGTTTGGATAACAAGACAGTCGAGTTTGAGTTTTGCTACGCTAAAGCCTTTTCCAGGAAGACAACAGCATTTAATGTCAAATTTAAATTACATCGAGTAATGCAAAAGCCATTTTACATTCAATATATTTTAAGCCGTAGAACTAGTGGAAATGTCTGTCAAAATATATTTAAATCTGATTTAATTGAGTTCTGTGGATTGATGGACGGAATGGATGCAAATCCAATGATCAAAAATATTATTTTAATCTTGAACGAAACTGCACCGACATTGTTCCATAAATGTCCTTATGAAGGTGAAACTGCTGTTACGAATGCAACAATTCAAGATGATAAGGCATTATTTTTCATACCAACTGGAACTTACTGCTCTGAAGTTAACTTTTTTGACAATAAAAAGAAGCAATATGTCAATGTCAAAATGATCAATGATATCAAAAATAGTTTGGATATATTGGGAATCACGGAAAGGAAGAATTGACAAACAGCCGAACATACAGACAAGTTCATGCTAACATATTAAGCACACATTATCAGAACTTCCTTTAATTTTAAAAATTATTATGCGTCTTAAAAAATTAATTTTTGAAGAAAAAAAAAATAAATCCAACCAAAAAAAGAAAGCTCTGTTTTCGCCCGGTCTCGAACCGGGGACCTCGAGTGTGTTAGACTCGCGTGATAACCCCTACACTACGAAAACGTACGACTTTCATATCCACTGAGTCAATGCTCGTGAACACTGATTTCTTTCTGTTTTGCAATTTGCTTTGCTTTGTTTTCAATTAAAAATAATATTTCAAAGCATATTTCATGATGTTGAGGTAGAGCATGGCATGGTTGTGGATGGAAGATGAATTAAACAAGTATGAAGACTATTGCTGAGTTGTGAATGTGGTTCAAAAAAGAATGTAGAAAAATATTTTACAATCTCAATTAAATCTTGCTCTTTGCCTATATTTGAGGGGTAAAATGACATCATCAAGCTTCATTTTTCACTCGTTCCTACCTCACTTGTCACAATCAATTCCATAAGAATCTTAAAGTCCACACACGTTTGATACAAAAAGTCCATAAAATGAAGATAAAGGTATCAAAGAAAAGACGTAAAACTGTGCACTTTTAAGCGGGACAGTTCCGCTTTTCTAAAACTTTTTTCCTAGAAAATACGTGAAAATTATGCTTCTCTCACTTTTTCAGAGCTAAGATTAAAACATGCCTTCTCCTTGACCAAAACCGATGGATAGCCTTCCAAAGAAGCATGAAGAAAAGCAAATTGCAAAACAGAAAGAAATCAGTGTTCACGAGCATTGACTCAGTGGATATGAAAGTCGTACGTTTTCGTAGTGTAGGGGTTATCACGCGAGTCTAACACACTCGAGGTCCCCGGTTCGAGACCGGGCGAAAACAGAGCTTTCTTTTTTTGGTTGATATTTTGATGATTTTTTGTATTTTTTTGAGTGTTTTAGAACTTTTGTAATTTTTTGAATAGGAATAAAAAATGAAAATATTGAAAAACATCAAGTTTTTATGATTTTCCCCAAAACAATGCTAGACTAGCATTCAAATGTCTGACCACTGAGTCATTGAACTCGACATTACATAATCAGACTACCCGCAAAATTCTCCCATGGCTCAGTAAAATCTGTCGCATGCAATTGTGTCGATATGAACAAAAAAATGAAAAATTCACACGAGATCGATATATTTAGACATTTATGGACGTGCGGTTTCCTTATCAATGATTGATAATTTTGTTTTAAATGAAACTGCTAAGGAGCTGTTCACTTATTACGTAACGCGAAAAAATGACTTTTTAGACCCCCCCCCCACCCTCGTAACAAAATTTGTATGAAAAAAAAATTTCCTTGTTTGAACCGTAACAAAATCTTAGACCCCCCCCTAAAAGCGTTACGTAATAAGTGAATGGCCCCTAAGTCAGAATGACAATAATCTGAGAAAGTATTGAAGCTATTTGAACTTAAAGGACTTTGTGAAACAGGAATTTTTAAAAGGATTCATTGATTCATCCACACCAGTGTTGTACATACTGTGTGCCGTGGTCAAAGTCTTAAGTCAAAGTGTGCCGTGGCTGAAGAAAGTTTGGACAACACTGATTTACACCTTAAGTTCTTATGCATTCTAAGAGTCACCTATCCAAGTTGACGTTGGTTTATGACTTTAATCGTTCTATTTACATTAATGTCTAGACTTGATGATACTCGCTACACAAGGTAATGATTATATTTCCTCTCTTATGAAACCAGCATTGTTGCGATGGCGATTGATGTGTAGATCAATTGTGATGAATTAAGCTTAAGAAATCATTTAAGCTGCTTCCTTCGTTTTGTGCGTCTTAAGGGCTGTTTATTGAAGGACTGATAAGTTATGACATTCTTTCTGCAGCATTAATTATTCAATATCCGTAACATTGCCAGTTGACTCAAGTCCAAGTGTCCGTAATGAGCTAGACCCCAGATGTTCCACTTACTAAGTCATACAATGTTGAGTAAGTCTTCAAAGAAAAGAAATCCCAAAGCGATAAGAAGCACAAACATTTTTATCGAATATTCATTTAAAATTGAATTACAACTTCAACCTGACCACAAAAATATTTTTGAGTCTTTTTGAGAAACCAATAGTTTTTCTCATAACACATTTTACAGTCGATTAAAAACCCCAAAAAATTAAAAATTCTAAACGATAATTTTGGTATAAAAGACGACAGAATTTTACTTCAAATCATCAGTTCGAGTTCGTATCTCAAGCATAACAGTTCAATTAGAACAAAAAACTTAAATTTTCTTTGTTAAAAGTTTGAAAAATTAATAAAACTACAAAAATGGCATGGGTTGATAAGAAATACACTTTATACAAGTCAGAGAACTTCGAGGAATACATGAAGGCCTTAGGTGAGTACATACTTTAATTTGATTCTTAAAAGTCTATTCTAGTACTGCAAACAATAATCTAGTACTAAAATTCCTTCAATTTGATACTAAAATTGTTCCAATCAAGTACAACCTTGTACAGCAAACTTTGCTGAGAAAAGTCCATTTTGGTACTGAAAAGTTCAATCTGGTACTTCAGTTTCAAATCTAGTAATTCATTGCCTAATCTAGTACTTTATAGTCTAATCTAATACCAAAGTCAAATTAATCAAAATTCAATCTAGTGATTCACATTCTAATTTTTTACAACAAAACTTAATCTAGTACTACAGAGTCAAATCTAGTATTACATAGTAAAGTCTAGTACTACAGAGTATAATCTAGGACTATAGAGTCTAATGTAGTACTACAGAGTCTAATCTAGTTTTACAAAATCTAATCTAGTACTACAGATACTAAACTTGTACTACAGAGACTAATCTAGCACTACAAAGTCTAATCTAGCATTTTAAAAACCTAGTTTAATAACTCTAACTTCAAAACTTATTCCACTTCAGGTGTTGGCTTCTTCCTCCGCAAGATCGGCAACAATGTCTCACCAACAGTCTTTTTAGTAAAGAAGGGTGACTGGTATGAATTCCACACCGAATCAACATTCAAGACAACAATCTTAAAGTTCAAATTAGGTGAAGAATTCGAAGAAGAAACCATGGATGGACGTGTCGTCAAAACGACAATGACACTCGATGGAAACACATTGAATCAAGTACAAAAGACTGATAAGAAATCAACAATTAGTCGTGAATTTTCGGATACTGAATGCAAGGTCATCTGCACATATGGTGATGTTGTCAGCACACGTTGGTACAAGGTTTAGGATTTATTTGAATGGGTTTAAGGATGGTCGATTGGAAAATTAACTTAAGAAATATTTAATTATTTAAATTGAAAATGATTTTAGAGAAATTTGTCTGAATAAATTAATTTTTTGTAAGCATATTAAGCATTATTCTATTTACTTAAATTGTTGATTAAGTGCTTAGTACTTAAAAAATCGAGTACGCTGTTATAATAATCTAATACATCATAGTAATAATCTAGCATTTCATGGTAATAAGCTATTACATCATAGTAGCAATCTAGTACATAATGGTAGTAATCTAGTACATCGTGGGAATAATCTATTACATCGTTTTATGGTAATAATCTAGTTCATAATGTTAAAAATCTTTTACATCATGGTAATCATCTAGTACATCATATTAGTAATCTAGTAAATAATGGTAGTAATCTAGTACATTGTGGGAATAATCTAGTACATTGTGGGAATAATCTGGTACATAGTTTAATTGTAATAATCTAGTACTTCATGGCTATAATCTAGTACGTTAAATTATTAATCTAGTCCAGCAGATTTTTGACATGTGTAAAACTGTAATTTTATAAAATTATTTAAATTGCTCACGTCTCGCCGCAAATAATCATACAACATTAAAATTGATTTTGTCATTCTTTTTTGTAGCCATAAATATAAATTTCACATGCAAGTGAATCTACTCCACAGTAGAATTGCGATTTTTTTGAAAATGAAGCTGATTCTGCTCCTTTTTGTAAGTTTTGCAGTATATAAGTCATCTTCAGTCAATTCAGTGAACGAATACACATATGGAGTTCGTTTTCGGTCTGTCAAGTGTTTTTTTGATAATTATACTGTTTTGGTGGAAGGATGCTTCCTTAAAGCCTACTCGAGGAGACTTGTTACACTTAATTTACATGGATCTTTTGGTAAACCTTTAAAAAAGCCATGCTACTTTCATTTTATTTTATATTATCGCTATGGAAACATTTATCGTGAGGTAATTGACACAAAAAAGAGAGAATGGTGCTCAATTATGGACGGTACGCAGACACATCTATATATAAAGTTGTTGATAGCACAGTTAAAAGACTCTGCACCTAAATTGTTTCATAAATGTCCATATGAAGGAGAACACAATCTGTACAATATTACTGTAAATGAAGAAAAGGCATTCGATTTATTTCCTCAAGGATTCTACAAACTTAAGGTGATGACTCATAATTCGACAAATACTTTGGTTTTTCAGATGGACTTGCTGTTTGAGATTAAGTCACAATTGAAAGAGTCTATGGGCTGACTGTTTTGTAACTTCTAATGATTGATATTAATAAAACTTATGATTAAAAAGATGAATTTGTCCTTTATTTTTGATGTGATATTTTTAAAATTATTCATGAATACAAAGCTAGTCTAGTACTACTTTCAAAAAATCAAGTACCTCAAAATTAATCTAGTAATTCGAAATTAATCTAGTACTTCGAAATTAATCTATTGAACATAAACTATTAAAATGGAAAAACTATTAAATTTTAAACCACATAACCTCAAAACCATTCACAACCTATTAAACATCATCTTGATCCTATTATCGCAGTTATCTTCCATTGCAATCCTTGCCGAGTCTCGAAAATTCTCCAAAAACTTGAAGGCTTCGAAAAATTCCTGAGTTCCATTTTCATCACTTCCAATGACTTGTTTAGCACCAAAATCCTTCCTCAACTTCACCTTAATTTCTGCCAATAAATTTCCTTGTTGTCCAAACTCCTTGCAGCACCAATCAATGCCTGGATTCATTTTAAAATTGACATATTTCAACATTTTAAGTCCATCAAAGACAATTTCAGGCACAAATGAAATTTGATTCATAAAAAATGAAATTATTTCTAAATTTGAAGCATATTCAAAGACATCCGGAGCCACAGACTTGATTAAATTTCCATTCAACATCAACTTTTCAATTCCTTCACATCCGATAAAGTCAAATTTTGATAATTTCTTCAATCCACAACAAAGGACGGAAATTGACTTTAAATTTGGGAAGAAATTGCACAAATAACGTGGAAAGTTTTCAATTTGATGATCAAAAATTGTCAATGTGTTGACATCAGCATTAGATTTGCCATCTGGATGAGTTCCATGGATGTTGAGGACACGTCCATTTGATGCAATTCTGTTGATTCCAATGACTTCACACTTGTAAATGTCCTCGTCGGTGTAGAATGGTGAGACTGTTGAATATTCACAGAAGAGTTCCATTTTTTGTAGATTTTGATGAATTTTTTTTAAAAATTTGTAATTTTTGAATGTTTTGTGTATTTGAGCACAACTGATAAAGGTATTGAAAGTTGTATAAGATTATATACTAATAAGCAGGTGCTTAGTTGACTTGAAGTGAGATTTAGTTTCAAAATAAAGTTTTTTAAACAACAATAATAAAGTGCTCCTTAATTAGAGATGTCGGTTTTTGAAGGGGTATCTGCGATGTTCTATTCCTTAATCAGGTAGTCCTAAAAACCAGCTTTGAGAGCAAAACTTGACTAGATCATGTTCCTAATCCTATGTGCTATTTTTTGCAAAATGAATGAAGACAGGTCAGAGTATTGAATATCCCTAGCTACGCACCTACATTCAAGATCCGAAGAAGAGAGCTGAATTCGACAGCTGTGAAACAAATTAAACTTAAATCATGTCACATATCATGTCTGACATACTATACACTTCCTGTTTTTTGATAATTTTATTTAATATTTATAGTGGCAGTTCCTCAATGTTAGTGAATGAACGAATTGTTAAGAATTTTTTGAAAATAATGAAGTTATTACAATTTATATGCTTAATAATCAACTTTATTATTGTAAAATCAACCGAGAATATCCAATCAACAGATATCAGCATTGCTGATAATCCACAAAGTACAGAAGCACCTCAAACTACAGCAATTTCAACTCGAGCATCCTCACAACTTGTACCAACTTCTCAATCACACGCAACAACAGCTTCAACCCAACCAACATCAAGTATAGATTCACAATCTACAAACTCCTTTCATTCACAGCCATCTTCTGAACTTTCAACATCAAATCCTTCTCAAACTTCAAGTATATCCACAAACAATCAACAAATTACAACCCAAAATCCAGACATTCCAACTCGAAACCCACAAAGTCCATCAAGACCATGGGATTGCTCGAAATTCCGCTTCACTAACCTGCCGCAAAACTGCTGCTTACTTCCAAAACTCCAAATGCCACAACAAATCACTGACAACTGTAAAAATGAATGCAAAAATCGTCACTGCTGTGTTGTTGAGTGTAAATACCGGGAAATTGGAATCTACAAGAACAAAGAATTTAATAATCAAGCACTTCTGACTGCCTACAAGAATTCACTTAGCTCTGAAGCTGAGAAGATGAATTGGACAAATGCGATGAATTTGTCACTTGAATTTTGTGAGTCAATGGTCATGTCTGAAACAACTTTAAGGGCAACAACTGTGAATTTTAAGAAAAGCATTGTCACGATGACAACGAGCAGGAAAGCTATCATAGTGACCTTAAAAAGAACTGGACAGCAAACATCAACAAAATCCACAACTACAGAATCAACAACTACTAAATCTTCTACAACTTCAGGAACAACCACATCGACAATCGCTTCATCAACAGAGTCAGTTAAGGACAGAAGAGACAAGAATCTTTACTGCCACATTCCAGTTTATGTCTATTTGATGATTTCCTGCACAAAGGTTCAAAATTTTATAAATTGTCCGAATTTTAAAAGCACTGATGAGATTTGTGAGGAATGGAGGGACTACTTGAGGAAGTGTGGACATGAATTGGGATTTCTGATATGAGTCATTCAGTCTTCCAAATTAGCAATCAGCTATCTCAATCTCAAGATCCACTAAATCAACAATAAAAGTCTATAATAAATTTCCAACAACTTTATTACTAAACCGTGTAATTCAATTCCCGTCCACACTTTATTATCTCTTCCTTTTTGGTCACACATGCTGTACTGTTCTTAAAATAAGGACAATTAACAAAATCCACGACTCGCATACAAGCCACAACCCTAAATACATAAACTGGAATTCCACAATAACGATTTTTATTTTGTCGCACAAAAAGTGGCTCAGTAACAGGCGGTGGTGATGTATTTACTGGCTGTGGCGGTTGATTCTGATATTCTGGATTCACATAATGTCCTTGACCATTTTGAATAGCGTTGTTCATTAAATATTTCATTCTGTCTGTTGTTGATGGAACTGGTGGTCTTGTTGTCTCTTTTGACATTTGATCCCATAAGCAGTACCTCATTGAGGTATTAAAAGCCTTTCGCCATGGAACTAAGAAGGCTTCAGATCTATTTTTGATCAATTTTTCCAATAAAATCTCAATTGATGTCCAATTAAAGGTTCCATTGTTGTAGATGTGAAGTTCATGGTACTTGCACTGTGTAAAGCAGCAATGAGATCCATTCTTAGCTTGCTTGCATTGTTTAAGGCATTTTTGAGTCACATTCTCAGAAACTAAAAGTTTCGGTAAGTCACAGCAGTCGCTCGGCAAACTTGACACCTTAAAATGTACACATTCATCCTTTTCAGCCTGTGGAGCACCAGTTACGCTCAATGCTGGTCGTTCAGCACTAAATATTGTCGTGGTTGTTGTTAGTTCTTGTGGCTGTGTTTGTGTGACTCGAACTCCACCTGGTTCCATTGGAGTTGCTTTGATTGTTGTGGGTTTTGTTGGTTCTGGTGGCTGTTGTTGACCTCCCATGCCTGGATTTTGACCTTGCTGTCCTCCCATTTGTCCTTGTTGTTCCATTCCAGGCTGTTGATTACTCATTTGACCTTGTGGTGGACCACCTTGTTGGTATTGTTGTTGTTGATTGTTGTATTGCGGCTGTTGGTTGTTGTATTGTTGTTGGTTGTTGTATTGTTGTTGATTGTTGTATTGTTGTTGGTTTTGAGGTGGTCCTTCGTTTGGAGGGCCTTGTCCTGGACTCGAAGGACCTTGACCTGGTGGACCTTGTGAACTGGCACTGATTACAATGCTTAAGATTATAAAAAGTTGGATTGATTCTAAAGTCTGCAGCATTTTTTATGTGTCACGATCTAAAAGAAATAAAGAACTCAAATTTGAGTATTAAGCCAGACAAGAAGAATTGTCCGACATGAAATTAGCCCTTGTTGCTTGAAAATTTCCATGTATTTTCGTCATGTCTAAAATGTTTATTTTTTTATAGGCAATAATAAAATTATCTACGTGACTTGATTGCTATAAATACCCAAATGTTGTCAAATTCCATGAAATAATTCAGATTTTCAGTTCTAGTGAATCAGAAGTATCAAATAATCATGTGGATCACGGCCTTATTACCATTAATCTACCTAATTACACCATCCATAGCTGACATCTTAATCCTAGAAAAGTACAACGAGACCACCGATGCCTGCATTGAGCTCAACAAGAACCGACAAGACTTGTCGCAATGCTGCAACTATCCACAAATTCACTTCCGACATTTCTTTCAAAGCAGCTGTGCTGAAGAGTGCATGGGATCTCGTGACATTTGCTGCTCATTAGGATGCATTTGGAGGGCTGCAAACATCGTCGACAATGAAAATGAGCTTGACAAGAGTGGAATTGTAGAGGAATTAAGGAAGTCAGTCAAGCATGATGACAAATGGGATCAATTGATTGAGGAGGTTGTGGATGAATGTGTTGACAATAACATGCCACAGGATGACAGCATTAAACTCTGCAAATTTCCATGGCATGTCATAAAGATTTTTGGATGTACAACACGAAAACTCTTCCTTCAATGTCCAAAAATGAAAAATTCTGTCGAATGTAAAATTACTAAGCAGTATGTACAGGAATGCATGTAAAAACATTTTTCTTTGAATTAAAACATTTTTAAACTTTATTTAAATTTTTGATGAACTTCAAATGATAAAATTTAATTTAATTGAATTGTTTATGGCTTTAAAATAATAGTTGAAAACAAGGCCTGGAAACTCAGGATTAATACTGAAAAATGTTAAAAATCTTAAAATATCCCTGAGCTGATATTCATAGAAATGTGAAATCTCTTTTATATCCCGAAATTATTCATAAAATTCATCAGGAATTTCACATTTTCATGTTTATTGGCTTAGGAATTTTTTTAGGATTTTTGGGATTTTTCAATCAAGATTAATAATGAGTTTCCACGCCTTGGTTGAAAATAAAGAAATGGTAATTAGCAATGCTAGATATCAACTAATATCAAAACCCGTTTAAATTTTAAAAATCAGTTGGAATCTCGACTGTTAAACAGAGTTGCGATCTTTCCTTTGCCTTTTGCCTGTTAGCAGTTTTTATGCCTTTCACAGATCTATCATATTAGTCAACAGATCTTTGTGGCAGTGCCTATGACAGAACTGTCACTTGTGCCTGTTAACAGATGACCTGATTTGCATCTACGTTGTTTACTTTTGAATAATTCGTCTTTTTTAAAAGCAAAAAAAAAAATACAGAAGTTTTCGTGTTATTGATCGAGGGACTTAAGCGCATTTTTGTGTTAGCGATCAGTATTTGATTATCAAATTATTTTGCGTTCATTTACAGATCATTAGAAGATTAGAAGATCATTAATTTTAGTGTAATTAACAAATAATTAAAATGAATGCTTATATAGAAAGGATTTATTATTTAACGTTCAATAAATGAATTGAAATTTTGTCGTTAAAAGTTGCACTTTGAAAACATTAACTATAGTATAAGTAAATAATTTGTTCCAATGAATTTCCATACAAAAAAAGTTTATCATTTAACGGTTTTTTGAAATTCAAATTTTACAACGGCTCGAAAAAATTTGAAATTATAGAGGTAATATTGAAATTATAGAGGTAAAACAAAATTTGAGCAGGTTACACTAAAAACAAAACAAAAATTCATTAATTTTAGCATAAATACAATGTTTCAAGACTTTTAACTATTCGATCGGACAATAAACAATAGTAACGATGCTAATAAAACAAACCTAAGCTCTCTACGATGTCTGGTTAAAAAGTTTTTCTTCAGACGAACGAACGAACAAAGTGTATTATTCAGCTTTCTTTTCGAAAACAAGTTTTCAAAAATGCGCTAAAAATAGTGGGGACGGGTGGAAATTGGTTTTACATAGCTACGCGTCTGCTTCTTTACATTCTTCGTTCTTTCCAATTTATTTTTTTCTTATTTCGTCTGAAGTTTTTTAATTTTTTTGAAGTATATCTTTTATCGACAGTGCATACATGTCCTATTTGAAAATTAAGGAAAAAGTTAAAAAACATGTCAAAGAGTGAAAAAAAATTAAATCTACTAGAGTTATTAACATGTTCATTATTACTAGATTTATTATTTTCAATAGCTCTTTTGTTATTAGGTTGGTAATGTTTGATAATTTGTTCAAAGACTTCTTCTTCGAGTAATTTTTTAACAAAATTTTTACTAATGTTCTCGTTTACTCTTAAACTTTTGATAATTTCTTTGAATTTTTTATAATTTCGATCAATTTTGGCAACACTTAAAAACTCTTCAATAACATTATTGAAAAAATCATTTTCGTCTGAATTTTTAACAACAAATTCTTTGAAACTTTTTTCATCACATAGAAAAAAAAGAGAAATTGACGGAAATCCATAATATTTACGAAGTGTCTTTAAAGACGTGTGATTTTTATATTTTTTAATAATATGTTCTAAATAGGTTTTAGCATTTCTAGCTAATGCCAACAAAAACATTTTTTCTCTATAACTTTTAAACCATTTGATAGTCGGAATTAAATTAAAATCCACAAACGAATTTTCAACTTTTGCACCTAATTTTTCTAGATAGCTTTTGAGTTTTTGATCATAATCTTCACCCCATTCGGCAAACATACATTGAAGAATTTCTAAAACTTTCATATGAGTCCCAATCTCTTGAAGTTTATCAATTATATCTGCATTGTTGATTTGAATCTTTTTATCTCTCAACTCTGCTAAAACTTTATGTTCATGACGAATAAATAAAGACCAAAATTTTAATTCTTGATTGATAGTCTGACTCGCAGGTTGTATTAGTATTTCTTCAATTTTATTTTTAATCAAGATTTTCATCTTTTTAGGTAATTTTTGATTTTCTTCGTCATTTTTTAATAAACTAATAAGAATTGATGGACCAATTAAATAAATTGATTTAAGAATTGCAAAAATATTCTCAATTTCTTCTTCGCTTTTATTTTTATTGAAAACATTTTCAAAAACATAAACAGATGCAAAATATTCCGCGTATAAGGAATGAATAAAGTCAATTGAAGTTGTATCGCCTGTTTGTAAAAAGTCTGGATCTACCGAAACATAACCGTAGCGTTGAATTTTCTCAAATGGCCAATTTTTCTTTTCTCTCTCCCAATTATTAATAATTGACAAATTTCTAATTTGATCTTCATTAAATAAAAATTTTAAAGATAAAAATTGATATAAAAATTTAAAATCATCCAAAATGAATCGATTTTTTGAATCTATTATATGATTCATCTTTTCGTACTGAGCATATACAATATTTTTAAACATTTGACCTATATTTGTGCTAATTAAAAATTTATTATCTTCATACAATTCTGTTATTGTCTCAATCAGAAAAGGATTATAAACATTGTGAAATTCTTTTGTAAAAATTTTGAGAATTTCTGAAATGTGAGATTTAAATTTAAGTTTTTTTGCAATATTTTTAATCATTTTTTTTCGATCAGGAGCATTATAAGATTCAAATGTAAACAAATTTCCATTTAATGCATGTTTGATTGGATTTGCAAATTGTGGTCGCGTAGAGATCCAAATTTGATTTTTTGTTAATTCTTTAATGGTTTTCAAAATCTCTATGATAAATTCATTTAATTCCGGACTAATTTCATCGATTCCATCAAAAAACAAAATTGCTTTTCCATTTTGAAAAAGTTTTTTAAAAATTCTAACCTCAAAATCTGAATCATATTTGAAATCTTGAAACCGAGTATGAGGTAATATCATACTGCATATAAGTTCAGATATTTTGTTTATATTTAAATTTTGATATCTTTTAAAAAAGTAATCTAAAATTTTTTGATTTTTCTTCAATTTTAAATATGATATCCAGTAGTGTTTAAAACAATAATCGTTTTTAAATTTTTTACAAAATATCTCAAAAACTGTCGATTTTCCTTCGCCAGCTTTGCATGACAAAATGAAAATTTTTGAATCATTTACGATTTTCTTGACTTCTTTAAACTTTAAACAACTTCGATGAGGCACATTACTTTTAAATTGTCGCTCAACGAAGTCGTATTTCGAGGTTATTTCAAGTTCATCACCAAACTTAACGTCAGTTGTGCTAAACAAAATTGTTCTTATTTTTGTTGGTTGCAAAAGATTTAAAATACTTGCATTAATTATGGAAATAGAAGATTTTGCATCATTTTTAATAATTCTAGAAATTGAGGTTTTTGCACCTTGAAAGTATATTTGTTCTTTCAAGATCTTAGCCTGCATTGGCTTAGTTAATTGGCTAAATTTAATGTTTTCATTGTCATCGTATAATTTTTCACAAATTTTTAAAATCTCGTCAAACTCTTTTTCAACTACGTCTTCAAGATATACAAATAATTCTACAAAATCACATCTACAATCATTGATTTTATTACTGTCATTAAAGTATTTCATCATCATATGATAAGGTCTGACTATTAATTCATAATCATATTCATGTTCTTCATAATTGTCAAAAACCAGCCTAATAAGTTCTTCAGAATCTTTCTTGTTTTCACAATTAACCCTAACTTTCACCTCAAATCTCGTCTTCTCAGCAGACTCACCCATTTGATAAGGATTAAATCCATTTACATATGTCATGGACATAGCAAGATGACTTAGCTCATGGATCAGCGTCCCAATCACCTGAAACTTTGTTTTCTCATCCAACAAATCTCTCGCGCCAATTTCAATGACACCACTAAGGTATGCTGAACCTCGTCTGTTGATTGATGTGAGTGGATTAAAGTATTTAGTCGAATCGTGATCAAAGTCGAAAAATATTTTGATATTTTTACATGCAGCTGCGATTTTTAACACTTTTGTTCGTCCATTCTTTGAGTTGCTTCCTGTTGTTGGGTAGCCAGCACTGCTATCGATGATTTCAAATGCTTCTTCTATTTTCCATTGGTAAATGTGATGTTTGCGGTTGTATTTTGCAGTTTTACATTTTGATAAGAGTGCATAAATGTGTGCGGATGGGAGGCTATTTGAAGTGGATCGATTTTGATCGTGTATTGCTTCTTTGTCCTCACCTTGAAGATTTTTGTATAATTGTTTGTGATTTTGAAGTTCATGTGGTCCTATAGATAACTCTAATGAGGTTAAGAGCTTAAATATGTTTAAATCTGCTGCTTTCAATGCTCGCGCCATAAGTGATTGATTATTTTCATCATAAAAGTACCATAAATGCCGGTTCCTGCTGACTCCATCTTTTATTCCTTTCATATCTTTTGTATCAACAAACTCATGCAAAATTTTAGCTGCTTTTACAAAATTTCGAACCTCGTCGGAAGCTGTTGAGCTCTCAAATCCTTTAGGTATCTTTGAATTGACGTTTAGTAGACTCATGATGATTTTATTACTGGCGTCCTTTACGTTTGTATCCTTTGCATTCACAAAATTATCCCAAGCTTTGTCGATCGCACTAAATGACTTGGTTTGCAAAGATTCATCTTCTATGGTAAACTCTTGATCAATTTCAAAGTTGTATTTGCAGAGCTTCTCAACATCTTCATGACAATTATTTAGCACTGATAAAAATAATAGATTAAAGCCATTGGATGTGCCTAAGTCTTCTAAACTGTAAAACTCATTAGTGACAGAGCCTGAGAGGATTCCTAAAAATTAAGGGAAAAACTAGTCAGTTGGTGTTGAATTGATACATGGATGTTGAGGCTATCATAAGGAGTTCAATACTTGAAATACTAAACGTGCAAAAGGCTTTTTTAAAGACACACGAGGTGAGAGCTGTTGGGTTCAACAAATACTTGAGAGAGGTTCAGGCTGTGGCTCTGCATTGGGATACTCTAGAGCAGCCTCATAGTAGCAATCTTAACATATTTTTTAAATGTCTCACTTCCTTCCCCAGGCACCATACTTTAGTCTTAATTAAAATGCATTTATATTTTATCATGATGTCCGAAATTAACGGTCATTTTTCGAAAAAGAGCAATGGATTTGCAGGAATTTCGGTTGTTCTTTTCTCGCTGTCCCTCTTCCCCTTGGACGTCATAAGTGAACGGCCATTTATAATGTAGCACTTTGAATTTCATTCCAAAATAATTTTGTCTTAGATATCTTTAGAAATTGGTCTAGGAGCTGGTTCTTTTGGCTACCTAAGGCAAACCAACCGTGAATCGAAAATCAATGAACCACACTATGAATACCCTAAGTAGCTTCTAGAATCCAATTTTTGCGAATGAATGAATGACTGAACAGGTTTTATACAAAAAAGTCAGTCTAAAACGTTGGTGTCAAATCTAATTCAAGTAGTCATTCACCACATAAGGTAAACTTACCAGTGCTGTCATTGCTCAGCTCGCTTGAAATGAACTCATGACAAATTGCACGCACGTCTTCATCATTCTCAATTTTAAGGACATAAAAATCATCTTGATCTGCAGTTTTCCACACAATTTTTCCCTCGCTTTCTTTTATTGTTGACATTATTGTAAAAAGGCACTTCTTTTTATCGAAAAAACTTCTGATAAGCTGATTGCTTTGATGCTGCTTTGATCTGAGTTATTTGGATTCACCATAACTCTAAAAAAAAAATTAAAAAAAAACCTTAAATTAAGGTAATTTTTAAATAGAAAAGAAATCAGAGAGCTTTTTAATAAGTTTCAAAAAAATTGAGTATACCCTAGATCAGTGGTGGTCAACCTTTTTTAGCTACGGCACGCCATGGTAGTAAGACATATTAAAACCACACTCGGCATACGGTTCGTGCGATTTCTTAAATTTTTTGGTGTGCCGTAAGATATAGGTTGGCCATTACTGCTCTAAAGAATGACCAAAGATAAAGACTTTGCAGCACTTTAAATAACGCACTTAAGGAGAGCTACCAGACATTTGACAGGTTAAATTGGTTTTGGATTTGCTAAACTTTGACGAATCAAAAAATGATTGAAAAACTTTTGAGTGTCCTTAATTAACTTGACTATACCCTAATGTATACTTAGCAACTTGTCATTTTTAAAAGTTTAAGGAAGGATGGCATCACCATTTTTATCTAACCTTTTCAAAGTTTTACTTACAATAGCTCACATCAAGTATTGGTACATAAACTTAAAATTAAAATTGTAAAAAAACAACAATTTTACAACCTTTTCTTATCAATTTCTCAGAAATCGCTGTGAATCATCACTCAGAAAATGCTCGAAACTTCATGAAATTCAAAATTAAATTTCAATTTACACAAAATTATTTAATTTTGAAAACATACTTACGATCAAATGTAAAAACCAAGTTAATTAATACTATTTTGTAACTTAAATTTTGTTTTGATTAATTAACTTTTTAAAAAATAAATGAATGACCGGAGCGTGCACAATTTCGTATTAAACTGCCCTTGGGATGATTTATCGACATCCGATAAGCAATTTTTTTTAAATTGAAAATTTAATGCTCGTTATTTTTCGACTTGCTTTTATTAAATTTTGTTGCGGGCACTTCCATTGGCCGTAACTGTCAATTGTAGAAGACAAAATTCAAGGAGTAGTTTTTAAAACGTTTTGAACCTCCACCTTTTGCCACGATCTTGAAAACAAATATGACCAGAAAGCATTGAGTCAAAAATGGCAATTTTTAACCGTTACAAAATATGCGAACAACCCTTTTTAATAATTTTATATTCAACCTTTATTCATTTTCCATCATCAAAATGCTCAAAGATCATCGATACGCTTAATTCATCCCTTTTTCCATCAGCCGATGCAAAAGTTGCCTTTTCTTTGTACCGAAAAGTTTTCATCGGAAAAAAACTTCCAATTTTATCAAAAAGTCTAACTTTCTCCAAGTCAATTCCGCCTTTCATTGGACATGTAAAGATGAACCGAATTTGCTCTTTAAAGTCGGACAAAAAAATCTTTACGATCGGATTTTGCTTCATTTTAAGACCTTGAACCATTTGACACCAATCGAGCTTGTCGGGTGATTTAAAAATTTCCCGCGATTTGTTGTTTTCAATGATGTAGACTGCAAATGAGAGCTGAACAGGAAGTGACAAATGTGTGAAAAATTTCAATAATAAATAAACTTTATTGACCTCTGACTTGATAATTGGCTGCAATGTGTGACATTTTAATGATAAATAATCATTTTTAAATTCACATTTTTCGACAGCCATCAAAATGTTTCGTAATCCACAAATTTCAGTCTTAAGGAACCTAAACTTCTTTTCACAATCTGCAGAACTTATAAGTTTAAAAATTAAGATGAAAATTATTTCAAACTTCATATTTTGATGGAAGTTCTGCGACTGAAAAAATGTGAAAATTGCTGAATAATTTGTGGCTATTTTTAAAATTTGTTAAGGAAGTGATGAAGCTTAATTGGTTAATAATGTGAGGTAATTATTGTGTTTTCGTTATTTATTTTTAAAGTTTGAGATTTTGTTTAAATAATTTTAGAAGACCTGAAAAAAAAAATATGAGAATAGGAACAAGTGAACGCAGGAGCTTACTTACTTAATAATGTGTGAAGTGCCCAGTTTTTCAGCTGGAGGCACTGCTATACAATTTGTAAAGAATCTATTGTACCAGCTTACTTACTTACTGTAACCATGTTCCTATGTTGATCTTAAGTTACAGCAAAAGACTTTCCATCCGACTCTGTTGCTGGCTCTGTCGCCTAGTTTGTACAATTTGTCTGTCCGCACATTCAGCTTACATTATTTTATCAGTGTTCTGCGACAAGTAGCTTTTGGAGCTCTAGGGCGTCTCTTTTCTTGCGGATTCCGTCAAATGGCGGTGAAAAAACTTGCGTTTCTGTCTTAGCAATAATATTCTCTCTAGCGAGCCCAGGAGCATAGCCAGTAATTATTTTTAAAGGGACGGAAAATGATTTAAATGGTATCAATACTAGCTACGCCCTTAAGTTAACCTATTAGAATCCCTCAGCTTAAACTGTTAAAATTTTTGGTACAGGCTTGTGACAAAAAAAAATCTTTACCAATTCAGATCAATTGTGGTGCGCTAGGGCGTTTCGCAGCTAATAAGAATTTAACGAGTGAGGATTCGCCAAAACCACTGCACTGAAACCTTGACTTACATTTTACAGTGAGATCCGAACTGCTCCTTTGCTGACATTTCTGCCTGTAGCCTACAAACGATGGCTGTGAGCCTCATTTCAAGTACATATGACTCGAAAAAGGATAAGTAAAAAATTTTTCATACCCAGTCTCGAGCCAATAATCGCTGTGTCGGTATTGCAATAATAAGGTACCAAAGTACTCAACCATTCCGTCACCGAGCCACTTCAGCTCACATTTCAGCTTGTCACGAACATCTCTATAAATGAGGAAGAAAGGGTTGGGGGAGGAACAAAAATCAAAGAATTGATCAGCAAACACTAATGATGACTGTTTAGCTTGTTTTGGCGCAAAAGAAAGCTTCATCCTCAGCAGGCGCGTAGCCAGGAGGGTCTTACCCCCCTTAAACGTTTTGAACCGCAGTGACAGCATGGCCTAAAACTCTTAAGAGGGGGACAAGACCATCCTGGCTACGCGCCTGATCATCAGTATCAACGATCTAAAACCAACGACTTATTAAAAGTCAAAGTTTCGAGTGTCGAAAACTGATCAATTAGTTTTATTTTATAACTTAAGTTATCTCATTTCCTTCGACGCAGAAAAAGTCATTTGTGCAATTAAATTGGTTAAAAACTGATGTAATATTAGAAATAAAGTAAGTTTTTGCATAAAACTTAGTTCAATTAATTCAAATCATGAATATGGACTGCAAATTTATAGTTAAATCATCATAAAAATAAAAAACAAACACTTATTGTAGTGAAAAGATTAAATGTTTTTTTTATCTGTAGATATGTCAAATACTTTAAGTTTATCAGCAATAATTCATCAAATATCAACAAGAACTTATGACTACACTATCGAGGATGGCACAATCAATGCAATATTCCAATCAAATGAGGAATTCGATTCGCAGTTCAATGACAGATCATTCAAACATTATTTTGCCAATCAAAAGTGTATTTTAACTTTTTGCTCAGACGTTGGTGACAAAGTTGGTAAAATCTTTTGGAAAACTGCCAATCAGGATGAATTTAATCTTCTTGAAGTATCTTGTAATGAAGACATGATTGTGTTAGAGCTTTGTCGAGACTTTATTTTTGGTGAACTAAGGAGTGATCGTACAGGTGAGCAGTTTGAAGTCTATTTTGAAATATTAAGGTGAATTATTGACAAACTAGAGAACATGGCTAGAGTCGACCCAAGCTAAATGCTCCAGAGTGATCATATTTCATATTTTCATTACTTGCTATGTCCTTCAATCTTGCGAGTCCTTATCGTCGGCGTGGGAGGTCTTAAAAAGTCTATTGTAGGGTATTTGTCTACCAGAGTGACAAAAAGGTTCAAGTTGAAAAGACAACGACGTCATGATATGCTTTTAATCCATATTTAAGCGTATATTGCAGCTGTAGAACAGCAGTATCTCTCAGCTGTTGCTTTATACACTCTGCTGCAGCAAAAGTGAAGATCCTAGATCACCGACACAAAGGGAATCCCAGGGACAAAACTCGTGGTATCTCACGGATTGAAAACCCACGACTTTTGTGAGTTCCTACAAGTTTTGTCTTACAAGCTTCTATTGTGTCGGTGACTCACTACCAAATTATTAGTCTTAACCTCAAGATCCGTTAAAAACACTTATTTGCTCGATTATTAAAATTAAAACTAAAGAGCTTTTTGTTCTTTCAGGCATTCTAACACATTCGAAGGACAAAAAACATTTCAACATCCGAGACATTGGAACAATTGATGGAAAAAATCTATTAATTTTGGAGCTACTCAAATGCAACCATGACAATGTCACCAAACTATGTCAATACAACTTTGATGTCGACTGTGAATTTGAACTTTTGAGTAAAGATGGTCAGCTGATGACAACTAATCCTATTGAGAAAGCTTGGGATGATTTTATAAACTCAGATAATGCAAATATCAAGGAATCAAGTAATTTGATGATTTTAAGTTTACTGAATGCAAACTCGACATTCCCTGTTGATTTCGACTACACAAATGCATCAGATGAGGTCAAAAACTTTGTGGATGAATGTGAGGAAGTCCACAGACTTGTTGAAAGTAGAGATCTGCCGGCTGTTCAAGAAAAAGTTGAGTCACTGCAACATTTATGCCATATTTATAATGAATATAATGAATCTCTGTTGATTTATGCTTTGAGACTTAAATCCCTGGATATTGTAGAAATTTTAGAATCAGCTGGTTTAAGCATCGGAAGTCATGAAGTTGTTGACCTTCAAGAAATTTATAAAAACTATAATAAAAGTCAATTAAGATCAATGCGATCGAGACATCAGAAAAATTCCAAAAAGATCCCAAAAATTCATCTTTTGATCTTTAATAAAAAATCATCAATTTGCCAAAATGATCGACAGCATCGTGAACATTGGAAGCTTGTGACTGAGTCATACAAAATTCTTGACAACAATCCAGGATGCTCATTAGTCCTCCAAGTCTGTGCTTTGTTCAAAAAACTTCAAATATTCTTTGACTTCAAGCACGAGTCGACTTACTACTTTGATTCAGTCAGTTCCATATTTACCAGTGGGATTACGTACAATACTGGAGTCATTGAAATTGGCGCGAAAGGAATGCTTCAAGAGGACACAAAGTGTAAAGTGATTGGAGTGCTGATTCATGAGCTGTGTCATCTAGCAATCAATATGGTTTATATGAACAACTTTGATCCATATCAAATGGGTGAGTCTGGTGATAAATTAAGATTTGTCAGCTCAGTGTTTGAGGAATGCAGGAGAAATCAAAATTTTGACAATATTGTTGGGTCGGTCTTTAAATGTTACAGTCCAGAGCATGTTAATTCTGAGCTAATTGTCAGGCCTTATCAGATAATGATGCATTATATTAAAAATCATCAAAAAATTGCTGAATGTGAGCAGAATTATGGTCAGCTTTTTGGATATGTCAGGGATGTTATTGAGCCGGAAATGGAAAGAGCTTTGCCGATTTTAAAAAAACTTTACGACGATGAACTTAATATTGAGTTTAATTCATTAATTGAGCCAATGAAGGCAGTCGTTTTGCATAAAGAAATAAAATTTCAAGGGGTGGACACTTCAATATTTGAAATTATAGGAAATGATGCTGAGGTTTTGGGTTTGCTGTCTAATACTGACTTAAAGAAAATTTTGTTAAAAAATGACTTTAAAATTGGGAAATTTTCTGAAAACACTACAAAATTTGGTTATGTTGAGAGAGCTTTTATTGGAGCAGGTGAAAAAGCATTTGATTCACAAGATATGATTGACATCCTGCAAACTAGTAAATGTCTATTGCTTAATGGCAAAGCAGGTGTTGGCAAAACAACAACTTTTGAAAATTTAGTCTCAAAATTCAAAATAAAGTTGCCGAATTTTTGGGTTTCGTGCGTAAAATTGCGAAAATTTAAGAATATTTTAAATGACAATTTAAATAGAGTTGAAGATATTAACTCTGTATGCAATCTATTCTGTGAAATATTAGATTTAAAATCCAATTTTGAGGTTAGAATCTTCAAAAATCTATTTTTCAACAACAAAGTAATTTTACTTTTAGACGGAATCGATGAAATAAGTCCAAAATTTACCAATTTTATATTAAAAGTCATGAAAATTTTAAAAGAAAATTCAGAAAATATTTTTTGGGTGTCAACTCGTCCACATCACGTTCAAAATCTACAAGAAAATTTAGATTGTAAAATTTTCAACTTTCAAGCGTATTTAGGCAATGATTTGAGAAAATTCTTATTCAGAATCATTAAAACTTATGACATTTATGATGAGGAAACGAAGTTGAGGTATCTTGAGTACCTCCAAGATTTTTTCACTCGAGATTTCTTTAAAGATTTGGACAATTTGATGATTATTGAGATTATAACAATATTATTTTTAAACAAAAAAATTGACATCATTTCCAAGTCACTTAGTCATTTTGAATTATTTGGAATCTTAATTGATGAGCACATGGAAAAAGTCAAAGACGCAATTGACTTTGAGGATCGAAAGTTTTCATTAAAATTCTTTCATCTTTTTCAAATTTTGGCTCTAAAGTTTGTTTTCGTAAATGACAAAATAAAAGATTTAAAAATAATGAAAAAATGGCAGTCAGAAAAAAAGTCTTGGACGGAAGATAAAATCCAAAGGTTTGGAATTGTGATTGTCAATTTAGATTTTTTGGAAACCGACAACGAAAATTCCATCGATTTTGTTCACAAAAGTTACGCAGAATTTTTCGTCACTCAATTTTTGTTGGAGAAGATTTTTGATGAAGATTTGAGTTTTGCTGAAAGTTTGCAGATTTTTGAACTTCTGAAAGATTTAAGGAACAATAATTTTGATGAATCATTTTTTTATGATTATTTGGATAAGCAGTCAAACATTGAGGATCAAAATTTGAATGAACATATTCAAAAATTAATTTTCAAGCAGGCAAAAATGTCCTTAAACTTTTATAATTTAAATCCGAGGTTAAAAAAAATAAATTTTAACATTTTAAATCCACCCTCGACTTATTTAGATTCAGAACCAAGATTCTCAAATGACAACGATCCGCTTTTTTGGTGCTCTTTTTTGCGTAATAATTGCGAAGTCATGAAGAGACTTTGGGAAGTTGATAATGACAATAATGTGTTCAGCAAGATGATTAATAGAAATAATATATTTCATACTTTGAAATTAGTTGAATTTTGTCTTGGCACAAATTGGCATTTAATTTTAAGCAAAGCTCCTGACAACATTGAATCAGAATTGCAAGAATTTGACATCACAAAAATGGATCGTTATGAAATTTTAAGCTACAGAATGGCAAAATTTCTAACCCTTGTTGAAAGCTGTCAACACATTTGCAGTCCTGATCTTTTAAAATCCATTATTCTTATTTATCACAACTTTTCAGGAAAATTCCAAAAAATCATTTTTCAAAAAATTTCTTCAATTTACAAAAATGACAAAAATTTTATTATTAAAATTTTAAATATTTTTATTAACGACGATGAGATTCAAAATTTGCTATTCTTTTTGACACAATTTGAATATTTTTCAATCTTCAACAAACCAGGATTCACACAGCAAACTGACGTTTCTGGCTCCATATTGGCTTCATCCCAGGCTTATGACAGCTCAAAACATGTTGAAGCTATCAGTCTTCCACAATATTTACTCGACAAACATTTTATCGATCGATTTATGATAGCTGTCGAGCAGGATGGGTCACAAATATTTTTACTAATTCATCTGTGCAAATCATTGCAAAATCGAAATCTTGACGTTGAAGAAATGTTCACTTACAAAAAGAATTTATTGAAAATTTTAAACCTTTTAAATGACGACGAAATAATTAAGTTTGCTGACTCAATGAGAACATTCTTTCAAGATTCTAAAGAAGTCATTTTAAATTGCATAAACTTCAACTTTGGTCCATACGACAGCATCACTTTTGGCAAAGTTGAAGTCTTTTTTATCAACTTTTTTGAACATAATAACGATTTGGTGCAATTAAGTATGAAAAAAATATTATTTAATGATTATTCGAATAAGGATGAACACCTTTTTGTGTATCTTGTTGAATCTTTAGATGAGTTTATGGCTGCTTCTAGTTTCTACAGGAAATACAACACAAAAGAGCTCCTAACAGCTTTTATAAAATGGAAAATTTTTCCCAGCGTCTTCTTTAACATGTCACTTGATGTTTTTCCTGTATTTCAATCATTTCTTGATGATATTTTCGGTTCTGATAGAAATCTCTTAATTCAATGCGGGCTTTGTGAATTTTCCAACATTAGAGCATCAAATTTGGATGCAAAACTTCCATTAATTCACAATTTATTGAACAATTTTTATCAAAATAATAACAATGATGTTGAAGAATTTATGACAAAGTTCATGCCTAATCTTATTTCTTGTTAAATTATAAAATTTCTTATCATTTTGATGTCCACTTGATCAGTACATAATATAAGCCAGAGCTCAAAGTCGATGTAATTTTGTATGGAGTCGAGTCAACTCCGTCATGCTAAATCGATAGAATTCTTTAGTTGACTTCGAGCTCTGATGTAAACTTTAATTATTGAATTATTTTACTAAGTTCAGTTAATTTTCTTATGAAAAGAAAAAAAGTGTCAAATTTCGCACCTAAACCGTCATTAAACGCTCATCTCAAATTTCGACTTTCTTCTCTTCAACTGTGCATGTCCAGACGTCAATTCCCCTAAATGTTCACCAATAATTTTAATATTTGCTCGCTTGTAATGATGCCTTAACTTGTCACATATAATATTGATTATCATTGAGAATGTTACAAGATCGTAAATTGTATAAACAACTGATGCTATTTGCATTAATGGATTTGATGGCTTTAAGCTACCAGAACCTGTAAATGTATGAATTTGAAGTTAGGTTAGAATTTTTTTGGTAACACAAAATGGATGAGAAGAAAAAGGAAGCAAAAAAGAAGGTACAGACTAGGGATAGGCACTCGGCCAAACGAACTGACATACAGAAGGACAGACCGACAGATGTACAGATTAACAGATTGACAGATGAACATACGGACATAGAATCAAACATTCAAAATCAAAATTCAGAGGGCTTGTTCATTTATTTATTGATGATGATGATGTCTTTTTACTCTACTGTAATGGCGTTTACGAAACTTTTGAATCTAACGCGATTGTTAGCTAATGCCGCAAGCTCACTGAGTTAATAGCCCTGCTGAACCACTTTTTTACGAATAGAGGATTGCCAAGTAGCACTTGGTCTACCAGGTTTTCGCCTACTCGGTGGATCCCAGAACACAGCTTGTCGCGTTATATCTGCAAGGGGTCTCCCTACCCTGACCAATCAAGCCCCATTTATTTTTGTGCATATCATCGTTCACTTATTACTTTACGCGAAAAGAACTGCTTTTTTGAACCCGCTTTTTGAAAACTTTATGCTAATTAAGCTCCCCACAAAAACAACCTTCAACTCACCAATCCTACTAACCGACAAGAATGCAATATAAAGCGGCCGCTGAATGTAAATAGTTTGAAAGCTATGAGTGTCAAAAAAGTATAAAAGTGTGTAGAACGCAGCACCCCCAAGAGTCATACAAATTAAAAATGCTAATGTGGCACACGGAATTGATGACACTGCCTGGTTGTAGATATAATAGTTGTGGATATATTCTTTGACTGATACGAGTTGAGTATTCTTGCTTTTAAGTTTAATTATCATTTCCTGGTTGTGGGGCATTAAAATAATTAATTTTTAAATTGTGGAATTATTTTTTGAGTTTTAAAAATGTATGGAAAAATAATAAAATAAAAGAAAAATTATAAAATATGTTAATAAAATAAATTTTATATTATTAATAAATTTAAATTAATATTTTTAAATTGAAAAATCCAAAAAACTTACATTTTGAGTTGGAAATCTGTTCTTCATACAAGCTTCAATCTGAAACTGTTAATAAATTTAAAATGTTATCATGATGTCCAAAAACATCTGACTCTTTATCAAATGAAGCTAATTGGATGGATAAAATGAACAAAAACTATTACTTACCATTAGTCACTTGACCAGCTGTGCGTACAGCATTCCAAAATCCAAAAGGAAAACGATGAAAAGTGGAATTCCAACTACCGTGTAAACATAGCTTAATGTTCGTCCAAGGAGTGAGTATGGTGATATGTCGGTATGTTCTGGGAGAGAAATAAAACAGTGAAGTAGAACAGTGATGAAAGAATGTCAGCTTAATGTGCGGACAGACAAATTGTGCAAACTAGGTGACAGAGCCAGCTACAGAGTCAGTTGGAAGGCCTTTTGTTGCAACCTAAGCTCCACATAGGAACATGGTTATAGTAAGTAAGGAAGTAAAATAGAAAGGATTCTGTGTGAACTTATTCACTAGAATTTCAGATGCCAAGATACATTCGGGAAGCTCATAGGAGTCGCCAGTGTACTGTTTTGTCATCATGTTAGGAATGAAGCTCCAAAATGATTTAAACATAAGCAAAACACCCGAGCATTCAAATTTTCAAGAAGTTCGCTCCTTTCCTTGATAAATGCCTTTCTGACTACAATCAAGGTTAACTCCCAAATAGCACAAGTCAGTTTATCAAACAGAAATCTGAGACCATGATAAAGCTACACCAGCTTGGTGCCGGATGTATTTTCCACTAACCGACTTATGCTTTTTGAAACTGTAGCTTATGATGTCGATCCCTAATCAATCAAAAATCCGCTAGATGAAACTTATCTTATCTCTGCCGTCATATTGAATTGAAAACATTTATCAAAGTGCTGCCATGGCATCTAAATGTCTTGTCGTCTTGCCACTAAAATAGTGACATAGCGAAGCTTTGGAAACTATGAATCAGAAGACAGACAACATTATGGAACAAGTTTGAAGGAAAACGTCCTACCATGTTGTCTCCCGAATAGCACAAGTCGGTTAATCGATCAGAAATCTGGCACCAAGCTAGTGTGACACTAACATGATGCTGGATATAAAACAAAGAAACCCATTCGGGTCTCCTTCTTGCTATGGATTGCCACTCGATAATGTAAAATAATTAAACTCGTTTTTTAACACACTTACTGATAGTTGTGCATAAATAGCAGCAATAGAACAAAGCTCCATAAAATGTAAACTTCTTCTCAACTTCGACGTATAAAGCATAAGATGCAGCATCAAAATCTTGAATTATTTTCACAATTTCAGGCTCAAAAGTTGTGATGTTCTAGAATTATTTGGATAGTGAATCGTGTAAATTTCAATTAATTTTAATGCTTACCTCCATTATAGCATCATCGGCTAATATTTCCTGAAAGCGACTGCTGAAGTTCCTTCGAATTGTGATCCAATCGTGATTATGTTCGTTTTCATGGTTGCCTAGTAAGAAAATTCAAGAACGAACTTTAAAAATGGTCTAGCAAAAGAACTAAGCCTCGTAAGAGCTGAATTCAAGGTTTTTTTAAGGATTCTACTTTAGCATCAACAATCGAGAAATTAAACTTAAACTATGACTAAAGAAAGGAGCCTTATTAGCCCTACAAAACCCGAACCTGACTGCCAATTCCTCTTATTCCCAATCTTACCTTCAATAAGCATAAACAAAAAAGCTCCACCAGCTAGATACAATCCTAATCCCAATAACAAACCCAAATGCACGAAAAAGAACCAATTTTTGTCAGTCGATTGAAATATTTTGTGCATCCACATCACAACTCGTTCACCATAACCAAGCTCAGCTTTTATAGATTTATTTTTAACTTTTTTCAGCACAAAATCTTCAATTTTATGAAAATAAAAAGTTTCCTGGTCCGGATTAATTTCTTCTTTATGCTTTCTGACGAATGCTCCGGGTGCTGAAATGCCTGGAAATATGTGGTTTTGGATTGAAGTGTCAATTCGACTTCTGATGATTGGAAATTGCATTTTTTCAGGAATTGCTTTTGTTAAGAATTGATGAAGCTATTAAGCTATTGGAGTTAAATTAAATTTTTGTGGAAATTGTGCTGACTTTTCATATCCTTAATGTTAAAATGCCTAAAACGAACTGAAATAATTTGCAGCAGGTAATTTTCAAATATTCGTTTGGATGGGAAGCTTATTATTCAGATTAAGACATATATAATTGTCATCCTTAATCTGTCTGATTGTGGGGCTTTAATTTTTACTTTTGAAGGTCAAGTTTCTGAGACCTGCGTCAGCCCTGGAAATCAATGGTTTCTAGTCAAATAGCTTTTTTTAATCTACTTACAGTCAAGGCATGAAAGCTGTTTACTTTTCATACAGCAACCAATTACAAATCGTGTGAAATGGACTTTAAGCTTGTAAAAGGAATCAATTCCAACTAGTGTTTTGAATCTTGGAATTAAAATGTACTAAATCCCAGGTTTGATTTCTTGATTACATACATTTTAATCTCAGGATTGAAAACCTTAGTTCCAATCTTTAACCAACTCGTAATTTTTGATTATTTTTCCTGCCGTGTTTGTCACGAAGTCATGCTATTTTTATATACCAAACTTTAATATGTTAATCATACAATTTAAGAACGGACACGTTCTGTTTAATTACAATTATTTTGAAATCCCATTGAGCATCATAAATATGTATTAACATAATTTATTCCTTTTGCCATACTTAGTAATCCAATTTAGTCACAGGGAAATTATTTTTTTTAAATATTAAGCAAAAATAAGTATTACATTTTTTAACCGCATTTTTGAAACTTGTTTCTAAAAGGTAGCTTAATAATTCACTTTGTTCGTTCGTTCGTTCGGGCGGGTGAAGAAAAACTTTTTAACTAGACATCGTAAAGAGTTCTGGTTTGTTTTATTAGCTCAGGTCCATTGTTTTATTTTCGGGAGTCGCATTTAAAAGTCTTGAAGCAGTTTTTTTGTACTATAATTAATGATTTTTATATTTCATATAAAAACAAACACGTGATGAGCGTTTAGAAATTCAAATTTATTTCTATTGTTAAATTTTTTTAAAATAATGATCTCCTAATCTTAATGATCTGTAAATGAACGCAAAATAATTAGATAATCAAATGCTGATCGCTGTGTCAAAAATGCGCTGAAGTCCTTTGATCAATAACACGAGGACTTTTGTAAGTTTTTAAGATTATTGCGAGTCAAATTATTTTTTAATTAATTTCAAATTATTATGAAATTATTTTTTTTACTCAACAAGAAAAAAGATTTCATACATTCATGAAATAAGTCATTATTTCCCCTTTATATGAAGCTGAATACAAACAATTATTCTTAGTTGTGTAGCAGCACTCATCAAAGTCAGAGGCAATTTCCAGAGAGAATTTGGATTTTATACTCGCAGAGAATTTTAATTCTTATTAAACAGAGATTGTTGGAGGTAAGTTAAGGTTTTATATCAAATGGGAGCTTTGAGAATGAAGACTAGGTTCATAAATGGTTGCACACTATTCTAGTCAAGGGTATGAAGCTGATCAAAATGATCAAAATGTGATTAATCAGCTACGCAACTTTGATTCTAATAAATTGTTGAAGATTAAGTTCAAATAAGTCTCTTTTTGGCTCGTTTCCCCTCATTTTTGTCCATGAATTGTTGCCATGCCTCCTGTTTTCATGTCCAAATGCTCCCTTTTGCCCCAAACTAAAAAAGAGTAATTTTTGCTCCTGTCCTTGTTGACTGTCGTTGCTTCCTCTTCCCTTTAAGCATCATCTCGTTGAACATCTAATCAATTCACAAAATTCTTTAATATATTTACAGATTCTCCGACAATTTTCATCAAAATGCCACAAACTATGGATGACTCGCCCAATTATTCATCCAATATCAAACTCTACCCAATAGATAACAGATTCATAGCTTGCCTGGACACAACAAATGCAAAAGCACAGTCAAAATCTAACTTAGAGACAGTTATTATTCTCGATCAGTCTGGTTCAATGGGTGATTCAGTTGCTAATATTGTCAACAATGTGCTGCCAAAGTTCTTCGAGATATTGTCATACGATCCTGAGACTGTCATCAATTTAATTGCATTTGAGAGCAGCACAAGACTTTACAAGCTCAAGGTTAAAGAGTTCAATAACGTCGAGCTATATTCTTTAGGTGGAACCTACATGTCACCTGCCGTAAGCATGCTATTATCTTTGTTTAAGGAATATCAATTTACAGTCAATGGTGTAAGAATCTTGACAATTTCTGATGGTGATGTCTATGATCAAGAAGCAACAAAAGTGCTCGGTGAAAAGCTTGCAGGTTTTGCAAGCAAATGCAAAATTTTAGTTAATTCACAAGCAATCAGATTCTTCACATATGGCCAACCAGATACAACAGCACTTTGTAGCTTACTACAGCTTAATAATGTTGAAAAAAGTCAATTGACTGACATTGAAGCAGGTAAGCCACATGAGGATATAGCAAGAATAATGGCAGATTTATTTGTAAATGACGGATTTGACCAGCCAATGAAGTTGCAATCTAGTGACTCTATATTCTATAAATTCCCATGGGATAAAGAACCGACGAACCAGCTTCAAATCTTACCCGAGATAAACAATATCTTTTGGGTCCATGAAGTTCCAAAAGAATCGCAAATCATCACCCTCGATGGTGAAACTGTAGCTGTGACAATCCACGACGACATAACTTTTGATCAACTTTTAATTTTTATCAAACTTGACTTCCTGGTTGATCGTATAAAAATTCTGAAAATCCTCAACTCATCCACTGCTAAAGAAACAATCGAAAGAATTGTTGCATTTTTCACAACATTAGAGAATATTCTCATAAAACTAGCTGAAAATGAAGTCATCGATCCAAGATCCATCGAGAATCGAATTCGTCTTTGTAAACTAAATGCAATCACGTCTAGAACATTTACAACATTTTTAGAAACCATAGCAAATGATCAAAAAATTCATGAGTTGAATTCGGAGCAAAAAGCAAATTATTTGAGAAATGTTCGGGCTTCCACTAAAGCTGGACGAGGATTGGCAATGAGAGCTGCTAAGAAGAAGTCTAAAAGTTGGTCAAAAGATCAAAACTTTGATGAAATTGTTCACAAGGAGGTAAAGAAAAGTTTAGTTTATATAAAAACACGAAAATTTGGTACATAACCTTAAAATTCTAAACCGAATCTCAAAAACCCAAACCTCAATTCAAAATTGTATACCTGAAATGAAAAATAATCATAAAAAATCGTAACTTAACCTCATTTACAGAAACTTAACCACAAAAATCAGAAACTTAACCTCAAAATTTAAAAACAAAACCTAAAAATTCACCAACCTAACCTCAAAATCAGAAACACAACCTCAAAATTTGTAAAATAACCTCAAATTTTAAAAACATAACCTCCAAATTTCAATATTTTTTTGTAATTTCAGGTCCAAGCGATCAAATCCCACTTCGACGAGATCAAGGACGTTGACCATAAGAATCATTCAGTATCATTTTACTCACAAGCCACAACTCTTGAAGGAATCAAATCACTTATTGAATTTACAGACGACGTAACCTTCCAGAGTCTGAAGGCTGATGACATCCTTCAAATTATCAATATCGTCGGAGTCGCTTGCAAATGTCCAGTCGGTGACTTTCCAGATGCATCAACGTGGAGAGTCAATGAGATCTATTATGGATGTTATGTTAGTGTTGCTGACATCATTACATCGATCCATCAATCCAAAGATGCAGAGTTCGTCCTTAAGGCTCCTGGAATCGACAAAGAGATCACGAATGTGATTCCAGTGTTTGATGATCCAAGGATTGGTGTCTTTTTAAAGAAATATGCTCCATCGATCCTCGAATTCACATCTTCAATAGGAATGAGAAGGGTGATTGCTGACGTCCCAATGACTTTTGGATACAACATCATTGCAGGCATAAGGAGAATGATGTATGACTTAAACAAGAACAAATCAACAGTTCATTTAGAGACTTTCAAGAACCTGATCAGCACAGCTTATCTTTTTGTCGGAAAATACTTTGATCATGTTGAGAAGTTGTTGGTGGATAAGAATTGTAAAACAAATGGATATTACCTCGGCAACAATGGAATTGCCAGCCTTATAGTCCCTCTAATAAGAATCTACAGCAAAAAGAACCACGAAGCAGTCAAGAGAATACCAGACATCCTCAGATCCATCTACAGCTATGAAATCTGGAAAGGAATCAGCAAAGAATACAAAGGAAAACAAAAGTTTAATTTAATCATCAAGGATATGCTTCATAAGCTGTTAGGCATTGACATTGAGTCACGTAAGGTTCAAGTTAAACCAATATTTGAGCCAGAACCAAAGAGTGAGGACATTAAGTTTCCATCTGAGTTTGAAATCGACCAAGAATACCTCGATATGCTTACTCAGCCTTTGCATTATCACAATTATATGAGCTTGCTACCTAAGTTACTTACTGCTGTAACATCTGGGCAACTTGAAGACATCAAGAACATTCGAGAAATGACGAAATCTTCGACTATGCATGCTTTTGGCATTGACTACAGCTACAAGCAGTTTGTATTCCTTAATGTCTTCCAAGCACTTAGATATCCTCGAACAGTAGTCCGTGCTGACACAAAAGCTCAAACTATGAAGATTGTTGATATCAAGGATCATCAAACAGCAATAAAGGATGTCAAAAAGTACGTACGTGAGCAGTTTGAGGCACAATATGATTTTGACTTTAGGATGAAGCGACGACAAGAGGAACTGGAAATGGCACAGACAATTGTTGACAGCCTGACTAATGAAACAAACTATCAAGCTATGGTCAACATCTGGAAGAATGGAATAACAAGGAACAGCATAACCTATAAAATTGCCAATTCATCCAGCAATGGATTTAAGCTGCTTTGTAGGAAATTGGTTGACTTAACGATTGAGATTCCACTTAGGTCTAAGATTATAGAGGTTTTGTTGCTTGGTGTTGATGCTGATGGTCAAGTTGTCTATAACAACGGTGAAGTCTGTGACATCAAAAACATCAAAAAGTATAAAAGAAGGTTTTTGCTGACTGAAAGAGTTGAGGAATGGAATGAAGTTGAGCAGAAGTACAACAGCCGTAACATCCACGCATACCGTGAAAAAGAGAACCGACGAGGTCATGGAAACTTAAAACCATCATATTGGGGTCTTGGATACAATCGTATATCCGACTTTTTGAACTGCTTTACTACATATGAGCAAATTAAATACTTTAATCTGCACTCAAATTGCTGCATTGCTAGAACTAGAATCAAGCCAGCAGTAATTAAACAAGATCGAATTAAAACTAAAGTTAGGAAAACAAGACCAAAGACAATAAGGAAGACTTGGCGTAGAACCAATTACCACAGACAGTTGAATCGCAACTGCGATGACTACCAACTCTACATTGATATAAAAATGAGCAGAAAAAGGAACAACAAAAAATTCAAAATTAAAGACAGAATTAAAGCCAATTGTAGGAAAAATATCACCAAAGAGAGAAAACAGAGACGTGCTATGAGTTATAATAATTTAGGAAGTACAAGCAGGTCCACTGAAAACTATGATGAAAATTTAAGCGATCTTGAAACAGAAATGAACAATTTGAGGATGAAAAATTCCAAAAGATTTAACAGAAGCAATAGAAAAATGAGATTTATGAAGAAATTCAAAAATTGAATATAAATGACCAAGGATTAAGTGGCTGAGGGGTCAGAAGCAGAACGAGACTTAAGCTTGACATTATTAAACTTGACCTAAACTAATCAGAACTGATGTAAAAATATTATTACAAATTTAAGACTGTTAGAAAAATTACTCGAATAAAAGAAAACTAATTCATAATTAAAAATTTAAATCTAAGGTGATTAAGGATCGTTTAAAAATGACGTCCATTTAAAAAGTTTACAGTTTCCCGCCCAGTTTTCTGATGTGTGAAATCGTTCAATTCTCATCCCATTCAAATAAGAACAGCAATTAAGAACGACATCTTAGGCTCCGTTCAGGGCTCCGTTCATAAATAATGTGCAACATGTTTTGGAGAGCCTAAAGTTTTGCCACGGTTCAAACAAAATGATTTAGTCAGTCTTTCAACAGTCTTAAAAAATCTCATTTTTCGATATACATCATTTGTAAACGGCCCCTTAAGCACGATTCAGTTATTTTTACCTTTTAAGCTTGAGATTCTACTTAGGTCTAAGATTATAGAGCTTTTGATGCTTGCAATTGATGATGACGGTCAAGTTGTCTGTAACAACGGTGAAGTCTGTGACTTGAAGAATCTCAAAAAGTATAAAATGGGTTTTTTGTTCACTGGTTCAGTTAAAATTAAACAATAAACGCAACAAAAGCTGTAAAACTGGTCTAAAAGACAATCATGAAGATCAACAAGAGGAAAATTGACATTTTGGATTAAAAACTGAATTGAAACTTTATAGACATAAATTTTTAAATAAGTTCTTTTATTCTCAAATAATTTATTTATATTTAAAATTCAGCAGCACGAGATATTTCTTCTTATTTTGCAGCATTCCAATTTACAATTTAGAATTAATTTTGACCTTCAAATGTTATCCGAAACTTTCCTTCAAGGGTGAAGTAAAATCAGCCATTCCAGTAACATTGAAACCACTGGTCTCATTAATGAAATATGAGAGATCAAGTCGATAAGTTCCTTGAGGAATCATCATCGTTGTCTTATCAACCAAGTCCAAATCGACAGTAAAATTCTTTAAATCCCATTCTCCACTGTAAGGACATTTGTGGACCAATTTCGGCACTTTGGTTCTTAATACATCAAACAATAATTTTCCTAGTGGATTAACTGCAGCTCCGGCGAGCATTTCACAAAGTTCGCGCTTTTTTAATTCAATGATTTGACGAAAAATTGTTCCGTACCGATAAAAAAAGAGTGCATGAGCGTAGATTGGCTTATTAAATGGAACTAAGAATTTAAATCCAACATTAATTGTTACAACTTTCCTGGACACAGCCTTTAAAAAGCAATATTTCGTGATAATTGTTTTATTGTCAGTTTGACATTTCACAGACTTGAATTTGAAGCGAAATGTATTAAAGTTGTCCTCAGTTTTTGATTGAGTTTCATTAAAGTGATTAAAAATCAATAAAAAAATTATAAAACAGGTCTTAAAAGTGCTAAAATCCATGCCTATATTCAAAAAGTACACGATTTTTTTTCATGGAAAATTCAGCAGTCGGTCGTTTGTTGAGAATTATTCTCGATTTTTTAAATGCTTTTGAATAACTAGAACAGACCCCGTCATGTATGACATGAATTTATTTTTAAAATTTTGGCATTTAATGTCTTTGTTGGATATGAATCTTGGAAGAATAAAATTGATTGAACATACGTCATAGACAATCGTTTGTCTCAAACCTAATAGTATCAAGTTGAGCAGCACTAGTTCTAGAAGGTCCAAAAACAAGATTTTTACTAGATCAACAAAATCCGCTATTTTGAATTTTACCATGTTAAAAAGGGGGGTTTGATTTAAGGCGGACAATTGCCGTACAAAGTTTCAAATCTGGAAAATTAAAGAACACATTAGAAATTAAATTAATAAAACATTTAAATTTTGCCAGAACAATTTTGAAATCAAAATGACACAATTAAATAAAATTTTAAAATTATTTAATTCAAAAATTACAGAAGTCCTCGGGATATTGATCGAGGGACTTAAGCGCATTTTTGTGTTAGCGATCAGTATTTGATTATCAAATTATTTCATGTGAAGATTAGAAGATCACTAATTTTAATGAAATTAACAAATAATTAAGCAGTTAAGTGCCTTGCTGGTCGAATAGGTAAGGCGCTTGGCTCAAATTTTGGATGGCAACTCGAAGGTCGTCGGTTCGAATCTAGCCATTTCCAAATTTGTTCTTTTTCGGAAGTTTAGATACTTCGACTGCTTAATGTAGGACATCAAGCCATAATTGGGCAACGTTGGATTAAGGAACGGGTCAGGAACTTGAAGTGTAGCGGGAGAAATAGGAACGAGAGCTACAAGATTACCCACGAATGGAATATTTTTAAAACGGACCTGAAAAGTATCACGTCACGCCTACAGAAGATCGAAACGAGAGCCTTAGTTTATTTGAAACCTAGATTTGAAGATTAGAAGTTTGATCCTACATAATATTAATTCATATGTATACAAATACAAAAAAAAGTGTAAAATATGAATTATTACCGGACAGTATGTCGTCAATAAATGCAATAAATAATTACAATAAATGTCCATAAAGACAGTCTTTATCATATAACTGTTTTTTAATTTCAAATTTTCTAACGGTCAATAAATATTTTAAAAAATTTCCGCTTTAAGTTGCACAAAAACATTAATTATACTATAATTAATAATTTCCATAAAAAGGGGTTTATCATTTAACGGTTTTTTTGAAATTCAATTTTTTACCGGTTAAAAAAATTCGAATTTCTGAACGCACCCATCACGTGTTTTTCATATGAAATAAAAAAATCATTAATTAAAGTATAAATACGCTGTTTTGAGACTTTTGACTGTTCGTCTGGCAAATAACTTGATAGAACTGAGCTAATAAAACAAACCCGAGCTCTCTACGATGTCTGGTTAATAAGTTTTTCTGGCCCCGAATAGCCGAACAAAGTGTATTATTAAGCTACCTTTTAAAAACAAGTTTCAAAAATGCGCTAAAAAGATAATGATTAAAAAAAATTTAATACTTTGTGACGTAAAAGCATTTGTCGCTAAGGGCAAAATCAAAAATTTGTGCGTATACTTGGGCTGCCTTGGGACCACCTGCTTTGGGAGAGGGTTGGTTTGAAGAACATTAATTAAGTGATGGTTTGTGATGTGTTTTCATCTTAAACCCTTGTAAATTTAATACCCTCTCCCCTGTCAATGTATGCCATTGATCTAAATTAAAGACTTCTTAACCGGCATGTAATAATGACGAAATTCATCAAACGTAAACAAATATCGAAAATGATTCATTATTTTTGATTTAATACATTTTGAGAGAATCAAATCAAAATGAGAGAATTCTCTCTTTAAAAAGTTTTGTTTAGTTGAGTTTTTGTATTCGTAGCAAAAACAAGTGAAATAATATTTTCTAACATATTTTATTTTTACAGCAGATTGTGAAATATTTAAAAGACTAAGTCATAAAAGTAAGTGTTTTTCAAGTTGTTGAAACTTATTTAGGCTATAAAAAATTGATATTTGAACTGTCAAAACTTGGAATATCAGCGTTTGTTGTTGCTTAATCAGGTGGCAATTATCAGTACACATAGGATGACTAATCAGAGGAATTTCCATTATTTATTTACTATACCTTCTCACAATAGTCAAACTTAAGTCTCAATTTTACTTTTTCAATTCACAGATTTAATTGCATTTTCTTCACAATATGGATCAAACACCAACAGAGCCAGCTGTCCCATTGGATATCACACCAGATTTCTCACAATATGAAATCAAACTTTATCCAATCGAAAAAGAGTTCCTAGCTTGCTTAGACACCAGAAAAGGTCAAGAATCAAGTGAGCAAGTCGATTCTAAAATTGAAACTGTCGTGGTTCTTGACAGATCAGGCTCAATGGGTGAATCTGTTGAGATGATTGTCAACAATGTCCTACCAAAGTTCTTCGAGCTTCTATCTTACGATCCTGAGACTATCATTAACTTAATTGCATTTGAAACCAGCACAAAAGTCCATAAAATCAAAGTTGGTGACTTTATCAAATTCAGAATGTTTTGTGAAGGATGTACTGCAATGGCACCGGCTGTTGAAGAGCTTTATAAGCTATTCGAACAATTTCAATCTAATGTGAAGTCATTGAGGATTGTCACAATTTCTGATGGTGAAGTCAACGACAAAAAAGCAACAAAAGATCTTGGTGATAAGCTTGCTGAGTATGCTGGCAAATGTAACATTTCAGTCAACTCCCAAGCTGTCAGGTTCTTTACATCTAATGCTCAACCAGACACAACTGCACTTTGCAGCTTATTGCAGCTCAATAATATTGGAAACAGCCAAATGATTGACATCAAGGAAGAAAAGAAGTCACCTGAAGACATTGCTAAGGAAATGGCGAATCTATTTGTAAATGATGGACTTGATAAGTCTAAGATGTTGAAGTCAAGTGAGGCTTTATTCTATAAATTCCCATGGGACAAAGACCCGACCGACCAAATTGTTATTTTACCTGGAATTAAAAACTTTTTCTGGGTCAATGGAGTTCCAGATGACTCACAAGTCTTAACAATAGACGGTAAGTCTATCAAAGTGTCTGCAGAACCATCCATCAACTTTGACGTGCTTATGGACAGCGTAAAGCTCAATTTTATCATCGACCGCATGAAGATTCTTAAAATTATTAATACAGATGCAGCAAAAGAAACCATCGACAAAATGGTCGCGTATTTCACGAAAATTGAAAATATTCTTATTAAGCTAGCTGCTGAGGAGGATGTAGATCCAACATCGATTGCAGGCCGTGCGAAACTTTTGAAGATTAATAAAATTTTGTCAAAACAAATTACTGGATTCTTACAGACCATAGCTACTGATGATGAGGTTAATAAGCTAAATGCTGAGCAGAAGGCGCATTATTTGAGAACTGTGGAAGTATCAAGTAAGGCTGGACGTGGATTAGCTAAGAGAGCTGCTAAGCAGAGACGAAAGAATCGTAATAAGATGCTCAGCTTTGATGAGATCATTCATAAAGAGGTAAATATGGAATCTAACCTAAAAATTATGAACCCAACCTCTCAAAACTGAATAAATTTTAAACCTTTCTCAATTCCAGGTCCTCTCAATCAAAGCAAATTTCCACGAAATCAAGGATATCGACTACAAGGACCATACAGTATCCTTCTACTCACAAGCAACAACCTTCGAAGGCATCATGTCTTTAGTTGAAGCTGCAGATGATGTTCTATTCAAAAACTACACCGCGGATGAGATCCTGCAGATCATTAATATTGTTGGAGTCGCTTGCTGCTCACCAAAGGGTGATTATCCAGATGCATCGAAGTGGAGAGTCAATGAGATCTATTATGGATGCTATATCAGTGTTGCTGACATAATAACTTCATATCATCAGTCTAAGGACACTGGATTTGTTCTTAAAGCTCCTGGATCTGACAAAAAGAACATCAAAGAGATCACGAGTACAATTCCTGTGTTTGATGATCCAAGAATTGGTGTCTTTTTGAAAAAGTATGCTCCATCGATCCTGGAATTTACTTCGTCGATTGGAATGAGAAAAGTCATTGCTGATGTTTCGATGACATTTGGATATAACATCATCGCTGGTATCCGAAGAATGATGTATGACCTAAACAAGAACAGATCGACAGTCCACTTAGAAACCTTTAAGAACTTGATCAGCACAGCATCTTCATTTGTTGGTAAATATTATGACCACATTCAGGAACACTTGAAGGACAAAGACTGTGGACAGTACGGATATTACTTAGATAACAACGGAATAGGGAACCTTATTGTTCCACTTATCCGAATCTACAGCAAAAAGAACCACGAAGCAGTCAAGAGAATGCCAGACATCCTCAGAGCCATCTACAGCTATGAAGTCTGGAAAGGAATCAGCAAGCAATTTAGATCAGAAAAGAAGTTTAACAAAATTGTCAGAGAAATGATCCATAAGCTCCTGAATATTGACTTGGAACTTGATAATGTCAAAGTTGCTCCCCTTTTTGAACCTGAACCAAAACGTGAAGACATCAAGTTCCCTGATGCGTTTGAGATTGATGTGGAATATCTTGATGAACTCACGCAGCCACTTTACTATCACAATTACATGAGCTTACTGCCTCAACTATTGACTGCAGTCACATCTGGACAACTTCAGGACATCAAAAATATTCCAGAAATGACAAAAACATCAACAATGCATGCTTTTGGCACCGACTATAGTTACAAGAAGTTCATATTCTTAAATGTCTATCAAGCTCTAAGATATCCACGTCCTGCTGATCGTATTGACTTTACAGCTCAAACTATGAAGATCCTAGATACCAAATATCACGATGAAGTCATTGAAGATGTAAAAAAGTACGTCCGTGGGCAGTTTGAGGCACAATATGATTTTGACGTTAAGATGAAGCAACGACAAGAGGAACTGGAAATGGCACAAACAATTGTTGGCAGCCTGATGAATGAGACAAGTTACGAAGCTATGGTCAACATCTGGAAGAATGGAATAACAAGGAACAACATAACCTATAAAATTGCAAATTCATCCAGCAATGGATTTAAGCTGCTTTGCAAGAAGTTGATTGACTTGAAGGTTGAGATTCAACTTAGGTCTAAGATTATTGAGGTTTTGTTGCTTGGAGTTGATGCTGATGGTCAAGTTGTGTACAACAATGGTCAACTTGTTGACATCAAGAACATCAAAAAGTATAAAAGAAGGTTCTTGCTAACTGGAACCACTGAAGATTGGGATAAAATAGAAGAAAAATTTAATGACCGAGCCACTTACACATACCGTGACAAAGAGAACAAACGAGGACATGGAAACAAGAAAATGTCATATTGGGCTTTGGGATTTGATAGCCCATCAGAATTTTTAAAAACACTAGCCATAGACGAACGTGATGAATACTTTGATAAGCATATGAGATGCTGTGACTCTTTCAACATTCGAAGGAAACAAGAAGGCAATTAGGAGATGACAAAAGTATGAATAAATTTTTTTTGGTATGAATTTTAAAATGTGAAAAAATAAAATTAAAAGTTGAGAAGCTTATAAAATTTGAGTATTGATTGGTATTGGATTTGTTGAGGAACTAGGGCTCGATGTATTGATGGTCTTGTTACTTGCTGGCTACGCTCAACAGCTGATTTGAGTTAATTTCGAGTTCAGATGCAGGCTACTCAGGAACTAGTTTAAAGATACATCTTGTGTATGCACTAAAGTAGCTATAGGTTCAGATTTATATCGGAAAACCCCAATTGGGCTACAAATGATTCAGCATCTTAGTGTCAAACATGTTCCAAGAATCCAAATAATTGCAAAAAAAATCTACAACTACCCATAAAATTCTCTTAGTTCTGCATTTTAAACCTTATCAGCTACGCTTATCCTTAATCTAGATCTATGGTTCAAAATCTCAATCTTATCGTAAGATTACGAAATTCATTAGTCACACCAAGGCACAGTTTCAAATCTTCATAAAATTACACACTGCACATTCAGTCGTGTCTCAGCGCTCATCGTACACAGAAGTATTATTTTCATTTCCTCAAAAAAAAGAGATTTTTTTTGCACTCTAAAATTATTCTCAAAAGAGAGAAAATAAAGTTGAGAGTAGCAAATAAGCCGACAATAACAAAAACAAACTCGAAACGAGTGAGAGAAGCAAAATAATTATTTTTAGTGAATGATTCATTAAGGTTGGGTTTGAAGTGCAATATTTTGCTGGATTCTGGAATTTATTTGAGGTAAATTGATCGAGGATTTGAGTAATTTTTGATAAATAAGTGCATTTTGGATTATTCGCTAAATATTCACAAATCATAAAGACATTAATTCATTATTTTAAAAAGTAAATAACACTTATACAGACGTAAACTTTATACAAATGCCGACAATTGAGGTTCAATACGTAAACATCAGTATTTTTATTTCTACAACAGCTTTGAAGTCACGATTTTTGCAAAATGTGTTCAAATAATTTCATTTTATGGTGATATTGAGCTAGAGCACCAAAAGTTGCTAGAATGGTTAGAATCTAGTTTTAGTCAGGAACCTTAGGGGCCATTCACTTATTACGTAACGCTTTTAGGGGGACGGGGGGTCTAAGATTTTGTTACGGTTCAAACAAGGAAATTTTTTTTCATACAAATTTTGTTACGAGGGGGGGTCTAAGAAGTCATTTTTTCGCGTTACGTAATAAGTGAACAGCCCATTACCAACTTGCTCTTGATAATTTCAGTTCTGTGTAGGGTGACCATCTGCGTAGTTTTACAACGGAAAGTCCTGTATTTCAAAACCCTGTCCTGTATAAATTTTTAAATTTTGTTCCAGGTCCTGTATTTTTTTCACGAAAATTTCCGTTAATTTTCAAATTTTCTTTTGTGTCCTGTATTTTTTAGGAAATTTATCAAATGTCCTGTATTTTCATAAAAATTAGATGGTCACCCTAGTTCTGTGTCTTTGAACTTAGATTAAAAAAAGTAAGCTTTAGCATTCAGACCTTGAAATCAATAGCTGGATGTCAGGAGGATCTTGTCCCCCACTTAAGTCGCTGCGATTCAAAACGTTCAAAAGCGGGGGACAAAACCCTCCTGGCTACGCACCTGCTGCACGTTATATTCGTTACAAAACTAATGATAGTTTAAGAAGTGAGGATTTGCCAGACCTCCCGCTCAAACCTAGACCTACAATTTTAAGTGGGATCCTAACCACTTCTTTGATGACTTTTCTGTCTGTAGCTTACAAAGGAAAGGCTGTGAGTCTAAATTTTATACCATATTAAGCTTCAAATCATAAGTTTTTTGCAACGACAGTCACTCTTAACGTGTTTATGACGTTTTGCTGTTAGAACAATGATAAAATTGTCCATTATCCCTAACAGACAAAGAGCATGCTCTCAATGAGTATGCTCTCTAAAATATAAAAGCTGAGTATGCTCACGAGTTAACTCAGTCAGTACATTTAAGTGAGCATACTCATTGAGAGCATGCTCTTTGTCTGTTCGGGTATGGTTGCCACATAAGGTAAGAGGAGGTGTAACTGCAGCTTTAATAACGAAAATTCAGCCTTGACGACTAAATTGTGTCTTAAAATAAATCAACGGCATTCTTTAGTCTCTCGTTGATTTCTGGTGTCAGCTGTTCTTTGAAAATCTGAAAACATGTGTCACTTTTCTATGAAACAAGTAAAGATAAACATGACATTATTTCCATATGAATTTGGATAAATTTTTCAAACCAGTCAAATGCCAAGTGGCGAAACAAATACATTAAATTATCGAGGCATCGTCTCTTGCTTGATGATGGCATTTTGATAAGTGATTAGCTATCTTAGAATAATGGCTCTTGAGTTGCACTTTTTTCTTATGACTAAAGTAATCATCTGTTGAGTTTTCAAGTCTTCTTGATCTAATTTGTTCCCTAATTTCTAATCTCCCTGTTGAGATTTATGATACGGGTTGAATCGTCTTGCAGCTCGTCTCCGGAAAACCTCTCTCTCTACCTTTTGCACGTTTGAACTGTTACGAAGATGTGCAAGTAATGCCACTTCGCGTTCCCCTATCACTGCTTTTATCGCCTCCCACGAATCTTCCTTCACAACCTTTGGGGTTGAGCACACTGCTAGCTCCTCCTCAAATGGCTCCCACTGGACTTCTGTAACCTCCTCCGTGGTGACTTTCCTTATGTTTACCTTTATTACTTATTAATTATCTTTATAGTACTTAAAAGTACTCTTTAAGCCCTTTTTAGTATTTATTCCTTTCTCCTTTTATCTTTATCCCTTTCCTGATCGCCTCCCACGAATCTTCCTTCATTACCTTCGGAGTTGAGCACACTGCCAGCTCCTCCTTAAATGTTGAGATCTTGAACAAGGGTGGAAAGCCCTTATTCGTCTTTATGCTGTTAGACTCCTGTGTGCTTCTCTCTCAGCCTTATGTACGTTCTCGCTATCTCCGAGATGCGTCAGCAGTACAATCTCTCGTTCTTCCACCTCAGTCTTGATCGCCTGCCACGAGTCTTCACAGCCTTTAGGGGTCGCTCCTTCATAGATGGCTACCACTCTACGTCCGATACTTCTTTTACCGTCGTGATCTCCGTGGTAATAGGTTGGTAATAGGTCCTTTATTCACCTTTGATTCTTTAATCCTTTTTACTCCCTTTTCCTTTACCCTTATATCTTTATCTTTTGTTCTTTTATCCTTTTCATTCCCTTTTCCTTTATCCTTATATCTTTAACCCTTTCCTTTAGATGTTTTCAGCTCGATTGCCAAAACAAGAATGAATTTCCCTGCAATAATTCGCTCGTTTTATAGGGTAATTTTCCCGCCAAAAATTGCCCCTTTCATCCTTTCTCTTTCACACCCTTTTCTGTCTCTTTCATTCTTTTTGAAAATGAAATGTCCGTTAAATTTCTTTTGCTTTATATTCATCATTTCAACACTCCCCCTAGCTACACGCTTGAAAAATATCAAAAGCTAAGCTTTATATTGCAGAGATACTAAATAAAATTATTTTCATCAATAAATATGAATAAATGATAGATTGTTGACTTGATAATCATAATGATAATTGCTCATCCACACGACTGTCACATGTGTTACTTATTAAATTTATTATTCATAATATGCACAATACGTCAAGGCTATAGAATTGTTATTTCATTTAGAATGGCATCAAATATAACTTTCATATGTTGGAAATTTTTTATTTAGAATTCTCCCGGTTTAGGGTTGTTCACAAATGATGTCTACAATTTGAATTGAGCTTGATTGATATGTAAAGCTTTATAGCATATCTAAACAAGTGAAACATGTTAATAGCAGATTTTTTTTGAAGCAGATTTGGTTTTAGGTCTAAAAATCTTTGTTTTCGTTTAACTTCATTCATTAAAGACCTCAATCACACTCGTTATGTTGTCTGCTTACTTATATAGGGGCGTAATTTTCATTTAAATTCAGTAAATATTCACGAATCTTTGCTTTTTGACCATCAATAATTAAAGTTTTATCATTAATTGAATTTTATCCGAACAATTCGTTTTATATTTCCAGTTCATCGCCAACACAACCCTTGATAATCACCCTTGAACCATGTCTGAACCAACAGTAAACCAACCAACAACAATGGGCACCACAATTGACTCACCATACGAGATTAAACTCTATCCAATTGAAGATGATTTTATTGCTTGCCTAGACACAACCAACATTTTAGATTCAGCACAAAAGATTCATTCAAAAGTTGAGACTGTTGTGATTATTGATCGATCAGGTTCGATGGGCCGATCTGTCTACAAAATAGTCCACAGTGTCTTGCCAAAGTTCTTTGAGTATTTGTCATATGATCCTGAAACTTTGGTCAACGTTATTGCTTTTGAGAGCAAAACTGTGGTTCATAAAGTTAAAGTTGGTGACTTTAAGGACTTTAAAATGTTTAGTGCTGGTGGAACCTCAATGGCACCGGCTGTGACTGAGTTGCATACGTTATTTGAGGAATTTAAAAGCACAGTGACGTCATTAAGGATTATAACAATTTCTGACGGTGAAGTTTTCGATCAATACGAAACAAAAGAGCTTGGAGATAAGCTAGCTGAGTTTGCAGGCAAATGTAACATATCAGTGAACTCTCAAGCTGTCAGGTTCTTCACATCTCGAGCACAACCAGACACAACAGCACTTTGTAGCTTACTGCAACTTAATAATGTTGATAAATGTCAAATGATCGATGTCGGAGCACAAAAGCATCATGACAAGATTGCACGAGAAATGGCAGATTTGTTCATAAATGATGGCTTCGATCATTCCAAGATTTTGCAGTCTAACGAGACTATTTTTTACAAATTTCCATGGGATGAGGAAGCACTCGACCAAATCTTAATCCTACCAGGAAGACGAAATGTCTTTTGGGTTGATGAAGTTCCAAAAGATTCACAAATGATCAAAGTTGAGGGAAAGCCAGTCAAAGTTTCAATCCAGAAGGACATAAGCCTCGATACATTCCAACTGTTGCTTAGTGCTAAGCTTGACTTTGTCATCGATCGCATGAAGATCCTCAAAATAGTCAATTCAGACTCGGCAAAAATTACAATTGAAAAAATGGTCGAGTACTTCTCAAGAATCGAAAAAATGCTCGTTAGTTTGGTCGGTGACGAAGTTGTGGATCCAAAATCTATTGCGAACCGAGCAAGGCTTGTTAAACTTAACAGAATCAGGTCCAGAAAGATCACAACATTCTTAGAAACCATCGCTAATGATGATCATGTACATAAGCTGAATGCTATGCAAAAAGCAAATTATTTAAGGAGTGTGCAGGCATCTAGTAAGGCTGGAAGGGGATTGGCTAAGAGAGCAGCTAAGAAGAAGAATAAAATTCGAGCAAAAGTGCTCAGTTTTGATGAGATTGTTCATCAAGAGGTAAAAAATATGGTTTTTTGGAGATTTAACCTCAAAATTAAGTTCAATAACCTAAAAAACTTTATAACATTTTTCAAATTCTTCATTTAAGGTCAAAGCAATCAAAGCCAACTTCCACGAGATCAAAGACATCGATCACAAGAAGCATTCAGTCTCGTTTTATTCACAAGCCACAACTCTCGAAGGAATCAAATCACTCATCGAATTCACAGACGACGTAACCTTTCCAAACTTCACAGCTGAAGAGATTCTTCAAGTTCTTAACCTCGTTGGTGTCGCTTGCAATTGTCCAGTCGGTGATTTCCCAGATGCATCAACATGGAGAGTCAATGAGATCTATTATGGATGTTATGTTAGTGTTGCTGACATCATCACATCGATCCATCAATCCAAAGACACTGAGTTTGTCCTTAAGGCTCCTGGAATCGACAAAGAGATCATGAATGTGATTCCAGTGTTTGATGATCCAAGGATTGGTGTCTTTTTAAAGAAATACGCTCCATCGATCTTGGAATTTACATCTTCAATAGGAATGAGAAGGGTGATTGCTGACGTCCCAATGACTTTTGGATACAACATCATCGCTGGCATAAGAAGAATGATATATGACTTAAACAAGAACAAATCAACTCTGCATTTAGAGACATTCAAGCAATTAATCAGCACTGCTGCATCATTTGTTGGGAAGTACCACGACCATATTGAGGAACTCCTCAAAGATAAAGAACATGGAATGAATGGATATTACCTCGGCAACAACGGAATTGCCAGCCTTCTAGTCCCTCTAATAAGAATCTACAGCAAGAAGAACCACGAAGCAGTCAAGAGAATACCAGACATCCTCAGATCCATCTACAGCTATGAAATTTGGAAAGGAATCAGCAAAGAATACAAAGGAAAGCAGAATTTCGACCAAATTGTTAAAGACATGCTGCTTAAGCTCTTAGGCATTGATCTAGAAACCCAAAAGATTAAAATAACTCCTAAATTTGAATCAGAGCCAAAACGTGAAGACATCCAGTTCCCAGATGAGTTTAAAATTGACCAAGACTACCTTGACAAGCTCACCCAACCTTTGTACTATCACAATTACATGACCCTCCTGCCTCAACTCCTCACAGCAGCTACACATGGACAGCTCGAAGACATCAAATCAATTCCAGAGATGACAAAAGCAACAGCACTAGAAGCATTTGGAATCGACTATAGCCATAAAGAATTTGTGTTCCTTAATGTTTTCCAATCACTTAGATATCCTCGAACAGTTGTCCGTGCTGACACAAAAGCTCAAACTATGAAGATTCTTGATGTCAAGTATCATCAAACAGCAATGGAGGATGTCAAGAAGTACGTACGTGAGCAGTTTGAGGCACAGTATGAATTTGATGTTAAGATGAAGCGACGACAAGAGGAACTGGAAATGGCACAGACAATTGTTGACAGCCTGATTAATGAAGCAAACTATCGAGCTATGGCCAACCTATGGAAGAATGGAATAACAAAGAACAACATAACCTATAAAATTGCAAATTCATGCAGCAATGGATTTAAGCTGCTTTGTAGGAAATTGGTTGACTTGAAGGTTGAGATTCCATTAAGGTCTAAGATTATCGAGATACTGTTGCTTGGTGTTGATGCTGATGGTCAAGTTGTCTATAACAACGGTGAAGTCTGTGACATCAAAAACATCAAAAAGTATAAAAGAAGGTTTTTGCTCACTGGAACTATTGAAGAATGGAATGAAGTTGAGCAGAAGTACAACAGCCGTAACATCCACGCGTATCGTGAAAAAGAGAACCGACGAGGTCATGGAAACTCAAAACCATCATATTGGGCAATTGGCTTTAATCATCTCATTGATCTCCTGAGACCATTGACTGATGAGGAACGTGATGATTATGTCAGCAACCACGAAAGATGCTGTGACGCTAACAATGTCCGATGGGCACTGTGGAATGAGAGATGGGAAAATGAGAGAAAAGAAAGAGAACTTTTGATTGGAAATCAGAGTCCGGAAAGTAACGTGAGTGATGAAGGAACTGACGATGACGATGAGGAACAAGAAAATGAGAAAGAGGTGATGACTGAGGTTGAGAAGAAGATTGAGCAAAAGGATGAGAAAATTGAGGTTTAAGATTAAGGAGATGAATTAATAGCTGGCATTTGGACCTTTGGTTAGCCTTGTCGAATACCAAAATCGAAGCATAGAGTTTTGAATGTCTTGATAAAAGTAAAATTTATTTACTCCTTTAGGGGCCATTCACTTATTACGTAACGCTTTTAGGGGGGGAGGGGGGTCTAAGATTTTGTTACGGTTCAAACAAGGAAATTTTTTTTTCATACAAATTTTGTTACGAGGGGGGGGGGGGGTCTAAGAAGTCATTTTTTCGCGTTACGTAATAAGTGAACAGTCCCTTAGTATTTTAATACGTAAATATTAATAAAATCATAAGTTGTTAAAAAAGCATGTTAAACATATTTTTTGATAAATATCATAAGCTTACAAGCCCTAATATAGAGTCATGATTAGGGTGACCATCTGCGTAGTTTTACAACGGACAGTCCTGTATTTCAAAACCCTGTCCTGTATAAATTTGAAAACTTTGCTCGAGGTCCTGTATTTTTTTCACGAAAATTTCCGTTAATTTTCGAATTTTACTCTATGTCCTGTATTTTTCGAAAAAATTTACCAAAAGTCCTGTATTTTCATGAAAATTAGATGGTAACCCTAGTCATGATATTAAAATTGTAACTTTTAACTACCTCAAAAATAAAAATAAATTGTTAAAATATAAATAATTTAATGAAATGTTTTTAAAAAGCTAATATTTTCTTAAATCTCGTTGAGAAATTTTTTATGGCTACGTTCTTTTTAGGGCTGTTCACAAATGACGTTCATCAACATCCAGGGTTAAGTTGACTAAATTCTTGTTCCATAGTCCTTCAAAATATTTTAGTTTTGCTACATCCATTAACTATATGACGATTCACATTATTTGTAAATGACCCCATACCCGAGTGGCAGAACAGAGTCGCTAAACGCTGCTTTATTGCCTTGTTGACCACATAATATTAAAATTAAGATAGAGTGTCTTTAATGCAATGTAAATAATGATTTTGGCTTATTCTGACTGCTTTCCTTTGAGATTTGCCAAAGTGTGTTGTTCGGGCTATCCATCGACGTCAATTTGTATATTTTCTAGAGCTTTATATATCACTTTTAGCCGAATCATCACAACACAGCTCCTATAGCACAATGGTAGTGCGCTCGGAAAAACTTACTTTGATAAAACTTGCAATTCTATCCGAGAGGTTGGGGGTTCAAGTCCCTCTAGGGGCAGCTGTGGTCAAATATGATCTTTTTTTTGGATGCTTAAGGGTTTGGGTTGTGCTTTGTGACCTTTTTTATGAAAAGGATGGTTTCTTGAAGGTTTTAAGGATAGAAAATGGTGATTTTTACAGAAAATATGTGATTTTTGGAATTATTGTTGAAGCTTTTTTAAAAAAATTGTTGAAATTGTTGAAAGTATGGGCATTTTCGCTATTAAATCGATGGTTTGAGATGCTAAAAGTTAAACTTTTAAGACGAGAAATCTTAAATTTTGAGTATAAATGTGCAACTAATTGTAAATTTTGAGTCAGCAGTTGTCCATTTTCAAGTTAATTTGTTCATTCTAGCACACAAAATGTAATAATGTGATGAATCATGCTCAACTAAAGCTGTATTATTTTCATGTCATTTGTTCATTTTTGTTGAACATTTTAGAAACTGAAACAATTTAATCAATTCTGAAGGATTATTTTATTAAACTTTCCGAAGGTCTGGGCGTTGGTTGTTCTTTACACACTTGTTAATGCCTTATTTGTCAAAATGAATGAATGAATCCTAGAGTCATAGTTCAGGTTTAGCTAATAGTCTTATGATGACTTGAGGTTAACTCTTTGACTTCATTCAGAGACTTATTTGACTAGGTGCTTACTAGGGTGTAGCGTACAACCAATAGGTAAACCACAGAACAGTAAATGGGCTCCTGATCCTAAGTAAACCCTTTGATTGCTGCAAAAATAGACCCGAGTAAATTAGAAAATAATTAAAAGAATTTTTTTCAAATTTTTTCTTTCTTTATTTCTCATCAAATCCTCTAATGTGCTTACAAAATAAAAATTATAAATTTAATTCCAATATTATTTAAATTTTGTTGATCTAACCGAATTTTAATTAAATTTAATTTCGTACAAAGAATGTGGAAAACGAAATGATTTTCTGAATGATTAATTTGTTTTAATGAGTGCAATTTTTAGATTAGATTTTTTTAAAGTTAATTTAGATGCTTAAAAAGACTTTTCTTTTTGATTTTTGAATAAAGTTGTCGAAGATTGAATTTGTTTTATTTTAAGATTTTTAAATAAAATGTTTTGATGCTTTTTGAATTTATATTCAATTTTAAATTTTTTTTATAATAAATAGTTTTTTTTTAAAAAAAAGGATTGAGTTTTAAAACAAATCTTTAAATATTTTTCGACCTATAAATTCAAACTTCGACGTTAATTTTTCAAAACTAAAATAATTTTAAATTCAAGAAATTTTAAGTTGTGTGTGAGAGACATAAAGCACCATCTTACCATTAATTAGGTTTATTAATTATAGTGTTTAATGATTTTTGTTGCCTTTTTAAAATTTAATTTTCACAATTTTCAAAAAAATGATAATAATGCATTAAAAATGCTAAAGATAAATTGTTTTAAATTTTAGGAAGAAAAAACAATTTAACAAAATTTTCTAACATCTTAAAAAAATCTTTTAAAAACCAAATTTAACTTTGAGAGATTTTAAAAATAAAAATAAACTTTTACCAAGTTTTTAAAACAAATTTTAAATTTTTGGAAAAAGTCTGAGTTTACAAAAATTAAAAGTATAATATTTTTTAATCTGTTTTTTTATATAATTCAAAACTTAATTTAAGGATTTTGAAAATCTTTCATTTTGAAAATTATCCAAAATTTTAAATACTGTCTTCATTCTATATTTAATAAATCTCTACATTTTTTAAATCTTAATTTTTATTGCATTAAATGCTTTTTCATGAACTTTTTTTCTTTAAATTTTTAGATATATTTTTTAATTCCTTAACATTATTAATTTTTTCAACATTTTTATTATTTAATTTTTTTGCTTTTTAAATTTTTGCTTTCAGATTTATTTATTTAGATATAATAATTTCTTTTTAATATTGAACAATTTTCGTATTATAATTTTTCATTAATTTTTAAGACTTTACTTTTCGTTAAGTGCGTTTACTTTTTCAAGATTTTCAATAATGACTTCATTGGGATATTTATATTTTAACTCAATTTAAAAAACTTTTAAAGTTTCTCAAAATTTAAAAACTCAATTTTAAAATTTATAAGTTTAATTAAATTTCTTAAAACCCAATTTGATTTTTTAAATTTTAATTTTAATTTTTTAAAATTCAATTTTAATTTTTCCTTTTTTAAAGTTTTCTTTGTTGTGAATTTTAATAAAATTGTTGATCTAACTGAGGGCACAGTAGGAAGAATTAAAGATTTATTTTTCGAATACGACAGTTTTTTTTTGTAAATATTTGAAATTAGTAATTTTTTAATTTTATACAAGAATATGAATTTAATTTGATGATAACTGAGGAGTTCTGGTTCGATCCATTGACTATGGTAGTCAGCAGACCCTTATAAACCCCCTTTAAATGCAACAATGAATAATACTGATCAACTTTTGCTTTAAAATATTTCACATAAAATTAATGATTGTACTTTACACTATAATATGATAAATAATCCGATAGATTGCACAGATGAGTAGATATAGACTTTATAGACACTTTTCACAAAATATTCTTTCTTTCTCGTTTTTAAATAAAACATTTAACAATTGAAAATTCACAAATAAAATATATATTTTTCTAAGAATTCTGTTTTTTTCTTGGCAATTTTTTTGAACATTGAAGATTTTTTTTTTTCATTTTTTCTGTCATTCTTGGCATAGATTTATAGTTTAAATTGTCTTCTACTGCTTCAAAAAATAGATTTTTATATATTTTCTTAAATTCTAAGTTTTTTTAATTTCTTAAATTCTATTAAAATACTTTTTCATTCTTTAATTTTTTTTTGGTTTGAAATTTGAAATATTGTTTTTTTTTTGAATTATTTTTTTGTCATGCAATAGGAGGAGATGTGGATGCGGTATAAAGGGAAGATGTAGGGGTGTTCAGTGTAATTTTCTTTAATTTTAAATTAAGAAATAAGAAAAAGTTTAAAAATTTAATTCAATTTTTTTAAATTTTGAAAAGTTTTTTTTAAAACTCAAAACTATTTCAAAATTCAAAATAGATTTCAAAAAAATTTCAAAATAATTTTTTAACACCCCTAACCAACCCTAAACCCCACCCAAAAAGGTACAGAAAATTTGTCATAAAACTTCCTAACATGGATAGGTACTTAACATAAATGCTTATCATTTTCATTTTCATTTTTTGTCGGTAGTGCTTTTTTGTGTTTTTTTCTCAGTGGACAATTTTTCATGTGCTGGAATAGCTCAACATAAGCTCATTGTGTGCTCTGTTTCTTGTGCCTTTTTAAAATTCATTTTTGATCCCCATTTTGATGGACGTCGACTGAGTTTTTGTCAAATTTTTTTTCTCTAAAATTGTTCACTGAGAATTTAATTTTTGACGCATTTTTTTCTTTCAAAAAAGCGATTTTTTTAATATAATTTTTTTTGTCAACTATAATGCGACATTTTGCGCATATATTAGTAATAAATTTAATGAACACTTATCAATATGATCTTGTTTCTGCTGCCTTTTAATTTTTTTTAAATTTCTTTCATTTTCTAAAAAGTCTTTTGGAAATTTGTTGAACTAATTTGAAGTTTTTTTTTGTCTCTTTGGCATTTTTAAAAGGAAGATTTTATTAAGAAAAAAATAATTTTTTTGGAAGATTTTCCCATTTTTGTGTTGAATGTCAATGATTTGGTCACGTAGGTTCACTAGGTGGCTTCTTTTAGATTCTGTCATTTTATTTTGATCCATTGTATTTAGTTTGGTTTTGTTTTTTTCAAGTTTTGTGAATTTCTTGATGCTTTTATCATTTTTTGGCAACTTAGCAGGTGCATAGCCAGGAGGTCTTGTCCTTCCTCCGTTAAGGGTTTACAGCCTGCTCTCGCTGAGGTTTAAAAATGCAAGGAGACAAGCCCCTCGTAGCTAGGCGCCTCGAACTTGGTCATACTATTTAGAATCTAGAGTCAATTTTTATAGTTTCTCTGCATACCTGACGCAGTCAATTGGTCACAGTCAATTTTCAGTAGGTATTTAATCTGTCTTTGACCCTTGTGAGCTTTTTGTAAATAGATTTGCTTTAAAAGCTAACTTTTTGTCGCTACTAAGGTCATCAGTACCTTTAGCCTTCTTCAAAAACTGACCATAAGTCTTTAGGATAGCGATCTAGCTTTTGATTGCAGCTAAAGTCGAAAGGTACTGATCAAACCTCTTAAATCGAAGCAAATTGTATGGATTTGCCTTTAAACCATAGCATGGCTAGTCTTAATCATATATCCTTGGTTTTATGTATTAAGTTCTCTCGTGACATATGGTCAGGAGCGGAAACAGACATTTTTAAGGATAAATAAAGGTCAGGAACCCTTTAGAACCACAACAAAGTTCAGTCTTTGTCCTATTCATCGTTAAAGTTATGTCAAATTCAACCAGGAGCTTTAAAACTCTAAACTAATATAGCCAAAAAATTAAAATAACTTCAAGAAATCCACTTAAGTCTTCCTCAACTAATCAACCTCATGAACAATCCTAATAAATCCTCCTTAATTTCAATATTACTTCCTCTTTTCTCACTTCTTCTAATTTTCATTCCAATTTTTTTTTTTCATCAATAATTTTATTTTTAAAGATTCTCATAAATTTTATGAAAATGTCTACTTTCCCAAAACTGTCTCTTTAAATCCTCAAACACGCAACAAAAACAACAATTGAAGCTCCAATAATTGTCAATTTAGCACTAACTCTACTTCCGCCCGAAATCCACATTCGATATTTGATATCAGGCAACACTTTACTTTCATAAAACTCAAAAAGATCTCGATAAGCTCGACGTATTTGCTGCATTCCAGTCACGTTTGTACGATAAACAATCGGCAAGTCTACAGCTCGAGCAATCAGTTCCATTTGGTGCTGTTCAACTTCATACTTTTGGAATATTTTCACCATCCATTGTCCCTCGTGTCTGTCGTCCATCTTGTAGATGTCCTCAATCATTTCGAAATATTTACGGACCATATAGTCATTTTTTGTGTACGGCTTAGCTTCATTATGATACATGAGGAACATGACGTAGTGCAGGAGTTCATGAACCATAATTCCAAGTGCTGTGTCACGCTCCTTTGGATTGAGGATGTCCTTTGCTCCAATATAGACTCGATTCTCTTTTTCATTTGTCAGTCCAGAGGATGTATAGGACACTGGATTAAGTTTAAAGGTATAACGACTTGATAAGTCAATAATGATCTGTAAGTTGCTGCATCTAGCTGCAAACTCAATAATTGGACCTGTCAACTCATTCTTATGGATGTCAATAAATGCTGAGAAGATTTCACGATTTGCTGTTGCTCCGTCAACTTCCAATGGATCGTATGTGATTAATGAGCGTTGATGAAGCTTCGCGATGTAGTCTTCAGCTGGATGATGGATATACTTAAGATTCAACTTCTGTAGTTCGACAATTTCATCATCATTGAAGCTATAAATGTGATTAACGATTGATCTAGCAGCTCCATTGTCATACGGCATCATGTGATTGGCATTAAGCAACGCAATAATTTCGACATTTTTACTGTAAACAGCTGTGACAATTGCGAGGATGTTATCGACATCTCTAGCATATCTAAGCCTCTTATTTTCCTCAATAAATGTCTCAATGTTGTCAAAGTTCTTCCCACGAATGTTATCATGCAGTGACTGGATCTTTCGGATATGCTCACTAAGCTCCTGAAGAGCTTTATTGTTCCTTGAATTCTGTCTGACTGGAACAATCTCACCAAAGTTGTCTGGATACGGAAAGTCAGACTTGATGAGCAGCGTGAATATGTCATAGTGCTCATTCTGCCATGCTACCGTTGTTGCTGTATTGTTCTCCCAGTCCATCTCGCCCATGTAGTCGATTTCCAGTAGGAACTTGATTCCATCGATATTTCCACTTTCAGCTGCTCTAGCTAGCAAGTCGCGACACTTTCTTAGCGGCTCAAATGTGCTTTTAGCAGCAAATCGATTGCTAAAGTTAAATGGAAGGTCAAAGAGTGCATGAATCAGTTCCTTATTGAACTTTTCAGCTATACTTTTTGAGTTCTTCGCTAAATAGTCACTGACATTAAAGTTTGGGACGTAAGCATTCAGCATTCGTACACAGACTGAGCAGTTGTAATTAATAGCAAATGTCATGATGATGTAGTAATTAGTTCCATTCATCCCTCGATCTGACGCGTACCTAAGGTAGTACACAAGATTATCAGTCGTGAATTTATGCAGCAGCATTTCCCTCAGCCTCCTCGAGTTCAGCTTCTCCTCAAATGTCGCTGACTCAATTTTAGATTCACTATTTAAATAATAAATGATTTCATTATCCTTGTTGTCCTTATTGCCACGCTCACGACCTGCTTTAAAGTGCAAAATCAATGGTCGCTCGGATCGATTCAAATATTTTTGCCATTTATTCTTAAACTTCCTCAATCCACTTTCTTTTACTTCCGCACTAATGATGAATGCCTTTGGGATTGTTTTTAATCCTTGAATGAATTTTTCATGACTCAAAACTTCCATCGTCTCGTTCATGGATGCGAATGACGGGGTCAAGGTGATTTGCTTGTGACGTAATGCGCTGCATGATGCGTTCAGGAAGTTTAGTGACTTTTCGTTGCATTGAAATGAGATTTTTGAGTAAATATCAGACGACTTGAGACTGCTGGTAAGCTTTTGAGCTTTGCCGTCCGAATCTTTGGCTGTCGAGACTAGTTCAAGGACGTTGAGGAGCACCTGAAAAAAAAATTTTGTCAAATTTTACAAACTTTTTTGGCATTATTTTGGGAACTTACAAATAGAAATGTTTTATATCCACGACGCATCCTTAGTGACATTCAACTGGAACCACGAATATCCAAAATCTCAACTTAAAAAACGTAAACAATGCCAAACCCACCCTAAATTAATTTTCTTATGTCTATCAAAAAAATTTATTTCACACTTCTTGTCTTAATTCTTAGCAAATTTCAACTTTTCGTCTCATTTCCCGACCACTCAGTCCTGACTTTGGCACTAAAGTTTCGTTTAAAAGTGAAATTTTGTGATGAAAATTTCACATTTGGTGATGAAAAAAGTTTTTTTTCTCTGTGAAGACTTTTTTTTTTGATGTGGAAAATTTTTTTCTCTAATTTTTTTTAAGGCAGACAGGGAAGAAGAGGATGTATGTGATGTGGAACACGTGATTTGTGCGCATGCGAGGAGCTTTTGTTTATAAATTATTTTCGAGGACTTTTTTTTCTTGGGGGTTGGAAAATTATTGTGCGGGAAAATTTGAAAATTTTCTTTCTGGGATTTTTTGATAAGTTCAAAAATTAAAAAGTTGAAAATTTAAAAAAAATAATAATTTAAAAAATTAAAAAGTTGATAATTTAAAAAAAAAATAATAATTTTAAAAATTAAAAAGTTGAAAATTCAAAAAAATCAAAAATTCCTGATTTAAATAAGTTTTAATTAAATAATCCCAAAGAATTCTTCATCAGCATTTTCTAATCTTTAATACATCCAATTACATCCATCTTTACCGTCCGAATAAATTGCCAATTGAAAACTAATCAATCAATTTTCATGTCAATTAAGTTGTCATCAACGTTCATCAATCAACCTTATTTATTCCATCATCATTGCACAATTTCCCATCACTACAACTTGAGCACATTTTCTCAGTCTTGATTGTACTTGTGAGTAGTTTTATGTGAGCACTAGACATGAAATAATGACTCAATGGATCTCAATATGGCATAAATTTACTCAATTAAATCCTATTAAGAATCAGTTTATTCAAGTTCAAGATCATCTCAACAGTGTTGGATGAACTTTTGAGCCACGGCACATCTTGATAGTCAGTCATGTCAAAAAGCTCAAAATATGTGCAATTCGTGGTATTTTTAAAAAAATTCTACGACACACTAGGGTGCCGCGGCACACAGTTTGGACAACACTGATCTAGAGGAATTAATTGAGAGAATATAGTTTTGAAATGAGAGCAGTCATTATGATGATTGAGAAAGTGTTGGTGATAATTTGTGAAATTCGCTGATGTTAAAAGTTTTAATTAATTAAATTATTTGTTTTTTTTTTTATTTGTGGTGTTAAAAATGAGATTTAGATTGTGAATTGGCAAAATGTGTGTGTTGAAATTTTTCATGTTGAGTTTTTGAACTCTTCAATTTTTTAGATTTTTAATTTTTAAATTATAACTTTTTTAACTTTTTGAACTTTGTAAATTTCGAAGTTTTTGAACTTTCAAACTTTTAAACTTTTGAATTTTTTTAAAACATAAATTTTTTAAAAACATAAATTTTTTAATTTTCATTTTTTTTAACTTTTTGATTATTGCTAAAATTAATTTTTATAAAATTCAAAAATAATTTTGTAAAAAACTCACGTTTTGGTCTACTTTACTTACCCATGTGTTTCCTTTGTAATTTTCTTCTTCTTCCTATTTTACTCTCTCATCTACTCTTACTCTCTTTTTCATTCCCAATATCTCACAGTCGGCAATAAATGTCGCTCAGTCAACAAACTCAATATTAAAAAAAAACTCGACAATAAAGTAAATTTTCTCCATTTAATTTCAGTTTAAATACTTAACTTGTGTCATCAACAAATTGTCATAATGACTGCTCGAATGCCTATTGACTTAGTGAACTTAAGTGACGGTGAATTTAAGGAATTTGTTGGGAAATTCGATGTCTTTTTTTGCGATTGTGATGGTGAGGAAAATATTGAATTTTATTATCGATTTTCTTTGGGATTTGGAAGAGTTGGCGGTTGTGCCAAAGTTAAAAATTCTCCAAATTTTTAATTAAAAACTTAGAATTATCAAGAATTAAATTAAGAAATCTCAAAAATGATGAAATTAAATTCAAGTGACCTTCAGACTCAGTTTTTGAGTAATTAATCTTATTTAGAAATTTGATAATTTTTTTGATAACTTTATCTTGTTTTTAACTCGGCTTTATTTTGATCAAATAATTTTATTTCCATTTTTGGAAATTGTTAAATCTTTGAAGTTTCAATTTTTTAAATCTTTCGACTTTTAACTTTTTTTTATTTATCTTCTTCTTTTTATATCTGATTCATTAGAAATTATAACTATGTTTTTAAAAATTTGATGATCAATTGTTTGTTTTTAAATTTTGATAGTTTTTTTAAAATTTTGAAAAGTTTCGAAAATAAAAAAAATTGGAAATTATTCTATTTTTATTTTAAATTTTTTTAAACACTAAAACTTATCATTAGAAAAATTATTTTCCATAAATCTCTTAAACATCTTCAAACTTCATCAAACTTACAAAAAAAACCTGATTAATAAAAGCAATATTCAATTAAGTGTCGACTTATTAATAGAATAGTTTATGTTACGCTTGATCAAAGGTTATTGATTCCAGCTGATCGATTTCCAGATGTATCAAATTGTGAATTATTAAAATTGTTGTTGTTTTGCTTGATCAGCACTAAAATGCGCGGTCTCATAAACCGCAAAGCAATATGATATCACAAAATCTACGAATTTCACAATGTTTAATTAGCACTATTTAAAATATTACGGAAGTCATGAAAGATCAACATTTAAGCTCTTTATTAATATTTTTATCACATACCCTATCCCATACCCTATCCCATACCCTATCCCATACCCTATCCCATACCCTATCCCATACCCAATCCCATACCCTATCCCATACCCTATCCCATACCCTATCCCATACCCTATCCCATACCCTATCCCATACCCTATCCCATACCCTATCCCATACCCTATCCCATACCCTATCCCATACCCTATCCCATACCCTATCCCATACCCCAACCCATACCCCAACCCATACCCTATCCAATTTCCCTCATAAGTCGCTAACGTAATTAGCGAATGGCTTATTAAATGATGACTTTGTCGAAATTAAATAATGTCATATCCATATCTCCTATCTTATCAGTTTAATCATACACCGTTTATATTGTCAGCAGTGCTATATTCATAAATATTTTTATAATATTTTTAGGGGTCCTCTGGTCATTTCGAACACCATTCCCCGGTGGCTGTGAGTCAATCAATGCCCTAAAGACCATTGGAAAGCGAGTCTACTTAGTCACGAACAACAGTCAAACCAATCGCGAAGAAATGCTCCAAAAATGCGAGAAAATTGGCTACAAAATCTCAATTGATGACATTTTAACATCAACTTATGTTGCTGCTCATTATTTGAAGCAAACTGGATTTGACAAGACACTTTATGTCATCGGACCAGAGCAGTTGGGCAAAGATCTGGATGAAGTTGGCATTAAGCATATTGGAATTGGACCTGATGTAATTGAGGGAGGACTTTATGAGCATATTTTAAAAAGATATAAATTGGATGAAGATGTTGGAGCTGTGATGATTTCTTTTGATAGACATTTTTCATATATTAAGCTGTGTAAAGCTGTCAATTATTTAAAGAATGAAAATATCAAATATTATGCAACAAATGCTGATAACTGCTTTGACATGCCGCAATTTAACTTTTTGTTGCCTGAAGTTGGTAAGTTTTTAAACTTGAATTTGGAAAAACCGTTAAAAATTTGAATTTAAAAAGGAGTTGAACATTCAAATTTGAAAACACTGCTAAAAATTCAAACTTTAAAAAGCCGTTAAATTTTTTTTTTAATTTTTTTCAGGATGCTTCATTAAAGCTATCGAAGCAGCAACCAAGCGTACACCTGAAATTCTATCAAAACCAACAACGCACATCTGCAACGTTATTGCTGAAGATGCTCCACCATTCGATCCCAGCCGTGCTTTAGTCATCGGTGACACTTTGAGTTCTGACATGGCTTTTGGCAAGAATGCTGGCTATGCGACACTATTTGTGGAAACTGGAGTGTCGAAAATGGAGGAGATTAAGGAAATTGTTGAGAAAATTAATACTGGTGATGAAGATGAAGAGCTGAAGAAGCTAGTTCCAGATTATTGTGTGTCTAGCTTGGATGAATTTTATAAGAAATTTTCTAAAATTTTCTAAGATGTTAAACGAATCAAAATTTTATTTTTAATAAAAAATATCCAACTTTTAAGTTAATTCTAAGATTTTTAAATTGATTTTCAAAATCATTCCAGCCCAGTTCATTTCATAATTTTATCAATAATTTATTTAAATTAACCTGAAATATTTAAATAAAATATTGCAATAATTCAAAATTGCTTGCATTTCTCACACGTGATCTTCATAAATGCCCAAGTTCATAAAAAAGTTTACGTGAGAATTGCTTCTCAATTGTTCATTTAGATCTTGATTTTCGATGTTTACATCTTCTTATCAAGCTTCTCTGCCTCAAAAATCTACAAAAAATTGATCGATTGCATTTCAATTATGTTCAAAACTTTTCTCATGATTAGAATATAGCAAAAATTATTTTGATATAAAAGAGATGAAAATTAGCAGTAGAATCATCAGTTGAGCTTTAAAGCTTCTATTGTGCTTGTATCAATTAGATAGAAATAAAGGAAATCTAGAAGAGGAGCAAAATGTTCTTGAAGTAAGAACCTAGTAGAGACAATCTAATAAATCCTCCTAGAGACAACAGTTAAGAAATTAGTAGAGACTACAAAGTAGAACCTAGTAGAGACTATATAGTAGAACTTAGTAGAGACTACATAGTAGAACCTAGTAGAGACTACATAGTAGAACCTAATAGAGACTACAATGAAGAACCTACTAGAGACAACAGTGTAGAACCAAGTAGAGACTACATAGTAGAACCTAGTAGAGACTACATAGTAGAACTTAGTAGAGACTACATAGTAGAACCTAGTAGAGACTACATAGAAGAACCTACTAGAGACAACAGTGTAGAACCAAGTAGAGACTACATAGTAGAACCTAGTAGAGACTACATAGAAGAACCTACTAGAGACAACAGTGTAGAACCAAGTAGAGACTACAAAGTAGAACCTAGTAGAGACTATATAGTAGAACTTAGTAGAGACTACATAGTAGAACCTAGTAGAGACTACATAGTAGAACCTAGTAGAGACTACAATGAAGAACCTACTAGAGACAACAGTGTAGAACCAAGTAGAGACTACATAGTAGAACCTAGTAGAGACTACATAGTAGAACTTAGTAGAGACTACATAGTAGAACCTAGTAGAGACTACATAGAAGAACCTACTAGAGACAAAAGTGTAGAACCAAGTAGAGACTACATAGTAGAACCTAGTAGAGACTACATAGAAGAACCTACTAGAGACAACAGTGTAGAACCAAGTAGAGACTACATAGAAGAACCTAGTAGAGACTACATAGTAGAACCTAGTAGAGACTACATAGGAGAACCTAGTAGAGACTACATAGTAGAACCAAGGAGAGACTACATAGTAGAACCAAGTAGAGACTACATAGTAGAACCTAGTAGAGACTACATAGTAGAACCTAGTAGAGACTACATAGAAGAACCTACTAGAGACAACAGTGTAGAATCAAGTAGAGACTACATAGTCAAACCTAGTAGAGACTACATAGTAGAACCAAGGAGAGACTACATAGTAGAACCTAGTAGAGACTACATAGTAGAACTTAGTAGAGACTACATAGTAGAACCTAGTAGAGACTACATAGTAGAACCTAGTAGAGACTACATAGTAGAACCTAGTAGAGACTACATAGTCAAACCTAGTAGAGACTACATAGTAGAACCAAGGAGAGACTACATAGTAGAACCTAGTAGAGACTACATAGTAGAACTTAGTAGAGACTACATAGTAGAACCTAGTAGAGACTACATAGTAGAACCTAGTAGAGACTACATAGTCAAACCTAGTAGAGACTACATAGTAGAACCAAGGAGAGACTACATAGTAGAACCTAGTAGAGACTACATAGTAGAACTTAGTAGAGACTACATAGTAGAACCTAGTAGAGACTACATAGTAGAACCTAGTAGAGACTACATAGTAGAACCTAATAGAGACTACAATGAAGAACCTACTAGAGACAACAGTGTAGAACCAAGTAGAGACTACATAGTAGAACTTAGTAGAGACTACATAGTAGAACCTAGTAGAGACTACATAGTCAAACCTAGTAGAGACTACATAGTAGAACCAAGGAGAGACTACATAGTAGAACCTAGTAGAGACTACATAGTAGAACTTAGTAGAGACTACATAGTAGAACCTAGTAGAGACTACATAGTAGAACCTAGTAGAGACTACATAGTAGAACCAAATAGAGACTACATAGTAGAACCAAGTAGAGACTACATAGTAGAACCTAGTAGAGACTACATAGTAGAACTTAGTAGAGACTACATAGTAGAACCTAGTAGAGACTACATAGTAGAACCTAGTAGAGACTACATAGTAGAACCAAGTAGAGACTACATAGTAGAACCAAGGAGAGACTGCAAACTAAAACTATTTCTAATTCAAAATCTTCAAAATCATTTTTTTTTTTCAGACTTCTCACAATCGCCTTACTTGCCACCATCGTGGCATCTCAGCTCACTTCTGACCAACAACAAGAAGAAGAGAGAATCTTCAACATTTGGCTCAAGAAGCATGGAATTGAAGTTCCACAAAATGCTGATTTCAATAAATGGAAATCAAATGTCATCAAGCAGTACCGTAAAATTGAAACACATAATTCCGATTTCCGTAAAGGCGTTGCACTTTTTGAACGTGAAATTAATCACTTTTCTCACATGTCACCTGAAGAATTTAAAGCTTCGTTGATTGGTTTTGATAAGCCAAAGGATGATTATGGTCTGTTGCCAGTCGTTACAGCTGACGCTACAAAGAACCTTCCAGATTATTGGAATTGGAATGACAAAGGTATCGTCCATAAAGTTCAACAACAAGGAGGCTGTGGAAGTTGCTATGTTTTTGCCACAATTGGTGTTATTGAAGCTCATGCTTGCTTGTACAACAACATTTGTGAAAAGCTTTCAGAACAAGAAGGTTTAGAATGCAGTGACACTGGATGTAATGCTGGAAAAGATGAATACATCTACACATATACCCAACAAAAAAGTGGAGCTACATACGGAAACTATACATATGAAGCTAAACAAGTCAACACATGTGATGCTGCTGATTCTCGTCCACGTGTTCCTGGAACAAAAGTCACTGGATGGCAACGAATGCCACCAGATGCAGAGACAATCAGGTTCTACCTTTACAACAATGGTCCAATGTACGTCATCTTTGATATTCATGAAAACTTCAAGGAATATAAGAGAGGAATCTACTCATTTACTGAAGGACCTGCACTTGGTTGCCATTGTGTTCTTTTGGTTGGTTACGGGACTGAAAATGGTGTTGGATATTGGATCTTTAAAAATTCATGGGGGTAAGTAGCTAGCAAGCTAGTAATAGTAATGCAATTATAAATTTATAAAAAATTCAGACCAGGCTTCGGTGAAGGCGGCTACTTCCGTGTCAAGAGAGGCGAAAATATTGCAAATACTGAAGCATACTATCCATCATATCCAGTTTTGGATGCAGTGACAAAGGCTTAAAGATGCAAGCAAAAATGAAAATTTCTGTGATATAAAAAAAAGTTTTTGGATTTTTTTAAAAAAAAATTGTGGAAAATAATTTTTTGTGGATTTAGAAACGAAAAAAATTGTTTAATAAAAGTTGATAGGTTTGGCTCAAGACATCTGATAAATTTTTATTTGAATAATTTTTGGACATAATTTGCAACAGTAATAATTTTTATTTAGCAATTATCAATTATTTTAGACAGTAATGGACAACTGGTGAGACCTGATACACAAAGTGAAGTGTTTCTCAAACTATTTCGGTTCACGGCACATTAAATGCCATTTTAATGATTTTTCAGTACAATTTATAGAAATCATAACCAGAGGGCGAAGTCGGCTCGAAATTTGTATGGAGTCGAGTGAACTCAAGTCGACTTTTCCATACAAAATCCGAGTCGACTTCGCCCTCTGATCATAACTTCTATGGAACAATCTCCGTGTCATGACATATAAAAGGTTGACCAACACTGATTCAAGACGTCTACTAATCAAGTGGGATGGGGCTTATCGGTCCCACTTGTTAAGAGAGGTCTTCAACACATCAATATGCATTTAAAAAAACAGCCACAATGATCATGTCCAGCACCTAATTATGAATGCAATGTCATTCCATTGAACCATGAACAGAAGCATAAAGTCGTGAAAAAAGATCAAATTTGGTTCATTAATCTTAATTTTGAAGGTGATCACACAAAGCAGCACAACATCCAATGCACATAAACATCACCAGAATGCAAAGAATCGAAAATAATAAGAACAAACTGTTAAATGTGTTCCACTGCTTTCCAGTCGCTTCTGATTCATAATCATAAATGGTTTTAATTTTTGCATGCTCATTTTGACTTGAAACTTCAACAGCACTTAATTCTTCACATTTTTTCAGCTTTGCCATTTCAATGTCAACTGGAAATTCATCGTCCATGTTCGTATCGCTGTTGGCTGGTTCAAACTTGTTGGCACTCAACAAAATGGTGATCAAAAGGATTGAAATTTTTGTACTGTAAAATGAAATAAAATAAACTTTTAAAGAGTCCAGAGAGGATCTAGAACTTCAATTGACAACATATGTCATTTTTAAATCGCTTAAATATATTTTATTATTCTGTAACAAATCTGCTTACCAGAACATCTTCATGATGTCTTATTTTGACGTCTTATCACGACAAATCTAACTTTAGATATGAATATTGGCATTGTCACTTTGCAGACTTTATATAGTAAATTTACATCTCACCTTATTTACCTTAAAATGTATAAAATTTATGGAAACAAAAGCTGTGGGATGATATCAAGGAACGTATGGTTCGATGAAGTTCCACAGTCATCCATAGAGTCCAACTCTCCTCATCAAACCTTCCTCAATGCCTCTAAATGTAAATTTGATGCTGTGCCGTGAGAAAAAAAGTTAAAAATTTAAAAAGTCCAAAATCTTTGGATGGACTCAAAAGCTGATGTTTGTAAGGCACTCAACAAACTTTTAGCGACAGCCAAGATCATCAGTATATCCAGAACAGCCAAGTCATCCATCATTCAGTACACTCACGCCATATCCAAATCCACAACAATATAAACACAAAATATGCATCAATTTGCACCTCAATAAAGTATCAGTTCTGCATTTCCTGATGTCTTTCTCGAAAAATTCAATCATCTGTGAATTTACTCCTGTAATTGAATCAGAAGATGCAATCAAAAGTTCTTCCTTGAATGCTTTTTTGTGAGATGTTGCTGAAGATTTCAAGATTATGTTGATGCACTTTTACTTTCATTTGTGAACTTGAATGTAGCTTTTGTTTCAATGTTGCTGATTAATTGTTATAGGAAAAATTATTTGTTGGATTTTTTTTTTATGTTTGCTTTTGGATGAACTGTATTTTAAAGAGTAGTAAGAGTTTTAGAATGTTAGTCATATAATCATGACTCCACCACATTACCACATCCATGACTGGATATCCATCTATATCTGAACATAGCTCTTGGATAGCACAAGTTCCTTAATTGATCAAAAATCCGATACAGAGCCGACGTAGCTCTTTCAGATTTTAATTGAATCCAGCTCCTTGCCGGCTTGGTGTCGGATTTCTGATCGATTAATAGTCTCGTGCTTATCGGGGTTACCAGAGCTCGAAGTCGATGAAACTTTGTATGAAGTCATGTCGACTCGGAGTTGACTCCGCAATACAAAATCGATGAAAATTTCTCGATTCTCGATTCTCTCGATTCTCGAGTCGACTTCGAGCTGGGGGTTGATAATGGGTTCCTATTGCTCCACAATGAAGCGTAGGGCATCCACAAAGCATTTGAATCGCACTCGATTCTGGGCCAATGCTGCTATTTCCTGCAGCTTCTTGTTCTGTTGTTCCACCTCCCGTTCAACAGTTGTCTCGCGATGTCTGTATGTCATTCCTTAATGTATGGCCAATCCAGTTCCATTTCCTTTTCCCAACTTCGTCTGCAATAATTTGTTGTTTAGTCATTGAATACAGCTCTGTGTTTCTTATTGTTTCAGGATAGTAGATGCCACATATTGCTCTCAGACATTTGTTGACGAAAACTTGGATGCGTTGTGTAAGAGCTTTTGTAACTTTCCAAGTCTCGCATGCATAAAGAAGAACAGGCTTGACGTTCGAATTGAAGCTTTGGGGGTTACTAAGCAATTAATATCATTTATCTAGAATTTTTAAATCAGTCGAGATAAAAAGTTAAATAAAAGATGATCAGAGCTGATAAATACATTGTAGAAAAGAATTTTAAGCATATCCAGCAACTTTAACCGTGAAAATTTTAATTTACATCAACATCTAGTAATTAAGTTTTCTATGTTCTATTTTGATGAGCAAATATCTTCAATATCTAGAGGTCAGTTTTTGAATTCCTGGGATGATTTTATTCTTAAGCTATCTTCACAGGGGCATAACCAGAAGGGAATTTGGGTGACACATCGTTCTACGTTAGCAAAAATGTCTTCATTTTGCTAGGGTTTTATGAAAAAATCCTAAAACTCCCCCCTAATTTTCCATATAAAAATTTTTTTTGTCACACCCTCTTCATGTTTCTGTACCTTCATTTTTGACGATGCCAAACTAGGACGTTGGGTAGGGATAGCCTTCATGAATTGGAAATGTGGTGTTGGGTTTGGGATTGTATTTTTAAAGCACCCAAGCTAATTGAAGAATTTTCATTTTCCAAGCCTAAGGCAGGGTAATATTGTTGGCTTGAACCCCCTTCCCCCACTTATTCTAAATATTCCCGTTTGTTTTTTGACCCTTAAATGCAAATGGACACGTGATTGATGCAAATTATCTGAAATAAGCCCTAAAATCATTTAATGCCACGTTTTCTTTGTGAATTTATTTTGAATAATATGCAAATTATCGATGCAATATCTTCACTTGTGTAGCAATGCTATCTTGATTCTAAAATCACTCAATAATTATAACTTTATATTTTCAAAACCAATTGTTAATCAATAAAACTTATGTTCTGCTAACATAGAATTTTCCCAGAAACGAATGATTTGAGCGCTATAAAATGAGTGAGTCTCCTTTGCGTTTTCATCAGTTGATCTTAGCAGGTAAAAATTGAAACTTCCCCTTAAGTTGAACTGAATTTTTAGTGAAACCAAGTGAGTTGGTGGATAGTGAACTGGAAATCATCATGTTGAGGTGAGAATTAAGCCGTAAATAAGTCACAACTTAACTAAACTTCTAGAAGTATGTTATGGGCTAATTCCTGTAGATATGGCTAGGATAGCATATCTGCAGTAGACTGACTAGAACATAGGGCTCAAGTTGAAACTGGTTTTATGTGTATGACGGATAGCAGAAGTGAGATAAGTACCTCGGTGACCGAGCAGCAAGGATCTCTGATCGAGATCGGGTCACAGATCGCTTCTTTTGAGGTCGTGTGTTCGATTCCCTCCGAACCCGACTTGTTTTACATTTGTATACACATATGGCAGCTATAAAAATTCCTAAGTTATAACCGACGAGCGTAAACTAAATCACTGAATCTCAAACTTAATCTATCCACAGACTTTTAGCAATAGCTTTACTTATTGCCTCAGTAGCATCCCAAAGTCGTGATGCAAATGAAATTTATGAGGAAGAACGTCTGTTTAATCAATATCTTCGTCGTTATGGACTTGATGTGCCACAAGATGCTGATTTAAAACGTTGGAAGGCAAATGTTGTCGCAAAGTTCAAGGAAATTGAGGAACATAATTCAGCTTTTCGTAAAGGCGAGGAGCTTTTCGAACAGGAAGTCAACCATTTCTCTCATTTGTCTGATGAGGAATTTGACAATACTTTGATCAAGTATGAAAGAAAAGGTGACGAAAAAGAGAAAATTGTTGATCCTGTTAAGGCAGAAGACACCAAGGATCTTCCAGAATATTTCAATTGGGTCGATAAAGGAGTCGTTCATGGTATTCAAAATCAAGGTGGATGTGGAAGTTGTTATGCATTTGCAGCTATTGCTGCTATTGAATGTCATGCATGCTTGTACAATAATATCTGTGACAAATTGTCTGAACAAGAAGCTTTAGAATGTGCAATTGGTGGATGCAAAGGTGGATATGATCGTTTTATCTATTCTTACACCCAAGAAAAGACCGGAGCTACATACTCAAATTATACATACCAACAAAAGCCAGTCAATAGTTGCGATGATACTAAATCACGTCCACGTGTACCAGGAACGAAGGTTAAAGAATGGATTAGAATGCCAAATGATGTTGAGACTATTCGTTATTATTTATACAACAAGGGACCAATGACAATTGTCTTTGATGTCTATGAAAACTTCCCCAAATACAAACGCGGTATCTACTCGAAGGCTAAGGGTAAAATAAAGGGATCACATTATGTTCTTTTGGTCGGATGGGGTACTGAGAAGGGAGTTGACTATTGGATCTATAAGAATCAATGGGGGTGAGTATCTTAATCTGTGCATTTATGTCTACATTATAAGACTAATAAATAATTATTTTTTCAGCACAACATTCGGTGAACAAGGCTACTTCCGTGTCATCAGAGGTAAGGATGTTGCAAACATCGAAAGCTATGGACCAACTTATCCAATCTTGGAATCAATCTAAAGAATGCGTCGTCAATGATTTTCAAAATGTTTGGATGTAGAAAATTTATTTAAAAATTATTGTATTTTTTTTGTAACTTTTTGGACAATAAAAAAATAAGGATTGAAAGTCAATCCAAAAAAATTATGTTTATTATTCTTTTAAGCATTTTGAGGCACAAATAAGATTCTGAAGAGATTCTGAAAAGTTTAATGAAGCTAATGGGTTCTATGAAATATATTCTATAGCTTCAAATGGAGACAAGGTATTGATTTATATGACAATCGTGATGGAAGTCGGTAACAATATGTTGGGTTGAAGCTTAATTATTGACTGCATGCAATTGCTTTAGCTGGAATTTTATTTTAAAATCAAAAAGTAAATTTACATTTAAAAAATTATTTTTAAAGAACAAATCTAATAATGGTAATAAAAATAACGGTTTTTTGGAATTTGAATTTTTATTTTTATACTATTTTGAGAGGTTTCTTAGCAGAAAGTGAAACATTTTGTCTGATTGAAATAAAAGTTTTTAAATTATTCTATGGTCAATTAGAAAAACTAAACAAATTTTAAACTTCATAAGAAGTTAGAAAATTTTCAAAAATTATAGGAGAAAAAAATCGAAAAAAGTTTTAAAAAAATTCAAAAAAATTTTTAAAAAATTAAGAAGTTTATAAAAAATTTAAAAAAGTTAAAAAAAAATGACAAATGTTTTTAAAAAAATGAAAAATGTTTTAAAAAATGAAAAATGTTTTAAAAAAATGAAAAATGTTTTAAAAAAATGAACAATGTTTTAAAAAAATGAAAAATGTTTTTAAAAATTTTTAAGAAAGTTTTAAAATTTAAAAAAGTTTACAAAATTTGTAAAATGTTTCCCAAAAAACAAAAATAAAAAGAGGAAATGTAATAATAAAATAAGGAAATGTAATAATTTGTAAGTGAAAAAACTAAAGTTTTTCAAAAAATGGAAAAAATAGATAAAAAATTTAAAAATGTTAAAAAAATCATAAGTTGCAAAAAATTTCAAAATCAAAATAAAATAAATTTCATTTTTCAATAAGTAAACAATAAGACTACTAACCTCAAAAATGCGCTTTGTCCCCAATGCAACCCTACAATGCCTTCCTTACTCGCTCATTCTATTATTTTTCCTTTTTATACATTTTCATTCGCCGACTTCAGTCATTATTAAGAGCGAGTGAAGTTCAGTAGAAATGTGAAAATATGTCTATAATATTAAAAAATTTAATTTCACCACGATCCCAAATTTTACGTTCAAGTTCAAGACATTTGTCACATTTCCGTGGTAACGGTAGTCAAAATCAAAGTAGATTATACAAATGGTATCTGCTTCTAGGCAGTGGTGGACTATGTGTTGGATATTTTGCCTTAAAAAGCTTTAAAGTTAATTCAAATAAGATTTATGCACTGCAGCAGCGAAAGGTGAGGACAAGTTTGATTGATTCTGATAACAATTTTTTCAGGATTCTCGTGATTTTTTTTTGTGCATTAAAAAAATTTTACGTCTCGAAAAGGCTGAAAAAATGTAAATTTTCTTCTCTTTCCTCTCGCACAGTCAAATGGATCGTGCATAGACAAATATTTTTTTTTTATTTTTGTGTATATTTTGGTAATCCAGTCAAGGTTGTTGTACGATAGATTTAAATTTTGGGCTTTGTAAAGCTGGATTTTTTGTAAAAATCTTCAAGACCAAGTTGGAATATTTTTATTTACTGTTGTAAAATTTGATTCACGCGCTTGTGCTAAGTGGACAACAACAAAGTCTATTAGTGGATAAATATGAATTAGTGATAATTATTTTAGGAAATTTAAGATTCAAAGTGATAATCGGTTGGGGATGCTGAAGCTGTTTTGGTGCACTTTAACTATAAAATGTGAGCTTAAACTGCTGAATTAATATGGAGAATAATTTTGGCATTGATGAGTCATTCATAAATGACGTCAATCAAATAATCATGCCACGGACTCTTTTCCGGAGGTTCAAGCCTTGATAAACATGTTATTTACTATGCTAGCTTCAAAGTTGATCTTCCAGCACTGTAAGGCAGTGTTGGACAACCTTTTTTGGTCATGACACACATTGGTGGTAAGCGGAATAAGATTGGTGGGTTTTAAAAAACTTCCAGCACATTAGTGGGTCGTGGCACATAGATTGACCATCACTGGCTTTAAGGAGTTGTTCATAAATGTAATAAAAAGCCTTAAATTGCTCAGAATCACTAATTGATGGATGCCATTAGAGGCAGTTCAGTTATTACGTATCGCGAAAAGGCAACTTTTTAGACCCCCTCCCTCTGAAAACGTTACGTAATATGAGAACGATCCTTTAGTTCATGACCACTAATTGGTGCTTAAATGTTCAAAAACCTTTCTTACACCACCCAACGAAGCACTAGACGTCATAAACAAAAAAATCCATCCTTAAAAAATGTTTAAAAAGATTAGCGAATTTTATGTATTTTTTATCAGCTCAAGTTCCCCTCAGAATTTAAAAATATTTCTTTTATCTGATTAGCAGACGGCTTTTTGTTGGTTTCAAGTAATTATAAAATATTTTTCATGATCGTCACAAAGCTTGAATGACGGCATTTTATGAATCACAACAGTTTTGCTCGCAACGAATAGAAAAAGTGACGTCAGATTTTTTTTTTGGAATTTCATTTAACATTTGTAACTTTAATAAATGAGTGAATTACAGAAAGAAGCATATTAGCCAATGTTAGCAAAGAGAACAGAGTCCGTTACAAACAAAAAAAAACAAAATTTTTGCGCGGTATTTTTTTAAAATTTCAAAATAAGAAAGTCCGTTACTTTTTATTTTTTTAAACTAGTTGTTTTTTAATGCATAAACATTTAAGGAATGCAATTTCATCACAGTGATTATCTTAATCATAAAAAAAACTAGTACGAATGTTCACTAAAATTACAAATTACTCGAAAAATAATAATTCACAACGAATTTTTTTAAAAATAAGAACTTCGAAGATTCGATTTTCGAAAAATAAGAACCTCAAAAATTCGAATTTCGAATAATAAGAACGCAAAAATTTCTGTTTGCTAGCATTGGCATATTAGGAGATGATTTTTTAATGCTCTTTGAAGTTTTTTTGTCTGAATTATTAAAATTTTGATTAGCAATTAGATGGTGGTCAGCCTATACTAGTCAGTGGTGGAGAACTGAACAAAATAACTAAGCATCAGGCGATACATCGTGCATATTTGATTTTGGTCTGATTTTGTAAAAAAAGGCAAGTTGAAAAGATTCGAACTCAAGTCTATTAAAATATCCGAGCTAGCTTGACTTAATTTTAAGCCAAAGGGAAAACAACGTAATGGAAAAAATTACATTTAAAATAATTAGAAATTAGCAGAAATGTTTTTCCGATAATTTTAACTTCATTTTGCTTAGAGCGCCAAAAAACATAACAAAATTCATTAAAGCGCATCTTAATTCAGTTCACTTTCCCACATACCAGCATTTAAAGACTTAATTTACGCAAAACTAAAGATAGACAATGCGTTGGTAATTAAAAATTTAACGATTATTTTTCTGCTGTGTTTTTGTGTTTATTTCATTGAACTTTCACGTTTATTTGACACCTCTTGGCTGAAATTTCAATATAAAAATATTAATCAAAACAGCAAATTAGACGAAAAATTAGAAAGTAGACCTCAAGATAGCATCAAGTTTCGACATCATATCGCAAATTACAAGCACGACATAAAACATAAACTGGGTCAAATGACTTAAATTTATTTTAAATTGTGTTTCAACTTTGGAAATTTCAGTCCTCAAATTGCATGTCTGACAAGCTTGTAAGAGAATTTAAATAAATGAACGCAAATATTTAATAAAATATTCAACAGCTTCTATAATAAATCAAAATTAAATCTTACACAAAAGTATCATATTTGCATGAAAAGAGAAGGATTCATTCAAAAATGATGTCTAGCTTTTGAAGTTTTAAGAATTGCTTCAAGTTCTGAATTATCCGCTTCAAGTGAAACTGCTACTTCAAGTTCAAGAGCTGCCACAAGTTCTGAAAGCTCAGATGGGTCTGAAGCTGTATTTTTGAAACCCAAATAGTTTCATGACTAAGAGACGTTGGGGGCTGTCTTTATGAAAGCTAGAAAAAATCAGAAAAAGTCCCATAAAAAGGAGGGAAGTTGAGCCTAAACTCCTGGTTTTGAGTCTCACAAATCCAAAGTATTCAAATAATTTCCGAGCAAAGATATCGTTTTTTCCGGGCGTAATTTATGAAAAACTTTCTTTCGTAGACAAGAACAACTCCCAAAAAAAACAAGTTCTACAAGTCAAAAAGTAACAACAATCGCTAGCAAATCTCCATGATTCATGAATGCCTTACAGCCAACGTGATCACTCAAATTGAATTAATAGAAGAAGTAAAAGATTGACAGATTCAGAGAATTAATTAAATTGAATTGAGAACAGCAATGCTAAGTATTTTAGACACGTGAAAGGTGATTGCAGAGATTTGAAATGTTGAAATTGAGTGCAGAAAAAAATAGAAAGGTTGAAATTATGACATAAAGTCTAAAGCATGCAATGCAAGTTTAATTTATTCTGAAGTACTGCATGCGATAAGTGAGTAGCTATGAAATGCACTAGACATGTCAGTAGACTGAAGTAATAGAAAACTTTACATGCAGTTAGGACAGAGATGCAATACAGGTCGTTTGCCACAGTTATAGGTGACAGATATGTCACAGATATTGTCTGATAACATCATGTTACAGCTAAGTCCTTGTCAAAGATATTGACTCTCAACAGGCACTGTGGCAGGAAACCTGATTGCAACTCTGAGTTGGGACAGCAATCTATTTTATTTTTATTTCCTGAGTAGTTCATGCAAGTTTAAAGTTTTGAGTTCAGGGGTTTAGCATATGAGAACATTTTTTTATTATGATCAAAAATTATTTTACAACTTTACAATAAAATCTCTGTTAAAAACTATCAAGTGCAAGTGTGAGCGCTCACACTAAACTTATTAAATGTGGTGTAAATTATTTTAAGAATTATTGACACTTGAACTTGTTAATAATTATGAAATTAATTCTTCAATCAAGTGATTGAATTAGATTTGTATTAAAATTTGTCATTTATTGAATGCCAAAGTAATGTGTAAGCATTCAAATTAGCTACAAATAAATTGTCTTAATAGTATTTTGAATTATCGATTTAAATAATATTCAGCAAGTCACCATAATATCTGATCATCATTTAATTTTAACTTTAATAAATTTAAAGATGCTTTAAAAACCGGTATGACTTACAGAACTATTAAATTTTTGTTTCTGAAGCCAGGGGTACAGAAACGAATTTGAAGAGGAGGGAACAAGAATAATTTATGTGAAAAATTTAGAACGTGCGGGGGGGGGGGGGGGGATTTTTGTATGAAAAGAAGAAGAAAAGATGATTCGTGGTAATTTATGGTAAAAACCCTAGCAATATGAAGAAATGTCTGTTAACGTGGGGGGATTTATATCCCATTTCTCCCTCCCCCCCCGTTCTTTCTGCGCGCTTATGTGTAGCTTTAGTTCAGATGCTATCCATTGAAACCGGCTCTAGAAGCACATCTCCTGTGACTAGCAGTCTTTATGATATAACTTTATCTTTAAAAATCGCAAACAAAACATCTTAGGGCCATTCACTAATGACGTCCATAAAAAACCCAATTATTAGACCCCCTCGCTCCGATGTCACAACGTTTTACAAATATATTGACCCCCTCTCCCCCCAAAATGATGGACGTCATAAGTTAACGACCCCTTCGCCATTCAACAATTCAAATCATAGCTTGCAGAGTCTCATTTCCATTCAATTTATCATCACATTACTAAATCTATGCTGCAATTGAGATCCAACAATGACAAAAATGGTAATTAATTAAATTGATCTCGCACAAGTCGATTGAATCTGTTGTAAATCAAAGCGAAAAATATCTGCTTTAAAAAAAGCCGAGACTGACTGTACAGCACATAATGTATATGCTGAGCATTCTCATATCTCGTTCTATGATCTTAATTTGTTGTGGAAATGAAAATTAAAGAGAGAAAAAAATATGTGTGAAGATAAAATTGGAAGTTGTGCAATTGTTGCAGGGGTTTGGAATTGAAAAAGTTATTTGAGTAGTTTATAGACATTAGTCATTCCAAATATGACAAATATGACTTGGTGTACAATATTGGTTGGTTTCTTGGATAAACCTCAATTTAAAAAATAATAAGTTCTTGACTTGGTATTCTAGTATCTAGTATCTAGTATCTAGTATCTAGTATCTAGTATCTATCTAATACCATAAATCGTATGACTAGGAAATACTCAAAAAAACGTTCCTTATAACAGCTTTATCCTCAGAACTCAAATGAAGAAAACAAATTAATTCGAATGTTCAGCTTCATATTTTTCTCAGTAGAATGATGTGTACTTCCGAAACCTCTGACTCAAAACAGCTTACTTATGCAAATAAACTGAACTCGATGAACTTGAATAAATTATGATGAACAATTATATTGAAATGTTGTGGAAACAATCATTTAATTTGTTATTGCTTTTAAAAATGAAAGTGAAACTTAAGTGTTGATAATTTCATTTGTAGCTATTAAAGTCGGTTCAAAGGCGGTTCAATAATGAATTTCCAGTTTAGTCTAAAACATTAAATTTTAAAAAAATTGCAAATTGTAAGAAAATGCAGAAGTTTACTGAAAATTAAGTTAAATTTCAGCTTAATTTTGAAGATGAATCCCCTTCCCCTCCCCTTAATTTAATAAAAAGTACACATAAAAGCCATCACTAGCTAGTCATCTCCCGAGATTCCTGAAAACTTTGACAATTCTTTTTCAACTTCCTCAAAAAAACCACAAAAATCAGTAACAATTTTTTTCCATTTTAATCTATTTTACAGGATGAAATAGCAGAAAAGGCAGTCAAGCTCACAGCTCGCGAGAAGCGCTTCATAAAATTTGCATCAGTTGAATTTGATGGGCAACTTTACCTCACCCCACAAGATTTTCTCGAATCAGTTGTGGAACAGGAACCACGTCCACGTCTCAAACGTAAACGCTTGTCAGAAAATGAAATTGATCAGCTGAAGTCAGCAACGCCATCACTTAGGCATGGATCATCGAATCTCTTCCGATCGTTGCGTGATAAGGGCATCATTAGCTACACGGAATATTTGTTCCTTCTTAGTGTCCTTACGAAGCCTCACTCGGGATTTAAAATTGCATTTAACATGTTTGATACGGATGGGAACTCAAAGGTTGATAAGACTGAGTTTCTTGTGGTAAGTAACAGATTTTTTAAGGATTGATTAGACATGACATTTGAAATTTTCAGCGGAGCTTTAATTTTTTAATTTATATTCTGAATATTTGCGGTCATTTTCATTTGACAAACCTCAAAAGTCGCTCAAATACTCTTCTAATTCGTTGTATACTCAATTACTAGATTCGACAACTGCTTGGCGGTTCTTATAAAGATCGAGAATTTGATGAACAATCTAAAGAAGCTGTGAGATAAGATTTGACAATTTCTTGACTGAGTTTTCTTGTTTTTCTATTGATAACTTTTTCTGTTGTTTATCCTAAGGCTCAGAACTCATCATTTTTGGTGACTGAGTCTTGATATTATCCTTCCTTCTGCTTCTATTCCTTCTCTCCTTTCAAACTTGCTGGATGGTTCCTATCATTGTTTATTAAAATAATAAGTTTTAATTGAGTTGTTGGTTTGAGACAGGAAGACAGACTGACAGACGAAGCATATAGTAAGACAAATAATACAAAATAATAACTGAACTAGAATGTGGAACAAGCAGACCTCCAATTAGGTGAATTAAAATGCAGATTGGGATTTTGTCTCGAACAAGCCTTCCCTACTTACTTTACTTCCTTGGCTGGTGGACACGTGGGTGAATTGCCGAGTTCACAGATCGTCTAAAGACAATTCTATCCTTCGAGACCTTTTGCCAGTTCGGAATATTTAAGACTCTAGCGTCCTAATCATCACATCTAATCCAAGTATTCTTTGGATTTCCACCAGATCTCTTGCCATCTATAAAGTTTGCAACAGTCACTCTTAGTACTGGGCAACTTGTGGACGTCTAAAGACATGTCCAGCCCATCTCAAGTGATTTGTATGGAGAACCGTAATAATATAAGGATCCTAGAATTAATGATAAAGTTCGTCATTGTGTAGGCTTCGGTACTGTTCTCTTTCCTTCACAGATCCATAAATTGCTCGCAATACTCGTCTTTTGAAGACAACAAGAGCTTTTTGAACTAGTCTTTGGAACCAAAAAAGGAACTAAAGAGAGCTAAACCTATTTTAGAGGCACCAAATTGTTTACTCCTGGTAACAAAGACTTTGACTTCCTCTATTTATTCATGTCAACAGCCCGGCATTGTAAACGAATGACAGACAGATATAAAGACTTACAGGCAGTTTTAAGGACATAAAGAAAAGAATAGCAACCTATAAGATGAAATATAGATAAATTAAAGAAGTCACCGGAAGACTCTTGCCAATTAGAATCATTAGGGTTTCTACATCCTGGTTATTTCGAGCTAAACCATACAATACTGACAACTCATCCTGTTTTACAATCTATTTTACTATTTTTCTTAATCTTTATTTTGATTTTGATTTTATTTTGTTGTAATCTTTTAAGCCAATCTTCCACACTGACGGAGAAGCTTACTTTTTCTTATGCTTAATTTTAGTTCAATATTTGCTTTATTTTTCTATTTTGATATTGTTTTGTTTTATTTGGTTTTTTTTTGTTCTGTCAACTTACTTCCTCAACTGTATCTAATTTATTTGATTAATTCATTTTTTGTTATTCAAAATTTCATCCAATTAATTAATCACTTTGAATCAGCTCATGGCTTTGTTGTCGACTCAGGCTCAAGCCAAGTATCTCACACGCGCACACAGAGATACAGACGACGATAAAAAGCGTCGTGAAAAGGAAGTTGAGGATGAATTGAAAGAAAAGAAGAAAGAAGTTGTAAAAAGAAGTTTCGTAAGTCCAACAAGTTTCTAAAATTATGCTTCGTTGTGTCTCCTGTACCTTAAAAATTTAATAATTCACCATTGATGTCGTACTTTTTGTGATGCTGACGAAACTTTTGCTTATGTGTGGGGTTCCAGGATGATGATTAGATTAGATTTAAGATGAGGGTTGAGATTCGTAGGATTGATTAAGGAACTGATGTCATGACTATTTGATCAATTCTGTGTCTTTGGGATGGTTGAATTAACACCAAACCTAATCAATCTTATGAATTTCAGTCCTTTTTCAGCCACTAACCTTCCCGAATGACACATAGAGTTGAAGAGTTGCTGAATACTGACACCAAGCCAACATAGGGCCAGCAAAGAGTCAGATTAAATCGAATATGACTCCACAGAAGCTCCATCTCAGCCTGGATCATTATTTTGCAACTTTTTGACTTCATGCTCTATTCAGGCTTAGTTCAGCTTCATCTGATGTGTGAGAATCTTTAACAAAATGTCTGAACGACTCGACTTAACAAGTTGTAAACTGTATGAATGTCTGACTGTGAATATCTTTGTTGTGACAATCCGTAACCAGCTTTTAAACCATGTCAACTTGATGTTGTACTTAACCAACTTAATATGCGATCCATATTAGTAATCATTCTAAAATATAAATAGACAAAATAGTTAAAATGAGAAATTTAAATAGAAACATTAGCAAAATCATAAAATGAACAGCATTAAAAAATAATACTAAAGAGTGTGTTCGCTTTTGTGAGACATTCATGTTAACTAAAGCAGTTCCGAGCTTTTTAAAACTTTATTGAGCAATTTTGATACAAAAACAATTTTATGACAATTTTTAGATGGAAAAAATCTTCAGCTACGCATGGCGTGGTAAGCGAGGCATTGAAATTGAAGAAGGAAAGGAAGGAGAGGACGACAATGATCATTTGATTGATGATGAGCAAGGTATGTTGTGTAAAATTGTTGTTTGAAGAGTTTAGATCAGTGTTGTCCAAACTATGTGCCGCGGCACACTGGTTTGCCGCAGAATTTTTTTTGTAAATGACGCGAGCCACATGCTGTGTGCGACTTTAGTAATATGCTTTCCACTAAGGTGTGCCATGGCTCAAAAAAGTTTGGACAACACTGGATTAGATTCAAAAGAACTAGCTCAAGTGATCCTATTCACAAGGTTTCATCAAAAATTCTCAACATCAAACTTAATAATCCACAATTTTCACCCCAACAGGTCTCCAACGTAGACACAAAGTAGACACAACTCTTCAAATTCACTTCTTCGGCAAGAAAGGAACTCAAGACTTGAACTTTGATGGATTTTATAATTTTATGAAGAATCTACAAACTGAGGTGAGTCAGCTAATCGATTTGTGAATCACACAAAACCCAAACAAATTTGTTTACTTGCTTTATCTAGTCCACATATGAATCATAATCTGTGACACAATAACCTCGTGTTCTTTTGTTTTTATCTTAATTATTTGTCTTTGTTTCCAGGTCCTCGAGTTGGAGTTCCATGAATTCTCAAAAGGCCATGAAAAAATTTCTGAGGTTGATTTTGCTAAGATTTTACTTCGCTACACTTATTTAGACACGGAAGAGTATGACAATTATTTGGATCGACTCCTTGATCGACATGACATGAAGGAGAAAGGTGTGACGTTTGAGGAGTTTAAGCAGTTTTGTCAGTTCTTGAATAATCTTGAAGATTTCTCAATTGCCATGAGGATGTACACGTTGGCTGATCGGTCGATCTCGAAGGGTATTTTTAATTTTATTTTTAACTGTTTGACTTGCTGAATGTTCAATTGTAAGATTGTTCGGTTGTTTGACTGTCCGATTGTCTAGCTGTTCAACTTATTGGTTGTTCTTTCAGACTTTGTTGGACATATCTTGCCATAAAATTGCCTTTAACTATGATATTCCATTTCCAGATGAGTTTTCTCGAGCCGTAAAGATTTGCACTGGATATGCATTAAGTAACCATTTAATAGACACTGTATTTGCAATTTTCGACGAAGATGGCGATGGTAAGCAACACCCAACCCTAAAATATTCCAATTAATATCCAAATATTCCTTATTTCCAGGTCTCTTGAGCTACAAAGAGTTCATTGCAATCATGAAGGACCGTCTGCATCGTGGATTTAAGGTAAATAACCATTATGTCATGGCCAATTACCTCGAAGAATATGACGAAGATGACTTCTCATTCATATCCTTGCTTCGCTCACGAGCGTGCCGTAGAATAGCCAATTACCTCATCCATTCTACACGTGGATTTTAACAGTTAATTTTTTGACACTTTTTCGAGTGCATTTAACCTCACTTTTGATGCAGTGATGGTCTTTTTGTTGATAGAAAAAAAATATTAGTGTTATATTTATGTGCTTAATTTTGTTGCACAATTTTACGATTTAAGTTCCAGTGTAATAATCCAAAATTTTGATATTATTTAACTTTTTTTAAGGTTAATTGTAAAATGTTTAAATTTATTTTTTTTATAGTATGTGCAACTAATATCGTCAAACTCTAATCCTCACTAAGTGTTCAATTTAGACATTTAAGAACATTTTAATTGTATAAACTTTTTTTTTCTATGTGAAAACTTTTTTATATTAAAAACTTTTTTACTAGCTTTATTATTATTTTATTTTCTGGTGTGTTTTGTCCTTTTTTATTTCTATTTTTAGCTTGTATATTTTTTTTTGGTTGGCTGTGCTTGTCCTTTTTGCAAGGGAGGACACAATGTGATGGAAAAAGTTTGTGAATGAATTTTTGATTAGTTCTTGAAAATTTGCCACCAGTTTTTAACAATTTCCCAACAAATTGTGTGTAATACTAACAGGAAATAGTCGAAAGTTGGTGGCAAAGTTCAGGAAACCATTAAAAAAGTTCACATCCTACATGTTGTTTCCCCCTTGCCTAACTGTTGTTCTATTTTATTTGTGTCTTCATGTTCAAATTTTTCTGATATTTCAATTTAAATAGTGAAAAAATTTGTGTTAAAAATCAAAAAATTCAAAATTCTTTTGAAAAATCATCAGTTTTTGTGATTGTCCTTGCTTAAAAATTAAAAATGCGGTGCTGTGCTGTAAATAATCCATTTATTTAATCCACGTATGTAGCTCTTTTTTCTTTAATTATTTTTTTTATTTATTTATTATTTTGCAGCGTGTATATAGCTTCATATTTAACACTAATGTTTAGGGGATCTTTTACTAATCACGCCTTTCAAAATGAAGGGTTAACCCTCTCAAATCCAAGGGTGTGGCATTTTTGTTTAAAGTCGTTATTTTTATCAGAGATCGAAGCCGATTTTTTCGGCTTGACTCCATTTTTGATTTTTTTGATAGAAAAAAGCCATTTGACAACCATTTCAAGTATTTAAATTGAACTTTACATGCTTTACTATGATTCTGTGTAATATTTTGTCAGCATGTAGCTATAGTGAGCTCAGAATTTCAATTTAGCCGATTTTAAGCCGATCGGCTTAAATTTCGGCTTAACATTCTTTAACTTGAAATTCTGAGCTTCCTATAGCTACATGCTGACAAAATATTACACAGAATCATAGTAAAGCATGTAAAGTTCAATTTAAATACTTGAAATGGGTGTCAAATGGCTTTTTTCTATCAAAAAAATCAAAAATCGAGTTAAGCCGAAAAAATCGGCTTCGATCTCTGATTTTTATCAAAGGCTAAGATCTCTTCAAACAATGCTTAAACTGTGTTAAGAGACATAAACCATTTGTAGAGAAATGGGCGCTTTACACAAAGGGAAAAAGGATGGATTTCATAAGTTTCCTCACATAGAATTCATAGAAAAATCCCAATCTTTCCGTCCTTGCACTAAAGTTGTTCATACAAAAAAAAATTAATTTTCCCGTCCTTATTCAAATTCCTAGCTACACCGCTGTAGAAGATCCAGAATGCCAACTTCCTAAAATATCTAAAATTAATAAATGGACAATCTTAATCAATGTTTCTCAAACTTTTAAGGCTGCTTACATGCTTGATACAGGCTTGCTAAACATAGCTTGAGAAACAATGATTCTAAATTAAAGTTCAAATTCTGCAAACTGACTTAGTCAAACTACTCAAAACCAGAGCTCGAGGTCGACTCCAGATTTTTATCGATTTTGTATGGCGAAGTTGACTCGCCTCCATACAAAATTTCATCAACCTCGAGCTCTGCTCAAACAAAAAAATACTTAAATAAATAAAAAAATATTTTTTCTATTTTTCTCTCATCTATTTTACAGTCAACAGCAAAGGCCGAAGGCTGGGCAGCATTTAAGCAGTGCTTGAAGACAGAAATGAAGAACGTCTAAGGACATTTTAAAAAAAAAGTATCAAAACTTAACCAAAGAAGCTGAATTAAATATCTTGAAATTTTTAATCTTGCCATTTTATTAATTTATTTATTTATTTATCCGAAATACTTAATTTGAAGGACTTGTTGGCTTATTTTGTGACTTATTTCAATTGAGAACTGTTTAAAAAGTTTCAAATCACTTTTAATCGTTCTTTTTGAGCAGTTTGAGTAGAGATTTGACTAATTAAGTTGGGTTGGGTTCAGATCTTCTTAGATTTAGTTCCTTAAACTTCGATTATGGTTGTTTAGTCACCCTTAGCTTTATAAATATTAAAAATAATTATTTCATGTTTTAAAAGGTAAAATTTTGAGAAAATTTGTTGAAAAACTAAAATCAAGAAGTTGTTGCTGGAGTTTTTAAGTTTATAAAACTCTCTTAAAAGGCACACGACTTAAAAAATTTATAAAACAGCAACAACAGACTAGGTTGAGGCTAGTTCAAAAGCTGAATTCCCTCATTTGGGTTTAAATCTGCCAAACGAGCTTCTTAGTCATTTCTTAATCTTTTAAGGATGCGCAAAACTGTTCTTGGAATTAAAATGAAAATTAATCCAATTAAAATTACTTCCAAGAACCTATTAAGTTCCTAAAAATCGATCTATTTTACGATTTTGAACATTTCTAGAGAGTTTTTGGTCCACAAACTTAAAAAAATGTTTTGTAGGATTTTAAATCGAGCCACAAAATGAGCCACAGCAATTTAATTAGTTTAGTCAATTTTAAACAATTTTTTTCGTTTTTGTAGTTTGAAATCTAGTCAATTTTTCTGAGGCTTTAAGTTCACTTTTCATGACACCTTAGTAGCAATAATTTCAATTTATAGCCAAACTTATACAGTAATTTAATGCAGAGTCTCTTAAAACTCAAACTCTGAATTAATAATTAATTCGCATCTTTGAACTTTTATAGCCAATTTTAAGAATCTAGATGAATTTAACTCGCAATTTTAAAATAAAATCTTTTCGATCTTAAACAAAATATAAATTACTAGATAAAAAAAATAATTTATTTAATTTATTTAAATTTATCAATTTTTAAACTTAATTGAATGTGTTTTTTTGTTGAATTTATGTTTATTAATCAAGAAATTGTTTTTAATAAATTATAAAAAATTAAATTTAAAAAAAATGAATTGTTTAAATTTTTTTTAAATTTTTAAAGAAAAATATTCAAAAATTGAATAAAGTTTTTGAAATTTTGATCTAAGAAACAATTAAGGATAGTTTAGAATCCGAGCAAATTAACAAAATAGTTTCAAAAAAATACTTTGCATCCCCAAACATACGACATTCTAAAAAGTCACGTTCCAAGTGCCTGCAATGTCAAACTCTAAGTCTAGCTGCATGGTTTTGATAAAAAGTCTAAAGTTTTTATAAAAGTCTAGTCTGATAAAAAAAGGCCACTAATGCAAATAAGGAAAACATGTTGAGTTGTTGTGTCTGGCAGGAATTAAATTGGATTATGAAAATCTAACTTTTAAATATTTTGTTAATCTTGACTTTTAACTATATATATAAAAAAAAAATACAGAAGTTGACCAACATTGAGTCACTTTGTTCAATTTTTGGTAAGATATGAAATGTGTTCAGCCTTAATTATTTTATTTTATTTAAAATGATGTTTAAGATCCCGGCGGTTTGGAAGTACAATTGTTAAAAAAATGAAAAGAAATCATCGAAAATCGACAAAACGAAGTTGATCCTTCGGCTGGTCAGACTTCTGTTGACCCTTTGGCATAAAAGAGACTTTTAAGCAACTAAATTGATGGCAATCAGCAAGTAGCTGGCATGACTAGCGATTAGAGCACATATCTAACCCTAAATCCACTTAAACCTAAATCCATTTTTGGGATAGCCTGATTCATTGTTAATACTTGACTTTAAAAAAGGAGACCTAATCGTAGGCAATTTGAAATTAAAGCCACAAGCCTTTGCCTTTATTAAAAGCAATTTTCTTTCACCTTTGCTTTTTCGTGCCTTTGCAAATGCATGACTTCGCTAGATCAAAGGGAAAATCTTGTCGAAGGCAACTTTGTATCAACACTGGCCTGATTTATAAAACAGCATTTTTATTATCAACTGTCAAGCTTTACCAATCCAGCGGATACACGACACACAAATCCGTTCAACACCAGATTTACAGCCATTTTTATGTCGTATGCCTTTCAAGGTTGATTAACCGTTCTAGTATGGGGCAGCATACCATTTCCTTACCATTGGTATAGTATATGCATTATATAGGAGCATCCCATTTTTCCACCTGACCATACCATTTCAAAAAATGCCAGCCAACCAAGCAAATCACTCACTTTAGTTAATCTAGCACAAATTACAATTCACCAAATCACATCACGAGCTGAATCACATCTTATATCACTATTAATGATTTCCATCTACTTCCTCAGCTTATGTTTTCATTGAATGAACAAAAAGATAAAATTTAATTCATTTTTCAGTTCCATTTAGCATTACTCATGACTAAAAGACGCAGTAATTTTAACTCAAACTTAATTTGCATTTACGTCTGTTTTTATCATTTTTCAATCAAATTGTCTTCCCACTTTTTTTTTACGTTTTCATTTGGAAGACTCCAGGCTTTTAATCTATAAATGTTCACCCTCCACACTTCAAAAACGTGATTAGCTCTTCAATGAATTGATAAAATCTCGAATATATGTATTTTTTTCTGTGATTTAACTTTTTTTTTGATAAAGAAAAATTGGAGTGGTTCAAATGGATTTTAAGCTTTTAATCCGAAATATCTGAGATATGGTTCATGTCTTATCGGATTTTAATTACAAATTTCACTCGGGGATCAAGTTGACAGGCTATTTTTGGGGATCTTAATCGATTGTGATGAAAAACTTTAAATCCAATTTTAATATTTCCGGTGATTAATTTGAGATTTTTCTATCACAATGGGATTGATGTGGTTCTTGAAAGTCTTGACGGAGATTATTGGATATGCCTTACTGTATTAAATACGGCTTTATTGTATTGAGAAAGGCTTGAATTGTATTAAATCAGGTTGGACTGTATTGAGTCAGACTGGACTGTATTGAGTCAGGCTGAACTGTATTAAGTGAGGCTGGACTATATTAATTCAAGCTGGATTGTATTGAGTCAGGCTGGACTGTATTGAGTCAAGTTGGACTGTATTGAATCAGGCTCGACTGTATTGAGTCAGGCTGAACTGTATTAAGTGAGGCTGGACTGTATTAATTCAAGCTGGATTGTATTAAGTCAGGCTGCACTGTATTGAGTCAATTTGAACTGTATTGAGTCAAGTTGGACTGTGTTGAGTCAGGCTGGACTTTATTGAGTCAGACTGGACTTTATTGAGTCAGGCTCTACTGTGTTGAGTCATGCTGGACTGAATTGAGTCAGCTGAACTATTGAGTGTGATTGGAACTACATTGAGTCTGGTCTTGAATCAATTAGACTGTATTAAGTATTATCGAGCTGGCTTTAATCAAGTTGAACTTACTAAAGTCAGTTTGAGTGGTTAGTAATGGACAGATTTCACTTGACTGTGCTGAGTTTATATACCAAGCGATGGACTGTCAAAGGTTTTGGATGGCTCACAATGACCTGCCTTCTATCTTAACGAAGTGGTTTTAAAACATTTGATTAAAACACTCCAATATTAATCGAAATGAGTCTTCCAGCTTGTTATAGAACATAAATCAAGTATGTTTACCATTACTTTTTAACACAATTAGAACTATTACGTCCTTCAGAACACAAAATTCCCTTTATTAAATCTTTTAATTCTCTTCAAAGCCAAGATTAAGAAGAAATCTTCTAGAAATTCATAAGCTTTGCTTCGCAAAATTACCATCTTCGTTTTAACGGATTAAGGTAAACCCGAAAGAATTTGATTTCTTATCAAAAAATTTAATTAAGATATTTTTTTCCCAAGAGATTAAGCTTAGCTTTTACTTTTACCGGATTATGACGTAAGCATCTTAAAAAATAGAATTTCTGTGGGGTTTTTTTAATGCCTAATTAGGAAATTCTATTGGAGATTAGGTTTGTGGACAAGTAATGGGAGGTAAGGGTTAAGTATGTTCAATCTTAGTCATCGTGACATTAGGCTTAATACTTAGAAAGATAAGCCAGATTAGAAAAATAGTTATTTCACCATTAAGTAGTTGTTTCTAAAATATTTTTGAGTTATGGCACACCAAAGTACAGCATAAATATTCCAGCAGTCGGTTTCTAAAGCTACCCAATGCTCTCTCGGAAAGAAATGAAATTTGACGTACTGCAGTTTGAGTTCTATTGCATGTGAGACTTTATTGTGCTTCTTTTTTATTGGATTATGGTTAGCAATAACTTTTTTATGTTCATTGCTCAATTGTCCTGGTTTACATACACTCTACTAATAGGTGGTGTGGTGACGTGGTTGTAACTCCCTGCTGCCAAAATACTGGACAATAAGATGAAGAAGTAAGGCTAGAAAGCAATCGAAGTGAACCAATTATTTAAAGGATTGAAAAAAAAATTCTCAATCAATAAAAATGATGAACTGTAAAAACCACAAAGCTAAGAAAAACGTGAATGAAATAATCTGTGACTGTACCCTGAGTCATAAAAGGCTTTTCCCTACTTTATTCTATATTCATTATTTGAGTTGTTGCATCAACTTATCGACACTTTGCAAATCTTTTAATTGTCTTTAAGATAAAGAAAAAAGAAAAAAAAATTTCAATTAAAATTCCTCCATTCAGTAAACTTTAGTGCTATACACAGATACAACTCGTCCGATAAGATAGTCCAACACATTTACTTCACCAAACACCACGGAACTCCCGTCTTATCGGCATGATTTCACCTCCACTATCTTGTCCGTCCGCGTGATTACAATCTTTGATTTTTTTTATACTTTTTTTTCTTTACACAATTGTTTATTTACTCGGTGAAAATCACTTTGCGTTATCAATTGTGTTGAAAATGTCGAACGGAACGGAACGGTGAACAAATTATTGGAATTAAAAAAATTATTTTTGTGAAGATTGAGATTTTTAAATTGAAATTATTTGTGTTTTTAATAAAGATGTTAAAATAAATAAATGTTAAATTTGAACAATTGTAAAAAATTGATATTAGAAAGTGAGATTTTAAGTGGAGATTTAAAAGTATTATTATAAAGACATAGAATTTAAAATCCACAAAGATAAGTTTTGCAATTGAAAAGAAATTATTATAAAAACTTGAAGATTGTTGAAAAAATTATTTAAATTCAGTTGAAAAAGGTTAATTAAAAAACTAAAAGTTCAATTTCAAAAGAATTTAAATTTAAATTTAAAATTTATTTTTGCTAGTTTTTAAAAACATTTACACAATTGAGTTGTAAATATTTAAAAAACTGCAAGCTGATAAAAAAATTGATTTTTAAATCCAAACTATTTTTTTATTTTCAAAAAAATTAAAAAAAAAATTGGAACTGAAATTTTAAAATTGAAATTGAACTTAATTCTTTTAGAAAATCAAAATTTGAAATTTTTAAAAAAGTCAATATAAAAATTTTAAAAATTTATAAAATTCAAAGCTTGAAAATAATAATTTTGAAATAAAAATTGAAGTTTAATTTCACATTTACATATTTAATTAATTTTCTTTTCAACACAAAATTTAATAAATAAATGTTCAAAAGGTTTGCAGTTTTTAAAAATCTTGTAAAGTCAGTCAACAATATAAGTTTTTGGTGCAATAATAAATTATTATCAATATTGCATAGAAATTATAAAAAGATTTATAATTTAAAAAGTTAAAAATTTGCATTTTAAAAAACTCAATTTAGTATTTAAATAATTATTAAAATAGAAAAATTGTAAATTAATATTTTGTATCTAAGAAGCAAAAAATATTAAAAATTATTAAAAAATAAAAAAGCTACAATTTCATCACCGTCGCGATAAATTATCATTTTTTCGACACAATTCAACATTTTAAGTACTTAAAAAAGTTTGTGCCTTAATTAGTGCTAATCTAAAACTACCCAAAGCAAGCCAAATCATCATCATGGAAATCAAACTACTCAACTTATCGCTGATATTTATAATTTTATCACTAAGCCACACATCACACACCTATGGTAAGCTATATCACATGTTTCCCATCTTTTTCTGATTTAGATTAAGAAAAGAAAAAAAAATATTTAATTATTTTAATCTGAATTAAAAGTTGATTGAGTCTACGTCGTCTTATCATTTTCGATAAAATTGTGACTTTTTGATGTAATTTTGATGAGGAAATGGGGACAAAGATCGGGAAAGTTTGCTTACAATGTTGCAAAGAAAATAGACAATAAAAGTTGCAACTAAGGAGCTGCACCTTAAATAATCGGACATTCAATAAAGAGAATGTGGAAGTAATTAAGGATTAGTAAGCAATAGATAAGTTGCAGTGGGCAAGGTCGATGATCGTCTACTGCTGCCTGGATAAAATCTATTTGTTGCTTGTGTTTAATCCAAAAAGGGAAGTTGGGAAACATGGCAAATGAGGTTAATGATTTAATTGAGGAAGTAAATGCATTTTGGAACCAAGTATTTCTTAATTCTTTAGTAAATTCTAAACGACAAAGAGGGTTGCCTTTACAAAATGATTAGTCAATAATGCGATGTTCGTTACACTCACAGTTGATTCCTTGAATCTGCCTTTTAAATCAAAAGCATATGATCATCCCTTCTGAAAGAAATGACTTCGCTAGATTATACACAATCTAGTTGCTAGTCGTTCGTTCATTTCGTAACGCTTAAAGGGGTGGGATTTTTCAAATCTTGCTATGCTGCATATTAATTTTCGTCGATTTCGATACAAAATTTGGAAAGTAGCCACCCCCCCCCCCCCCCCCCCCTCCCCCTTTGGAGTGCCAATTTTAAGTTTGACATAACTTGTTTTGATTCTGTTTAAAGTCAGTGTTAAGTTAAAAGTTCGACAAAAAAAAACCTTCGGAATCTTACAAACTGTGAATCTTACAAACTGTGTGCTATACACGGATTTGGTTATGGCTTATCATCAAGAGTGCCGAAGCACAAAAAAAGTTGCACACAACTGCTTGTTTAAGTCAATAGTTTTTAATTTATCCACAGCTGAGCTTTTGTGTTCTGAGAAAGTTCCTAGATTAGTCAATGATAGCAGCTTCTTTGTCAAGTCCTAAAAGCAAAAACTTTTAAAAGTCCTGAAAAGATTGATAGTAAATACCAGAAATTATTAAATACCCCCAAAAATCTATTTTTACCTTACCCTGTTTTTTCGTTACAAGCTAGTAGCTTAGAAGAATAAAAAAGTGATTTTTTTGGCTCACTAGTAGCTTAGTAACGAGTAGTAGCTTATAACGAAAAAACAGGGTAATATTAAAATTCTAAGAATGCAATAAAATCAAATAAAATTAAAACTTACTGTCAATCCTTACAAGTGCAAATTTCTTACGAATTCAAAAGACAACAATCGACTTATCGTCCAATTCATAAACAGGTTATTCCGTAAGTGACAATTTTCAATAGAAATTTTCATAAATGACTTCCAAGTAAAGTGCAATAAAAAATAAATTTGATAAATCCATTTTAATTTTTAAATTCACTTTAAAGCCCAGATTAATTAGCAGCAAGTTTGTGGCTGCAATTAAAAGTAACCGTAAAATGAATGACAAATGATTGTTGAGTGGATTTTGTTGTTATTGTCACACTTTTGAGTTATCAAGTTAGTCGTTATCGGCGTTGCTTTTGCAAAATTCTTTGAATAAGCTTTGGAAAGGCAAGTCATTGATCTGATTATTGATATTTAATTAAATTGATAATAAACTCGAGTGGTTGTTTGGATTGTTGACTAGTTCATGGTCAATATTGATAGTTATGATGTAAACTTTTAGGATATTTGAACATTTCATTGCCATTACAGATATTAGTGATGATTAGGACTTTGTAAAGTCATTCAGAATTAATCATTTATCCTCTCTCCTTGCAGCCTCTCTTCATCCACAAAACATCACCGACGACAACACACTTTCATTACACGAGAGACTCGAAATTCAAAAGAGCACAGTCCACTGGTATCCATATCAGCGGATATTCTACTCAATAGACATTGAAGGATTCATAATTGAGCATGCAACATGTCCCAAGCGACCTCCTGCGATTGAAGAATTTCCCGATGGATTTTGGACTCGTAAGTTGCTCAAAAACCAGCTTTGATCCTCAATTAATTACCTTTTATCTAATTTTAGGTCAGCAGCGTCTGTACGGTCTCTTCCTTATCCACATCCTTGTTGCAATCTATTGTTTCATTGTCATAGCATTTATTTGCGATAAATATTTCCTGCCGACAATCGAACGCATTTGTACAGTCCTCGACATATCTCAAGATGTTGCAGCCACAACATTTATGGCAACAGCCACGACAATCCCCGAATTTTTCACAAACACAATTGCTACTTTTATTGCTGAGAGTGATATGGGGTAAGTTGATGCTTGGCTAGAGTTACAATAGGGCTAGTTATAGGTTAGGTATAGGTTAGGTATAGGTTAGGTATAGGTTAGGTGTAGGTTAGGTACAGGCTAGCTATATGCTATAGCTACACTAAAGCTAATGATTGTCTTACTAATCAATTTCCTCACCTTATAATTTCAGCCTGAGTGCCATCATTGGCAGTATGCTCTTCAACACTCTCGGAGTAGCTGCCTGTGCCTCACTGTTCATCAAGAAACCAATTCAAATTGATTGGTGGCCAGTCACACGTGACTCAACACTTTTATGCATTCATTTAAGTCTTTTGATCACATTTGCATGGGACGGTGCCATTATGTGGTACGAGTCAGTGATTCTAGTCTGTGTGCTGGTCTTCTACTGGCTCTTGATGTTCCAAAATAAAAGATTAGTCAAAGGAGTCAAGTATGTTGTTGAGGAACGACTGCTTTGGTGCCAAAGAATTAAAAACTACGACATTGCAAATCAAAGAGCAAAAACTGAAGCTGAAATCAATGGAATTGAGGAAGTGGAAACTAAGCCAGGTGGAGTTGACAATCCAGTATTTATGGTGTCCAAGGCAAGCATTGACTATTCATCAACGCAAGGTAGACGAAGACAATCTACAGATTTGGCTGAAATTTATGGAGAAATTTTAAAGCAAAATCCAAGAAGAAGTCGAAGACTGTCAACAGACTTAGCAGAAATATATGCAGAACCAGAGGAAGAAGAGTTCACGATATGGGAAATCCCAAAAAATGTGTCATTATTCGAGAAGTGCTGGTACTTTTTCACATGGCCAGTTCGATTCCTTTTACACTATACAATTCCAGATCCAATGAAGCACAAGAAGCTTTATCCACTGTCATTTATAATGTGTATAGTTTGGATTGCTGGAATGAGTTGGATTGTGTTCTGGATGGTCGTGATACTTGGTGATACTTTCCGTATTCCAGACCCCATTATGGGAATGACATTTTTAGCCTTTGGTGGATGCATGCCTGAAGCTATATCAGCTGTTATTGTTGCTAGAAAAGGATCCGGTCAAATGGGAGTTAGTAATGCTCTTGGTGCTAATTGTCTTGCTGTTGTATTCAGTCTTGGATTCCCATGGTTTATAAGAACAATGGTTGATGGAGTTACCTTAGGCTGGGAGAATTCCTACATCCGAATTTATTCTTATGGCGTTGAATTTACATTGATTGCCATTATCTTTGCTGTATGCTTACTTTATGCTGTTATTGCTGCTGCTGGATATAAACTGAGGAAAACTGTTGGCGCCATTTTGTTTGTCCTTTATTTGGGATTTGCAGCTTTTGCCATTTTAGTTGAACTTGATGTTCTATTTCCGAGAACTTGTTAAACTAGTTAAAATGTATTTTTTAAGGATTAGTTTTTTAAAATTGTGTAAATAAAAATCGATATTTAAAATAAATTAAATTAAATATTTTGGTGTTATTTTAGACAAGATTTTTGCTTTGATTCTAGTGCCTTGAGTACAATCGAGATCCCGAATTAAAGTAGGTTTAATTTAAATCAAAAAACCTAGAACCAAAATTACCCCAATTAAGGTGTCCTCAAGGAACCTTTTCAAGAGCCAAACAATTGTTTTAGCCCAACACATGATGAACATGCTGAATGTGTTTACATATTGACTGCAACCCGTGAGCGAAGATCAAATCACAAACATAAAATTATCTCCGGAAACATTTTCTCATTTTAAATGAGATTTGAGAGAGTAAAGCTTAGTCGTGTGTCGTTAAAGCTAGAAAGTGGTCGGAAAATTTATTTTGTGTCGATGGAAATTTTAAAATTATAAATAAATCATTTTTAAGTGACAATTTATCATGAAGACCTGGATTATTTTACTTGTTTCTGTATTTTGTGGTGTTGCACATGCTAAAAAGGAGATTTTGGTTGGTTAGTGATTGAAATTTACCCAAAGTTGGATCAATTTAACTGAAACTTAGTGAAATTTCATCTTTAAAGTTTAAAAATATTAAAAACATTGTCAAAATTTACCAAAAAACTACTCTAAACCACTCAAAACCCAAGAAACCCCACAAAAAAATTCAAAATAAAAACCTGTAGACGAAGAAAATTCATCAAATCGTCACTTTATATGCGTAGTCGCTTCATCACGCGACTCATTTTCTATTTATTTTCTTCATGATATTTTTGGAAAATCGAACATTTTCCTCACAGCGCGTACGGAAAGAAGCATTTACATTAGGTCAAGGGTTTGAGTCTCAATTTATATACGAGAAAATTTATTTTTAACTTTTTTTTATGTTTACTGAGTGGCTTTTGAGGAATTTACGGTTTATTTATAAGATGATTAAATGCTGTGTTTATTGGAGGATTTTCTGTTGATCTTTTGCCGGTCAATTTCCTAGTTTGTTGTTTTCATTTTAGGCGGCATCTTCCATGGAGATGATGAATTATCGCAAAAGGTCTTCAAATCTACATTTGAGTCAATCAACAATCTACAGTACAAGTACAAATTTACGGCACACATGTTCAACATTACGAGAACTGATTCACTGAAGGCACAGGATATTGGTGAGTAAATGAACCAGACAGACATACATACATAACATACTGATGAACATCCACACAGACTGATTTAAAGACAGCTAAACAGACTGACAGCTAGACAAATTTGACAGCTGACAACTAGATAATTTTGACAGCCAGACAAACTGATCAACAGACTAGGAATGATTGTAAAAATTTCCCAATTAACTCATTTTAGTCTGCAACCTCTCCAAAAAGGGTGTTATGGCAATTTTCGGACCAAGTTCAGTTGAAACTTCAGGCATCGTCTCATCACTTGCTGAAAGACTTGAAATACCACACCTAATCTACCACTGGAAGACAAAGCCACGACAACGAGTTGAGTATGAAGATCCAAAAATGACTCTCAATTTCTATCCAGACTCAGATGCTATAGCAAAGACATTAGCGGGAATTCTCATCGACTACACATGGAAAAGTTACACAATTATTTATGAAAATGAAGAGAATCTTTTGAGACTTAAGGATATCTTGCAAGTTCATCAACCTAATGGCGACAATCTAGTCACAATGATGAAATTAGAAGATGAAAATTATGCGATTTTAATGAAAAAAGTGAAATACAATCAAGTCAAAAATGTCATTTTGGACATCAGCATTGACAAGATTCTTCCACTTTTTGAAGCTGCTAAGCTTGTCGGAATGACTGGCGATTACCATAGATATTTTTTGACAAATCTTGACTCTGCGACTTTGAATTTTAGGGACATAACTGAGTCTTTGGTTAATATAACAACAATAAGGTTGAGCAATGTTTCTAGTGGATTTATGGATGATGCATTAAGGAACATCAATGGATATGGTGAGTATGGAACCGACTTCATTACTTCATCTCGGTTAAAACTTAATTTTTAGGTGAATCCAGCATTGAAGCCTCTAAAATCCCTTTGGAGTCAGCACTTATCCATGATGCAATCCATTTCTTTGTCAACGCTCTCGACTTTTATGTTGAAAATCCAAGAAATGCCAGAATGAAAGCTAAAAGCTGCACAGAAGTACAAGATATAAGTGGAAGGACTCAACAGTCTTTTGGGTATGGATTGATGGAGTTCATGAGAGCACGTGAATACACCGGAATTACAGGACAAATTGAGTTTTTTAAAGGAAATATCACACAAAAAAGAGGATCAAGAACTGAACTGTCACTTGACATTTTGGCATTTTCAAGAGAATCATCAAATTTCCATAAAATTGCACTTTTTGACTCGACTAGTGGCATGATCTATGACTACTCGGAAAGTGACAATGAGGAGAAAATATATGCAGCAATTCAGAACAAGACTTTTATCATCACAACCCGAGCGGAACCACCATTTTTATTCCACAATACAGTCGATAAAGATGGAATGCCACTGGAAGGAAATGCTCAATTTTCAGGCTATGCTGTTGACTTGATTAAAAGAATTCAAGGAAATTTTCAATTTAAGTATTACTTTCAACTTGTCGAAGATGGAAAAAATGGAAATTTTGATGCTGCAAAAGGTGAATGGAATGGATTAATTGGAGAGATTCTTAAAAATCGAGCAGACCTGGCAATTGCTGACATCACAATCACATGTGATCGTAAAAAAGTCGTTGACTTTACAACGCCATTCATGAATCTAGGAATCAGCATTTTGTACACAAAGCCAAAGCCAAAAGAGAAAAATCTTTTCTCGTTCTTCGATCCATTTACAACGGATGTGTGGATATACACTGGACTAGCTTACATTTTCATATCAATTCTTGTGTTTGTACTGTCGAGAGTCAATAATGATGACTGGGAATCATCACATCCTTGCAATCAAGACCCTGATGAAGTTGAAAGCATTTGGAATATTTTGAACTGTGTCTGGCTGATGATGGGCAGTATAATGGGTCAGGGATCGGATATTTTACCAAAGTGAGTAGCGAAGATGAGCTAAAGACTGTCAGAGAGACAAGACACAAGGAAAAGACACAGAAACAAAACGCTTGCTAGGCATTGACTAGACACTGACTAGACACTGAGTAGATACTGAATGTGTCTAGACTAGACTGACAAACGGACAGACAGATTTGATATCCTGAATTTAAATTAATATTTTTTCCACTCCCCAGAGGATCATCAACACGCATTGTGACTGGACTGTGGTGGTTCTTTGCTCTTATTATGCTTGCTTCTTACACTGCGAATCTTGCTGCTTTTTTAACATCTGATCGTTTGACTTCATCCATTAACGGTGCTGAAGATCTCGCAAAACAAGTTAAGATCAAGTACGGTGCAGTCAAAGAAGGGTCAACAGCGAGATTCTTTCAGTTCAGCAATTACAGCACTTACCAAAGGTAAATGTTAACGCTATAGTTTTGCATGCTAAGCCATTTACATGTTTGTATGTTTTTAGAATGTGGGCAACAATGGAAAGGAACGGTGACATCTTCAACCCAAAATCAAACGACGAAGGTGTCAACAAAGTCGAAAAAGACAACGGGGATTATGCATTTATGATGGAGTCAGTTCCAATGGAGTACCAGACACAGAGAAAATGTACACTCATGCAAGTTGGAGAGTGGCTGGATAGTAAAGGTTATGGAATTGCACTGCCATTGGGTATGTTGAACAGTTTAGTATTGAAAAATAAGGATTGTGGATAAAGGATTAATTTTATGCAGAGTCACCGTACCGAAAGTTTTTCAGTACACAAATCTTGAAGCTTCAGGAAAGTGGTGTGCTGGCTAAACTCAAGGAAGATTGGTGGAGGGCACCAGTTGGAGAAGGTAAGTTAAGCTTTAAAAGTTCAGGTTGCATCTGCTTTTATCTTTACGAGACAGTCAGGGAGATAGAAAAGCTGATAAAATTACGGATTGGCTGTCCAACGGCTGGTTTTTTGCGTATTCGTTGAAGTATTCTCCACAAGGGCGTAGCCAAGAATTCAAAGAGGATTGATTTGTCCTTTAAATCTTCTCCTGGCTACGCACCTGATACTCCATGATATGCACTGACTCTAGTTCCTCTCACCTTTAATGGTCAACATTTTCTAACAATTTTATTTTTACAGAATGTAAACCAATTGAAGTGCCGCACGATGATCTCGATATTGGGTAAGTTCTCCACATTTTCATGAAAAACTTAAGTTAATCATTCAATGTTTTATTACAGAAATGTTGGTGGTGTTTTCTTACTTCTACTTGGTGGATGCTTAGTGGCATTACTCATTGCAATCATTGAATTCTCAATGAATGTCCAAGAAGTCGCGATCAACGAGAAGGTAAAGGTTTTATCACCTGTTTGTAGAATCCATGAATTCTATTTGATGCCTTTAAGTACACAGCAGCCTACTTATCTTAAATTTCCTTCTAGATAACACACTGGGATGCCCTCAAATCAGAGCTTGCATTTGCCTTCAACTTTAGAATTTTAACCAAACCAGTTCGATCAAATTCAACTGAAATAATTAGTCGAAAATCAACACCACCAAGGTCGATGAAGTCACGATCACGCTTTGGTTCTGAAAAGAACTTAAAGATAAAACCAACCAGAAGTGTCAGCCTTGACAGTAGAGCGATTGAACCAAAGTCAAAGAGCTTATTTGACTTGCATTTTACTAGTGAAAAGAAGGGAAAGATTAGCACACTTTTTTAAATCATAGCTTAAAAGTGTAGGAGAGTGAATTTAGTGTATTTAAGGTCAGTTCTTCTCAAACTGTGGTATTCGATAGGGTATTGAGAGAGTTTGTAATCACGAGAATGAGATGCTTTATTTAAATAGAAATGGGATATGGAACAGTAGAGATCAACCTTTGGGCCATGACACCACAAAAAGTCTCAGTTGTGACTTGGCATTTTAGGTTGATCAACACTGGTTTCAATTATTCACAAATTAGTGTTTAGATAATGGCAGAGCTGTAGCAAGAGGGAAATGAGGGTCTGGTGGTGGAACTGGTCTGATGTGGGAAAGAGTCTAAAGCCTTTACACAGGTCTAAAGGGGTTCGATTGGAAATGACTCCTCTCTTCAGTTATGCCCCATTGGTGGGGTTTTGGGAATAAAACTAGATCTACACGTACCTTTAGCCTTAATGTACACAAATGATGCATCTGTGACTAGATGTAAGTGCAGGGTTAATTGGAGATGTAAGCGTATACCTATGTATCCCATCCATGGTCCCACGTTAAGTTAATCACAGTAAAGACAGTTTGAGAACCACTGACTTTAATGTTTTGTATTAATTTAGAATAAAACTAATTTTTTGTGGGATTTTTCAGGGAGTGTCTAGCTGTATTTTAGCTCAATAAATTATTTTAAAACTTGATTATTTTTGACTTTAAAATTTCAATTGTCACTAAATCAGTTCAACAAAGCCCTACTCAACTCACAACTTACTCACAACTTAATCATTATAATTTGGAAAACTTAAAAACAGCAATTTTTAAACCTCTGACGCGATTGATTTTGGCACCGCCCATCAGTCTATGACATTCTACTTCCAACTGTTCATTTTACTTCCTCAAATCAAGTCAAAATGTTGCAGAAAAAAATTATTTTTCTTCTAATTTTCTCAATTTTCTGCATCAATTCAACAAATTCGCTTCCAAAATCTAAAAAATCATCAATTTCTGACAAAGATCGACAAAGATTTCAGCTATGGAAGCAAAAGCACAAGAAAAGCTATCAATCAACAGCCGATGAAGATAAAGCGATGGAAAATTTGGTTAAAAACCTTAAAGAAATTGAAACTCACAATGAACTGTATGCAGCAGGCAAGACAACATACACGAGAGCTCTGTGGGACAATTCTGACTTAACTTTTGAAGAAAAGCAGCAGTTCCTGAGTGGTGAAAAAGTTTTCGAACCCAGAAATGAGTCAGCAACTTTGCGATTTGTTCGAGCTGCAAAATTCAAATCAGCACCGCCGGAACTCAACTGGGTTAAAGAAGGTCGCGTCAATCCAATTCATGATCAAAAGAAATGTGGAAGTTGCTGGGCATATACAGCTGCTGGAGTCGCTGAAGGGGCCCTCCTGAAAAAAGGAATCAACACGCGACTTTCAGAACAAAATTTAGTCGATTGCAGTAAAAATGGTGGAAATTCTGGATGTAACGGTGGTGATGCTTACTATGCTTTAAAGTATATAGCAAGTAATGGAATAGCTGCATATGAAGACTATCCATACACAGCTAAGAATGGAAAGTGCAAAGCATCATCATCTAAGAAAGTGCCTTTGAAACTTGGAAATGTAAAATTTGAAAAGCTACGTGGCAATGAAAATCGATTGAAGGACATTGTAGCCAACTATGGACCAGTTGGAATTGCTATTCGTGCTGCCGATAGCTTTATGAATTATGAATCTGGAGTTTACAACAATCCAAAATGTTCCAGAAATTTAGATCATGCGATGCTCCTCGTTGGCTATGGACATGATAACAAGACAAATATGGATTATTGGTTAATTAAAAATTCTTGGGTAAGTTTGAAATTCAAAGTTTTTGGTTGTGTGTCTTTAGCTACAAATCTTAATTTCGTGTCTAATTTGAGTCTTTGGTATTCGTCTTGATCTGTGTCTCTTTGAAATGTGTCTTAAGTTGTGTGCCTTTGATACATGTCTAAGGTTGTGTGCCTTTGATATGTGTCTAAGGTTGTGTGCCTTTGATATGTGTCTAAGGTTGTGTGCCTTTGATATGTGTCTAAGGTTGTGTGCCTTTGATATGTGTCTAAGGATGTGTGTTTTTGATATGTGACTAAGGTTGTGTATCTTTGATATGTGTCTTAAGTTGTGTGCCTTTGATACATGTCTAAGGTTGTGTGTCTTTGATATGTGCCTAAGGTTGTGCGTTTTTGATATGTGACTAAGGTTGTGTGCCTTTGATATGTGTCTAAGGTTGTGTGTCTTTGATATGTTTCTAAGGTTGTGTGTCTTTGATATGTTTCTAAGGTTGTGTGTCTTTGATATGTTTCTAAGGTTGTGTGTCTTTGATATGTGTCTTAGGTTGTGTGCCTTTGATACATGTCTAAGGTTGTGTGTCTTTGATATGTGTCTAAGGTTGTGTGTCTTTGATATGTGTCTAAGGTTGTGTGTTTTTGATATATGACTAAGAATGTGTGTCTTTGATATGTGTCTTAGGTTGTGTGCCTTTGATATGTGTCTTAGGTTGTGTGCCTTTGATATGTGTCTAAGGTTATGTGTCTTTGATATGTGTCTAAGATTGTGTGAATTTGATATTTGTCTAAGGTTGTGTGTCTTTGATATGTGTCTTAGGTTGTGTGTCTTTGATATGTGTCTAAGTTAATATCTAAGCGTGTGTCTTGAGTTTTATTTCAAAAGAAAATTTCAAATTAAATTCCTATTTTAGGGCACATCATGGGGTGAAAATGGATACGTACGTATGGCTAGAAACAAAAATAACCAATGTGGAATTGCTGTTGAAGTTTCCTATATTGTATGATATAATTTTGCTTATCAACCAGCTCGAAAATAAATAAAAGTAATTTTTGGAACAAAACCGAATTCGAAACATTATTTTTACCACGGATTTTTCTTGAATTATTTTAAAAAACCAGAAAATCACTATAAAATTGAAAAAAAATGAAATCATACAAAAAAGTAAAAGTTTGCCGAAACCCGGGATTGAACCGGGGACCTTTAGATCTTCAGTCTAACGCTCTCCCAACTGAGCTATTTCGGCATGTTTGGTTGTGTTTTTGAGTTCGGCTATTTGATGTCGTGATTGTCGATGACTTTTTATTCGCTTTGTGCATTTCACGTATTCTTCTTATCATCAGTTTTGGATTATTGATTGAAATTTAAAAACATTTGACTACAAAATTGAATTTATTTCAATAAAATTAAATTAAATTTTTTTTAAAATAAATTCAAAATTCTGAACTTTTTTCTAAATTTGAATTAAAATCCCTGAATTTCTAAAAATATTTCAACCTTATTTTTTCAAATCCAACAACAAAAAAATTATAACAAAACCCAAACTTTACTTACGGAAGTTAAAAAAATATTTTTAATTTAATAAATAACGAGTGAGTCGTGACAAAATTTTAATTAAGTTTAAAAGCTACTTAAAGTTTAATTAAACTTTTTTTTATATATTAATTCAGTTAAATAGCTACGGCTCACTTTCAGGAGTTTGAAAGAAGAATTGTAAAAGGTTCAGTCAAAATTGAGGTTATTTAAATCTTGCCAGGGGTGCAGAACTGACTTAATCAATTCTCCACCCCCGAACCTCTTGTTTAATCTAGAGAACTCATTCAGCGACAGGAACCTAAACACTAAGCTGCAGCGTAGACTAGAGACTTAGGCGCATAGCCAAGAGGGTATTGTCTCCCCTTAAACGTTTTGAACCGGAGCGAGAGCACGGCCTAAAACGTTTAAGAGGGGGACAATACCCTATTGGCTAAGCGCCTGTATAGACAGGCTTTGTTACTAAACCACTGGACATAGATCATAATTTAGGGGGAGAAGGGTGTGAATTTTTAGGATTCTTTCACAAAAACCCGTGGAAAATAAAGAAAATTCTGGTGCAGAAGGATGTTTTGTCCCCAAAACTCCACCCTCCCCCCTCTCCCTGGCTACGCGCCTATTATATGATAAAGCTTATCACAACTGATAACAAAAATTGCTCGATTATTGATTAAAATTGATAAATCTTCATTCAAATTTGGGAGACATCAAGTGTCATTGCTTAATACTTGAGAGTAAAGTCAGTCTTTTGACTTAAAGTTCTAGCGAATTAAAGATATTTTTTGGTCAAGCTAGACTAAGGAAGCTTGAATGTCTTTAATAAGCTCAACAAACAGGAAAAACCAGCAAAACTTTTGTGTTTCTAAAATTTTAAGTCAAGCTTTATTTTAAGGCTACAAAAACATTCTTGAGGATGTAAAAGAATAGCTTTTAAATTACTTTTCATAACCTTGACAAGCTCTCATTGACAAAATATTAAAAATATTTCGAAATAACAGTAAAAACTTAAAAAATAAAAATTAATTGTTAAAGTGAGCTTGAATTGAATGGACGAAAGTTGAAACTTTTTCATTTATAAAAACTTTGTTTATTGTTTTTTGCGGTTTTGAATAAAAAACAGGAACTAAAAATACAAAAACGTGATTATTGGAAATAAAAGTTCATTCTTTTTGCTAATTTTCATGTTCAAATTTAATTAAAAAGGCAAAAGTTAAAGAAAAATGAAAATAATTCACAAAATTTCAAATCCAAAATTAAACATGTTTAAAAATCAGTTCAAGTCAGTGATTTTACTGGTTCTTTATAGTTTACTTGTCTTTGTTGTTTTTCTTGAAATGTCCAAAAATGTGCAAAAAGAGAGCAACTTTAGTGAACTTTCATTTGAAAAATTTCCAATCATATTTAAACTGAAAAACCTTCAAAATGATGAAAATATTTTGACGAATAAAACGATTCAAAAAATATTCTTTATTGAGACTCATTTGGAATCGTTTCGGAAGCTTGAGAATCCAAGACAGGCATGCTCTGTTGAGTCAGCAGGTGAGCATCAATTAAGTTTGAATATTAAAAGTTTGGATTAAGTGAAAAACTAAGTTCAAATAAGTTTAATAAAGATTTTAAAAATCCAAAAAAAAACCAAAAAAAAACTTCAAATTTAAAAATGTTAAAAAATTTAAAACTTCAAAATTAAAAAAATTCACAATTTAAAACATTCAAAATTCAAAAAATTCAAAATTTAAAAAAAAAACATTTTTCAGCTCGGATGAACCCAGAAACTGAAATTTACTTCACATTTGCAACAAACTCATCAGCAGTGTTTTTAGAAAATTCAGAACTTTTGGAAGTCCTTTCAAAATTCCACAACATTAACTTCCGATTTATTGACCCAAAAGAGCTGTCGAAAGGAACTTTTATAGAAGATTTCTTCACCAAAGACCTCCTGGCTCAGTCACAATTTCATGTTGCAAATCGAGCGAATGCTTTAAGGATTTTATTGATGAGTAAGTATGGCGGGCAATACCTGGACTTGGATGTGATTTCTTTGGTGTCAATTGATGCTGTTAATTTGACTAATTATGGATGTGTGCAGAGCAAGGACGTTGTTAATAATGCTGTGCTGAATTTTGATGTTGATAAAGGACAAGAATTGTTGGAGGAATATGGAAGGTGAGGATTAGGGTTGAAGACTGGTGGGTTTTGAGGTTATCAACCTTCTGTTATGAAAAAATATTTGAAAAAAATTGAAAAAAACTGTAAAAACTCAGAAAAGTTCAAAAAATTCAAAAAAGTTCAAAAAAATTCAAAAAAATTCAAAAAAATTAAAAAAAGTTCAAAAATTCAATAAAAAAATAAAAAAAAGAAAAAAGTTAAAAAATTAAAAAAATTTAAAAAAGTTCAAAAAAAATTGAAAAAAATAATTTGAATATTAATCATTATGTTTTTAACTTTCACTCACAGACATTTACTAACAGAGTTCAGACCAAATGACTGGGGAGGTAAAAAACTTAAAATTTAATTAAAATTAAAATAATTCACAAATTTACAATTTTCAATCCAAAAATCCCCAGCAAATGGCCCAGCAATGTTCTCCAGAGTCCTCAAAAAATTCTGCAGCACCACAACATTCGAAGAAAGCACCTACACAAAATGCGGTGAATTTATATCCCTTCCAACTGACAAATGCTACGCAATCTCATATCCGGAATATGAAAAATTCTACGACGAAAATTATTTCAACGAAACAATGTCGCGGGTCAAAGATTCATTTTTTGTCCACATTTGGAATCGAATGGAGGAAGCTGGAAATAAAAATTATAAACTCAAGGCAGACTCAAAGTCAGCTTATGCTGAGTTAGCACGCAGGAATTGTCCAAATGTGTTTAAAACTGTCGATAAATATTTTTGAGAGAGAATTTAATAAATTTTGTGGTTTTTAACAATATTTTGAAGTGGATTGATTTTTATCTAAAGTGGTTTTTAAAATTTTTGAAGAAGGTTAGTTACAAGGGGGAAACAGCTTTTTGGAAAAATATTTTTGGTAAAATTTTGTCACATTTTCTAGCATTCATTTTTACATTTTACTAGTTAAAATTGAACAAAACTTTATCAATTTGTTTTTCATCAAAGCTGTTTTCCTCATGCTTTTTGCACTATAACTACTTTCATGTCTCGTATAAGTTAAATCAATAGAAAAAATAAAGAATTTATATTTGAAAATTCAAAAAGCAAAACTTGAGAGTTTTTAGTGAAAAATGCTCAAAAACCATTAAATTTAATATTATTTATAGATTTAATCGTTTATTGTTCTTCGAGTTGATCAGTCAAGTCTGTCTTATTTCCTACAAAATAATATTCAAAGCTAGAAATGGTTGAGCAATTGGAAATGGAAACTGGAAGAAGTAAAATTATTTTTCAATTTATTAATATTCAAAAAATTATTAAAGTTCAAAATTTCAGTTTCCAGATTAGTTAAAAATAAAATAACTTGGATTGTCGTCGTCAGCATCATCGCTGCATTTACATTGGGGTACTTTTTAGGCAGAAACTGTGAGGACCGAAATGAGCCACCAAGATATTATCCACCACCAATGCCACAATATCCAGGAGCTCGAACATAACCTTTAAGTTAATAACATAAAGAGGTCGAAAGAGGAAGAATTGACTTGTGTTTTTTCGAGTCAACTCGAGTCAAGTCAAGTTGATTTAAGTTTTTTTCGAGTCGACTCTAAGTCAACTTTACTTGAGTCGACTCGAAATCAACCTCTTCAAACAATAAAAAGCTACCGAGTTGACTCCAAGTTGACTCAAGTCAAGTCAAGGCGTGGAAACTATCCCAAATATCCCATTTATCCCATATATCCCAAAAATATTCAAAATAATTCCTTAGCATGTATGCACGATAATAAAGACATCCCAACGTATCCTTAGTGTACGTACAATAGGACGTATAATTTCAGGATATGATGGGATATCTCAATTCTAATGCATGCAGGCTCAGGGATTATTTTGAATATGTTTGGGATATATGGAATAAATTGGATAGTTGGGATATTTTCCACGCCTTGAGTCAAGTCGACTTGAAGCTGACTCGGAAAAAATTGGATCAACTTGAATCGACTCGAGTTGACTTGAATTGACTCGAGTTGACTCAAGTTAACTCAAGTTGACTTAAAAAAAACCTAAGTCAACTCAAGTCAACTCGCTTCGACTTCGAACTCTGATAAGACCAAACTTGAAAAGAAAAAAAAATAAAAAATAATTTAATTATTTTTAAAAATGACTCATTCTAGAATATTTTTTAAAAATGAGAAAAATAAAATTGAGCATTTTTTAGAACTCTTGATTTTGCAACATGCTCTGTTTTCTTTTAAAAATGAGAAAAAGGTAATCAGCATCAAAAAAAAAATTCACGAACCAAATTTATTCATATTTTGATTTTATTATTCTCTTTAGTTATGCTCAATCTCATTTAAGTCTATTTTTTATTTCAAAATTTGAGACAAAAATATTAAAATCTGAATGAGATTTAAGATAATCATAAAATTGTCAAAAAATCCCAGTTTGTCATCGATTGTCATTGAGTAAATGAATAATAATTTTTTTTAAAAAATATATTAAAAGGTAGAAATTATAATTTTTAAAAATAAAATTGTTTTATTTGAAACCTAGCAATTTAACGGAATTTAACGGAAAAAAATTACATTTGATTTCAAAATAAAATAAGTTCAAAAAATTTATTTTTTAAAAAATCATTAATTTAATGCAAAAATATTTCAATTTTAAAACAGCTTTTTTGACTACGATCAAACAAAAAATTAAAATTTTCATTATTAATTTCAAAATTCATTCAAAATTATTTTAAAAAAATAATAAAACTTAAAATTTGCTTTAAAATCTGCTCACAAATCAAATAACCTACGTGTGAATCCTTATCGTCTCCAAAGCTGATTCACATTCAACGCATATTTAAATATTATCAAATCAACTTTCAACCTTGAACAGCGCACAGGAGAGAATAAAATATGGGCGAGAAGTCTTACAGTCGTGAGTAATCAATTAATTATTATTATTTTTAATTCCTTGACCTTTGACAATGACTGTCTGACTGAGTTGCATTGAACAGATGGAGCTTTGTAAATTGATAATAAACAGTATTTTGGGGTTTTTATTAAGTGGCGTGCTTATCAATTCAGCTATTATCATTTTAATTATTTTGTATAAATCTTTTTTAAATTTTTATGATGTCTTAAATACTAGTGGAAGGATTAAGACTAGTACAGCCACAAAATGGTTCAATTGGGATTTTTATGCTGACCAATTGATTAAGTTAGGTCCATACCCTCCTTGATACCAACTGGATATCCACTATGATCATGTCAGCGTGTCTTCGACTCTTCCTAATACACAGGGTCGTAGCAAGAGCGTTTTAAGCCCGGATGTAATCAAAATTTAGCCTCTTTTGCGTAAGATTGTTCAATAATGACGTCTGAGATTTAAGGAGGAGTCGGGGAAGAGCCGATCTAGGATTTTGTGACATCTTAAACCTTGAGAGTGTTTTTCCCTATAAATTTTGAGACAGGACGAAGAGGGGGTAGGAAGCAAGGGGGAGGGATAGGAAGGACGGAGAACGGGGTAAGAAGGAAATAAGAGGGTAAGAAGGAAAGAAGAGGTTAAGAAGGAAAGAAGGGGGTAAGAAGAAAAGAAGGGGGTATGAAGGAAAGAAGGGGGTACGAAGGAAAAAAAGGGGGTATGAAGGAAAGAAGGGGTAAGAAGGAAAGAAATGGGTAAGAAGAAAAAAGGTGGGAAGAAGGAAATAAGGGGGTAAGAAGGAAGAAGGGGAAAGTAAGGAAAAGGGTAAAGGAAGGGGGGAGAAAGTAAGGGTAAGAATGGGGTTAAGGGGTTTAAAAATCATGTTTATTGACGGACGTCAAACATGATTGACCCAAAATGGGATTTTTGGAACTTTTTTTTTTGGAAAGCTGGCTTCCCCAATAATAAAAAGTGTTCAGACTCAATCTATTCCAAAAAGGAATCAGGACAAAACCTTTAATTAATTCAATTTAAAAATTACAGTCGAGAAGCCTTCATCATCATCTCCCAAGAGCACCAATGGATACCTAAAAGCTATTTCAATTATTATTGCCATATTTGCTGTCATTTTTGCTGGATACTACTTCTTCCTACTTCCATACCATGACGATTCAGATCTTGATGATATATTTTCATATGCCACAAATACTCCAGCTTCTCCAATGGACATCACATCAACAACGGATATACCGATTGAGTATGAAGTTGAGATTTCAATTGAGGAAGATCAAGTTTTGACAGGCATTGATGAATACTTTAATTATGACTATATTGGAACAACAATACAACCAACTGAGTCAAGTCTTGAGTCTGAAGAGTTTTTGACCTACGAATATCCAGACAATCCAAGTTTTCCAGAAGGAAGTGGCGATGACGACGGTCCGATTGAGTTTGAAGATGAAATTCCAAATTGTTCGAAATTCTTCAAAATTCCCGAATCCAACAAAATTGTTTGCTTAGTCGAAGCACCAAAAACACCAAAAGATGCAGCACAATTTTGCAAATCAGCTGGCATGAAGTTCCTCAAAATCACCGATGACGAAATGAAGCAAAAAGTTTTTGATGGAACTAGAAAAATATTTGGCATTGGCGGTGGAACTGCACTGTGGATTGATGGCAAATGGAATGAAAATAAGCGCATTTGGGACTCGTGGCATGATGGATCGAAAGTTGAAGTGTATCCAGTTGAGAGGATGTTAGGGGATTGCACAAGGATTTTTAGTCCATTAAGCCGCAAATATGAGATTTCATCGTCCAAGTGCGAATTAACGTCTTACTTTTATTGTGAAAAATTGATTAAGAAATAAAAAATAATTATTTTGGAACCAAATGACTTATAAAAGTCTTGCTGTAGCTTTCTTTAAGGCCCGTGTGTGGTTCTCCTGCCATAGCTCTTATTACTCAATATTTTTATTCAGAACAGTGCTGCTGATATGACAATTCTCTATTTTACTCCCCCTTTTAAAAAGCAACAGACAACATCAATTCAGTTCAGTTTGAAAAATTAATGAGAACAGATCAAAACTTAACATGCAGGCTGAAACTTCTGTGGACACTTTGGTGACTTTGGAGTCAACGAGTCAACCAAAATGTGAAAATTCATCGAATAATTCGGGATCAACAGATGAAATTTCAATTCAAAATGGTAAATTAGACAAGACTTAGCTTGATTTTGGGGAGACAACAACTATTTTTAAAATACTTAATTGAGGGGAAAACAACATGATGAGGAAAAATCGAATAAAAATCTTTTTTTCATTAAAATTACAGCAAATTTCCAGAATTTATTTTTTTAAATTTTTTCTAGTCATGTTGTTTTCCCATTGTATTTATTAAGTTTTAATCAAGGGTACGGAACTAATGAAATGATCAAAAATGATCGAAATTGATCAAAATTGATCAAAATTGATCAAAAATAATCAAAAATTATCAAAATGTAATTTGTCAGTTCAACATCCTGGGTTTTTATTTATTTAAAATATTTTACACACAGTTGTGTTCCCTCTGACAATAAATATAAAGAATAATCAACCTGCTCTTTTCAAGATACATCACAAACAGTACCAAAACCAAAGCAAAAGCAATCAGAACAACTTTTCATCACCAGCAGCTACACATTCTCTACACTGGCACTAATATTCATAGCCATAGCAATGTCAACTGTTGTTTTGATGTCACCAAGTTCAAAAAAGACTATTAAATCCTTCAAAGACCTTGAAGATCTCATGGACGACCTTAGTGACTCATCAAGCAATAAAGTAACAGCCACAGAAAGTTATAATGACGTCAATGCCAGCTTCATCAATCCAGAACGTGCAAAATTCGAATACATCCATGGACAGCTGAAAGATTTATCAATTTGCTTGATTCTTTTCAACATTTCCGAGCTCAATGGAGCTTGTTTGGTCCACAACTCACAAAGCTTCATCGAGGCATCAAATATGTGCCAAGTCCACAACATGACACTGCTGGAGATCAACTCCGACCATGAAAAGTCTCGAATTTATGATGAAACTGAGAAAATTTTCGGAACTGGTGGTGGAACTCGAATTTGGATGAATGGAAAATATTCAAGAACTGAGGATGCCTTCCTATCACATCCCAAAAATGTCAAATTTTTCGTCACAAATGATCAAGTTGAGGAACGTTATGGGAGGAAATTTTCAGATGGAGAATGTTTGTCGATAGAAAGTCTTTATCAGGCAAAGTATCACATATCAGCTGTGCCATGTGGCGGTGCTCATTATTTTTATTGTGAATTTTGAGATTATTTGGTGTAGATTGAATGGTATTTAATGGATATTCGTTGATTTTGTAAGTCTTAATAAAGAGTTTGAGTGGAAATTAAATATTTTATTGGTGATTTTAATTCAAATGTGTCATAAGTCGTGTAGCCTGTGCGGTTTCTGGTACAATTTAGTCAAATAAGTCAAAATATCACTTCAAGGGACCTTTTTGAGCACCTGTTTTACGCTTTTAGACTTTATTAAAATTCAATGGACCTGATTGAACCTTGACAGCTCCCTTTGGTTCCTGTTGAACTCCTTTAAATCCCCTTTGCCCCTATTGAACCTCCCTTAGAACAAAAAACACAATTTAAAATCAAGAAACTTCATTCAAAAAACTTGTTAAAAAAACATTTAAATTCACATCGACTTCAGCAACCTAGCTCCATCTATCTCTCAAAACAGCACTCAAATCTATTTCGCATCAAAAACATCCCGTTCCCCTACCTCGTTCGCATCAACATTCCTCAACCCAAAGTAGTTTTGCAGCAGTAAAAAACAAAAAAAAATATCAAAATAGAAGAAAAAAAAAATAATTTTTTTGTTTTTTAAAAATTTTCTTTAAATTTCAAAGTCAAAGACAATTTTTTCACAAGTTTCGTCATCAAGGCACCAACGACAGTCATAATGTCAACAACAATAGAGCAAATGATTCTCGACGCAAAGCGCTTAGCGAATCGTTTAAAAGAAAAGGAGCAGCTCGCAGATGTCTTGTCCAATGAGACTGAACGTGTCAATTATCAGTTGGACAGCATGCGACAGTTTCAGGATGACATTAATGCATTAAATATTTTGGCGAGGGATCGCAGCAATGCTGATATGATTCATACAATTCATCAAGAAAATCCACAAATTCGTGAGATCCAGCAAGAGAATAGACAGCTTAAGGCATCCATTGAGGAGCATCAGAGGGCGATTGAGTTGATAATGACTAAGTATAGGCAGCATACACAACGACAGATTGAAGAGACGAAGCTGGATTTCGATAAACTTGTTAAAGCTAGCGAGATGAATGATGTGAGTATGATTGTGGGTTGGCCGGTGATATTAGTGGGTATGATGGGGATTATTGTGAACTTGAGGTTCAATTTGATATGAATTGACTGCAGGACCTAACCTTGGTCCAAGACATAAAGCCACAACTTAGACATTTTTTAATAAATTTAAGCAGATCCTTGCTAATTCCAAAACCTAAATTCCTTCCAGTGCACCAACATAATCAGCTCACAAGCCCAACAACTGCAAGAAGCAATAGGTGTCATGCAAGAAGCCGTAAAGATGGGCGACGATGACATGAACAAATACGTTGAACAGCTAATGCAACTAAAGACAGAGAATCAAGGCCTCCGAGAGCTCCTCGGCATCGCCAGATCAATGAACTCAATTCTAATGGATCGTGAAAAGAAAGAAATTGCAACGCAGACAGAAGAAGTCTCGAATGTCAAGTCATGAGATGTTGGATGTGTGCAAACTGAATGAATGAGCAATAGAATGAATGGAATGGAAGTTTAGCTATGCTTCGTGTAGGATATTCAAGATATTCAATTATTTTAGATAAAATATGATGACGGATGAGAAGGAAACTCTGTAAAACAATTGTGTCTCTATACTACAGATAGGTATTAAAAATCCCAGAATATAAAGTTTGACTGTTTAGTGATCATCACAATTAAGATTCAAAAATGTGCCATTATTCTGTAAAAAGTGCTCAATTTAAAAGATCTGGAGTTAAATAATATTAGTTTTGTGGTTGGCATGCAACTATAAGTCATATAATACTCAAATTTGTGATTTTCAAGGTTTAGCTAGCTGCTTGACTTAACTTGGTGTCTTGCAACTTGATTTAAGCCAGATGAAGTCATTTGGTCAGATTCATTTGGTTCAATCTGTGTATTTGGGAATGCATCTGATGATTCTTCAGCTAAAGCCTCTTAAATTGGGAAAGTATAGTCTAAGAGACTCCTACACACAGTTTTTAAGTCAACGGTATGGATCAGATAAGATAAGATCCACTCCTTTGTCTCTTATAAATTCCAAAAAATCAGCAAATATTAATTTAGTAAATAAAACAATTTTGATGATCATTAGACAGTCAACTTACAGCAATAAAAACTAATTTTGCTTGACTAATCCAAGCCTTTAAAAAAGATTATTTAAAAATTATATCAATAGGGTCTTTCGCTGATTAGAGAAGACATCTCGAGAGAACTGACCCCCACGAATGAGGGAATGAGGTCAGCCTTTTTTTCATTGTTAGAATTGAAGGATTAAAAAACTATAAAAACAGAACTTATAGACCTAGTTTATTTTAAACATCACTTGTAAACGATCCCAAATTTAAATTTTATTTTTCTATAATTTTGTGTAATTAAATTCTACTTTATATAAATATTTTATTCTTGCACTATATAAGCCAACATTATCATTAGTAATCCAGCCTTAAGTCAGAGCATTAGGCTTGCAATACCATCTAGTAAAAAAATTCTAAATTTCCAAAATCCTGAGATTTTATTATCTATTAATTACCTTTTAAGTGCTTCTGTCACAAAACCTAGATTATATTTTTTCTAATTTAACTAGAAACCTACTTAAAGATACACATTGGTTGAGCTAGAAATTATTGCGAAGAATGGAGTCGACTTCCATAAGGATGGGCAGTTCAGATTTCAAAAAATACTTCAATCTTGTAAAGATTCATCATTTCTGGCTACAACCACACAAACATGAATAACTCACCGTCATACACACAAATAATGAATTACAAAAAAAAAAAACATAAAAATCAGTGCAGAAACTCAATAATGTCGTACATTAATAAACTAACTGAACATATTTTATGAATGAAAAAAAAAAAAGATTAAATAAAAATGTTGAATGATTAAACAATTTAAAATTGATTGATTTTTAAACTGATTTATGTATATCCTTTAAGCAAATATTCTATGAACCAATTGCTATATAAAGAAAATGGAACTGGATTGGCCATACATTAAGGATAAAGACATCACAAGGCAAGCAATCTTCTGGTATGTCCAAAGATATAGAACTAGGGGCCGACGGAGAATTACTTGACTTACAACTGTTGAACGGGAGGCGGAACAACAGAACAAGAAGCTGTAGGAAATAGCAGCTTTCGCCCAGAATTGAGTGCAATTATTGACGATATACTGTCCGGTAATGATTCACATTTTACACTTTTGTATTTGTATACATATGAACTAGTATTATGTAGGATCAAACTTCTAATCTTCAAATCTAGGTTTCAAATAAACTAAGGCTCTCGTTTCGATCTTCTGTAGGCGGTACGTGATACTTTTCAGGTTCGTTCTAACAATATTCCATTCGTGGGTAATCTTGTAGCTCTCGTTCCAATTTCTCCCGCTACACTTCAAGTTCCTGATCGGTTCCTTAATCCAACGTTGCCCAAAATGCCCAATTATGGCTTGATCTCGTACATTAAGCAGTCGAAGTATCTAAACTTCCGAAAAAGAACAAATTTGGAAATGGCTGGATTCAAACCGACGACCTTCGAGCTACCATCCCAAATTTGAGCCAAGCGCCTTACCCATTCGAACAGCAAGGCACTTAACTGCTTAATTAAAATGCTTTGTGGATGCCCTACGCTACATAGTGGAGTAATAAGAACCAATCATCATCATTTGCTGTATGCATTTTCTGTCATGGCTTACCCTCAACGTGTAACATGGCACAAAAAAAGTTGTCCACCACTGCTTTAAGGTGTCGGCTTCTTCAAAAGGCTTTATGGTAAATCAAGAAAATGGCTTTGAACGGTTACAATAGAACATTAGGCGTGAGCCATGACTGAAATCAAACGCAGCATGTTACTCATAGGGCACTTCCAATGAGGAGTGTAGATCAAATTCAACTTGAATACTATGTCCCATATTATTATTTAAACCTAGTGTGCCACGGTACACAGTTTTGACAACACTGCTCTAAACGAAGAGACTCAAGCAAAACTTTTGATATATTCAAGAAATCAACAACAGCTGGAGTCCATCCGAGTCCATGAATCTTAAAAAAAAAAGCCGCACAGTATTATCTTTAGAGCACTGCTACACTGAGATGAGTTTAATGAAAAAGCTTGAAAAAATTGAATAACTTATTTACCATAAAACACTGAAAAACTTGGTATTTGGCTAATTCAAGTCATAACAATCATCAAATTAATCTATAGCACCTCCAATAAATCCCAAGTAACACTCAAGCATTTTCATATTTAATTCATTAACTTTATTCAGTTATTTTTTTTTTCTTCGTTAAATGCTCTCAAAATTGTGAAAGATGAAATAATTATTAGAAAATTTTATTTTTTTTGACCTATTCATTCACACTTTACACAGGCTGCATTGTGTATTGTTCTGGGAATTTAAATGAATGTTCACCAATTCCAAAGAGTGTCGGCAGAAGTCCAGCATTTGGTATGATATTCCAGCTTAATGTGAGTGTTACATTCTTGTGTGCACGAAGACCGTTGCCATCATCCCAGAAATAATATTTTGTGTTCATGTTTTTGAAGTCGAGAACGGCATTTTCACCTCGAAGGATGATTTTGTCCCAGAGAACGACCTAAAATTGAGGATTTAATTTTTAGTAAATTTTTTTAAGGATGTCCTGTTCAAATTGAGGATTTATTAGAAGAAATTGACCGAAAAACGGAGCAAAAAATTAAGAAAGTTATCAGAAATAATGTAAAAAGCTACAGAGTTCAACAAATCCCCTATTGAACCCCCAAAAATCCCCACCGTACCCACAAAAATTCGCAAAAAAAATTCCACGTCAACCGGCGACTCCATACCTGATTTAATTCATTATTTTGCGTCTTGTACTCAGCCGTCAAATACAAAAACAATTGCTTGACATTCCAGTTGAACAATCCACTCAAGTCTGTCTGCAGATCGAACGTGATGAATCCCAAGTCATTCAATTCCTTATTATTGCCATAATTTGGCACATTCTTGACTAAAGTTTTGACGGCATTTATTTTGACATTTGTGCGATAGTCAAGAAACACTGTCGAGATGAAACAGCAAAATGTGAGGCAGGCGAGGACGCTGAGAGTGTAGGCTAAGATTGCGTTACCGCGCGTTAAAACTGTGTGCATTTTGAGAACGACTTTTGTGGCTGGAAAAATTTAATTTTTGAGATTTTTTTATTTGAAGTTTTTTTTTCTTATTTTTCTTCGACACGTAAACTGAAGCGAAAAAAAATTTATATTGATAAATGGAGAGGGGTTAAACACTTCGTGAGGGATATTTTTTAGAAAGATGCGAAAAAAAGATGCAGAAAAATTTGGTAAACATAAAAAGATGCGAAAGTGAAAATTTATTAAATTTCTAGTCAATTAAAAAATCCTCAAAAATGGAACTTCCGACGGAGATTCTAGTGAACATCCTCAACTACCTCGACGTGCCTTCACTCAAACAATGTCTTTTAGTTTCGAGGCATTTTCATAATTTAATTTTTAATTCATCGAATTTGATGAGGAAATTATTGATAATTTTGAATGAAAATTCGTTGCTGAAAAAACTTGAGTTTATTAAAAACAACGGGAGGTGCCTTAGATGCCTGGAAATCACTGATCATGGCCACTATCTGATCAAATTATTGACACACATGCCAAACATCTCAACACTAAAAATCTCCGACAACCAATTTCAATATCAAGTCAATCAGCAAGCAATGCGGGCAATTGAAGGAATTTGTGAAGACATTGGACATGACTTTAGTGCTCTGCAGGAACTGACAATCGAATCTAACAATCCATTCGTGACTGAGCAGCTGTTGAGTCAATTTTACAGCTGTTCAACTTTAAAGTCATTCAACTTGATCTGCAAAATGTTTGACATCAATCAAGCCACAAAAATTGTGCTGCTGAGGAAATTTTTGATGAACCAACTGGACTTAAAGGAACTGACACTAGCAACAATGACTAAAAATGATGAAATTTTCGAAAACTTTGACAAAATGAATTTCAAACTCAAAAAGTTCACAATTGGCTGGGATTGGGAAAATCGAAGGGAAAATTTTCATGAAAATTGTCAAAATTTTTGCAGATTTTTGAGGCATCAAGAAGAAATATTAGAGGAGCTTAGCTTTGGACACTGTGGCGTTGCTGACAATTTAACAGAAAGGACAAAAATTAAACTTTTTGAAAGAATGATGATTGAAAATTTGCAGAATTTTAACTTTTTGGAGGTTTTTGATGAAGAAAATTTGAAATTTGAGAGGCTGCAGAACTTCCAGCACATCCAAAATTATCAAAAATTCAATTTTAAGAAGCTTAGAAAGCTGAAAATTTGGTGGTTCGATAAAAGAATCGAAAGACTTACAAGTTGCTCAAATATTGAGTTTTTAGACATTTTGTACCACAACTCACTGCTTAACATGCACCAATGGCTGAAAATCAATGACAAATTCCCAAACCTAAAGATTCTCAAGATCCAGTACTATTCAGACATATCAGATGACTTTTTAAGGCTCACAAATCAAAATTATGAACAAATATTCAAAATTTTACCAAATTTAGTTCAACTTCAAGTCAATACATTTGGTTATTCAACCATTAGGTACAAAAAGAATCAAGATCGTTCAATTAATGTCAAAATCTACAGTTTGGTGACTAACCCATCAACTAAAATCAGGCTAGAGGACTTAAGAGCAGTTCTAGGAAAGACAGAAGCAAAATATGTAAATGATAAAGAATTTGAGAAACTTTTGGGGATATAGGGGTTCTTAGATGAATTATTAGGGTTATATGTGGATTTTATATAGTAGGAAACAATTGTATAAGTGAAAGCTATAAAGTTTGAATTTACAGAAGTGCAATATTGGCTATGATATACTCACATTTAATAAAATAAAGTTGTTAGAATTTTTACAAAAGTTTTTACCAAATTTTCTATAAAGTCAGGCAAAATTAATTGATGTTTTAATTTTTTTCAGCTCACAGGTAATTTCCTTCCTAACCCCCAAGACTATGCCCAAACTCTCTCACATTTTTTTAAAAAATTCTTCCGATTTGAGTTTTTTGAGAAAAACTCCGTACCAAAATACAATTCATAGCCCCTTTTTAAGCTCCTCCATACAAAAGCTAGCTTTATGAATAATAGGGCTGGTTTATATAGTCGCTTTGGGTAACCTTACCTTAATAATAATAATAATAATGTATAAAAACCTCAACCATTCAGCTGAAGGCACTGCGATTCGTTTTGTAAAGAATCTATTGAACCACACTCTTTAGACCTACAGTTTATTATATGTAGTTGCAATGTACCTGTTCGCAATTCGAGTGCGCAAGATGCCCTATAGAAGTCATCCAGATGAACTTACCCTAGTCTCAGTTTAATCTTATTTATATTACCTTTCTCTTCAATATAGATTCATATTGTTTTAAATTTAAGAGTAAGATTTCCCAAGGAAAGTTAAAAACCAGCCTTAGAGCAAATCAAGAAAATTCTTTAATTTTGATAATCATAACAAACCTCAACCACCTCAAAACCCATGCTTGGTTCAGTTTCTAGGGCTATTAAAGGCAACCATCCCGTCATTTGATGTTCTACAATCTGGATTATAAATCAAATTTTTCCTTGACAAAACTAGACCCCTTAATAGCTTTAAACTTGTCCCTGTGTTTTCATATCATAAACTTTAAAGCAGCAGATGGTTGCAAGCAAAAGAACCAGCTTTAGGCAAGTATCTACGGACAGCTATGTATGTAATTTAAAGGTAGAGAAGCTAAAGTAAATCATGTGAAGCAACTAAGTAATTGAACGTTGAATTATTCCTTATTAGAGTTCTCCAATCTGTGTGCCATGACACACTAGTGTGCCGTAGAAATTTTATGGAAATAACACGATCCGAAGCTGTGCGTGGTTGCTTAAAAAGTTTGTCCAACACTGTTCTATACCTTCCACATAACATATTGACATTTAAGTGAATCACGAATAATTTTATTTTGAAATATCCCGCAACTTTTCTCGCATCTTTCAAAATATTTCAAAGATTCAAAAAGTTTATTTTGTAAATAAACAAAAAATAATAATTCGTAAAACTTTCCAAAATATTTTAATCCTCCTTTAATAGCTCTACTTACAGTTCAATAATGGTTGAGGAAGGCACAACATACAAGAAGGTGAGTTATTGTGATTTTGAGAGTATTTTTTGCCAAATTCCAATTAAAAATTCAACAAAATCGAATATCAAATCTTCTGGAAATCTGGACAGGTTGTCTCTTTTATGTCTAATTCTAAGAACTAAAATCTAGTCGCTCTTGAAACTAGACATCAATCAGACAAATCATCAAACTGTAAATTAAACTTCAATCCCAATTCTCAACATTCTAGACCAAAACAGCACGTCCAAAAGCAGTCTACCTCTGGACAACAGCTGATGTAGTTAAATGGTACCGACGACATTGCTCAGAATATGGAAATGAGTATGCTGAATTGTTTGTAAAGCACGACATCACTGGAAGATCGCTCTTAAGACTCAATGATAACAGTCTGAAAAGAATGGGACTCACAAATGATGTAGACCGAGAAGCAATATTGAAGGAGATTCTCAAACAAAGGCTGAAGACGGACATTATGGAGATTCGGGATCTTGAGCATATGAACAGTGTTTATGAGAATTGTTTGAATGACACATAAAGCATAAGGTTGATGTCGACTTTAAGTTGATGTTGAACTTTCCAGACGTATTCTCAATTTAATTCAGACCCAGATTCATAGTTTTAGCTGTCAATACCTGTAATATTTAATAATAAGTCATACCCGGATCACACAAGACGGTTAATCGAATAGAAACGCAGCACCAAGCTGGTGTGATTCTGGCATGGTGTTGACTTCGATTTATATCCAGCACCATGCCAGAGTCACACCAGCTAAGTACAGGATTTCTGATCGATTAACCGACTTTTGCCATTCGGGATAAGTTTAGGTTGTTATGTCAAAAATCTTTATTTCTGAGGCAATTTTAAGGAACAATAAATCTTAAAAATTATAAATTAGAAGCTTATAAAGTATTGATTTGTTTGATGTTGTGGTTTGAGCTTCATAGTGATGCACAGATTTTGTTTCCGAAATGTTGATGATTTTGGTGATGTGGATCGAGCCTTTTTTTATAATCTTTGTAGGTTGCTCTGGATAAACGAAGTGACTGCTTCCAGTAAGAATAATAGAATATTATCAATTCTTAGGATCCAGGGGAGCTATCTTGGGAGCATTGCTAAGGTTTTGCAACTTGTTTACATCCTAACCATGTTAACCAGCAAGGAATAAACCCAAATCCATACCCATTGTCATAAACTACACTGTACATCAAAAAGCTAGATCTACGCTTACTAATCCAAGGAATTTCAAGTTCAATTTTAGACTAAACTATCGTCGCTTACAACTAGACTTGACTATTGTTTAGGAAGCTTAATTTAAACAACATAAATCTAAATTGCAGTAAAAGTAAATTTAAAATAAATAATAAATCCACAACTTAGCATCAAATAGTAAAATTAACACAAATTATTCCCAAAAAAATACACCAAACGGATCCAAAATCCCTAAATCCACTTGAATCAGCTTCATCACGATCAACAGTATCTTCAGCTTGTGTCACATTCAAGACAACTCCTTTCATAGCACTCTTCTCACTATGTGAAAGTCTGTAGAAAGCTCGATCGTTGCACTCATTTTTAACACCATTAATTAGCCGCACAACACTAGCACGATCTGCTGCATCTTCAGACACACACGATCCATTGAATGAATCCGACAGGTACAAAATCCTCAAATTTATCAAATAGTCAAAAACATTCACATTAATCCTCACAATTCGATTCTCACGAAGGTCAATAGCCTCAAGCATTAAATTATAAGCAAACAAGTGCTTTTCAATTGTCTCAATTTCATTGTCAAACAGGCACAAGTACTGCAACTGATCAAATGGAATTAAATTTTGTTGTCGAACTTCTCTCAAATTTGACATTGCAATCGCAATAAGACGAAGATTTGGAAAGATTTTCTCTAATCCATTCGGAAAGTAGTGCACTTCCGCAGATCTCGCATAAAATCCGACAACTTTTTCAGCATTTTTCCAGCTTTTATGTTCGCCGACTGCGTCACTGATTGGCATTTTTGCATGCGTAATAAACAAGTCGCGTTCAATATAACATTCGTAAATCTCACCGAGAACTGGCCATGGAATGCTGCTCGTGCGATACGAGCAATTTAGTGTGATGCCAAATGATGATGTTGCAATGGCTTTGTCGATGATTAGGGAGAAGATGAGGTATCTGTGGACGATAGAAAGAGAGAAACTTTGTGGAACTTGGGTTAAATTATCGGTTTTTTTTGGCAGTCACGACTGCATTTTTTGGCGAGTGTTAAAATTAAATAAATGTGTCAAAAAAGTTTGCGAATAAATTGAATGGGACTGTCTGAGTGCTTCTTTTTTGGGTTGATATGGCATTGAACATGAATTTAGATGATTATGAAGGTCGTGTAACCTCTCTGAGATTGATAAAATATGTTTGGATAAAGCTGTTGATACTTTATTTTTGGAAGATACATTTTTGAGTCGTTTTAGAATTTTTAAGCACTTTGAAGAGCTTTTGAATCAAAGAGGGTGATGAAGAATTGTTTATGGAATTCTAATGACATTATTTTGCTTATAAGCAGCTTGATAGGACTAGAAACTGGCTGTTGATAGAGACAGTATTACATTTATTTACTTACTTACTTCGTTGACCGTCAAGATCAATTGTGATCCATAGCATCCCTCAAATGTCGCCTAAAACTGGTTCTCTGGCTACCGCTTGCCAATTTCCTATACCAAATGCAATGCTGTCGCTATCAACAGCTTCCTTCCACGAGTTCTTTGGTCTTCCACGTGATCGCTTGCCATCTACAAAGTCAGACATGAAAACATTCACCAATGGAGCTTCCAGAGGTCTCCTCAATACATGTCCTGCCCATCGGAGCCTATTTACTATGATTCGTTTTACGATATCAGCTTCTGTGAAGAGCTGATACAACTCTGCGATGTTCCTGCACTTGAAAAGATCTCCTTTCTTCTTTGGTGCAAAGATGCCTCAGTATTACATTTGGTAAAGGATATTGGCAAGCGATAGTCAGTGATAGAGCTAGTTTTAGGCGGCATCCGAGGGAGGTCATGGATCACAATTAATCTGTAAGGTCATTGAAGTAGGCATATAAGGAAGTATAACCAGAAATTTGATTATTTCAAATGAAAACCAAATACTAGTGACACTTTTTGTGATTTCGAGGCCGCTATTTAACAGGCGAGGCTATTCCGAAGTCCTTTAAAATTTCTTTAATTTGTAAATTTTAAGAAAAAATAAGCCTTAATTTCCACGTCATTTGGAGATCGATTAAAAAGATTTGAAAGAAACTTAAAACTTAAGAATTCAGTTCTTAAAATCCTTCAACATTCAAAAATGTTCTCAAATATTTATTCTCTATTAGAGTCTAGTACATGATTAGTTTTGATAGGCTACATGTCGTTAAATTGTGTTTAATCAGCCAAATCTTCAAGTCTACGTCTTAAGCTGCTAATGTCTTCACTTTAAACTAGTGAGTTGCATTTAAAAGTGACTAGAGCTTTCCCATTAGTTAAAAATTAATTGTGCATTAAAAACATGGTATTTAGTATGAAGTATGCTTAGTTATTGAAGCTCCATTGTTCAGGAAACCTTTTGATTACTCAAGTTTTTACAAAACATGACACATGCTTCACACTGTCCACAAAGAACTCCAACACTTTCTTTTAATTAATTAAGCAAGCACAGCTTCCTGCAATATCTTAAAACAGAAATCATCTAGGCTTCCTTACCTCACCAATTTCACAATATTCCAAAAGCTTTGATCAATTTTTTTCCTTTTCATTTCTGTAAATTTGCAACACTTTTTCATTCTACGAGATTTTTATTAATACTGAAAACAAAATATTCACAAAATTGACCCGCAAATAGAGAACGCACATAGAAAATGACGAACAAATTCACATTAAATGATGCCGCGAGTAGGAAAAAAAATAAGCTTGGGGGGAACTGCCAATGCATAAACATTTGATAATGGATTAAATGTGAAAAAATTGAATGATTTTTTTGAGAGAGCAAAAATGAGATTTTTTTTGGAATTTACTCGATTATATTTTGAGATAAAATCATGTGGTCATGATAAATTGTGGATGAGGTATGAACGACCGGGTTGAATAATTGAAAATGAAAGTGAAATTTGAGAGTTTAATGATGACGAAATGCGATGGTTTTGTAAAAATATAATTGACTTTGTTTGCTCTCTGTCGGTCTCTATCGTTCCCTGTTCGGCTTTATTGCTCCTTGTCCGGTCCTATTGCTTCCTGTTCGATCCTATTGCTATTTGCCTGGCTCTATTGCTCCTAGACTGGCCCTATCGTTCCTTCTCTGCTTCCTTATTGCTTCCTGTTCGGCTTTATTGCTCTCTGTTCAGCCCTATTGCTCCTTGTCCGGTCCATATTGCTTTCTGTCCGGCTTTATTGCTCCTTGTCTAGCCCTATTGCTTCTTGTCTGGCCCTATTGCTTCCTGTCCAGCCTTATTGCTCCTTGTCCAGCCCTATTGCTTCTTGTCTGGCCCTATTGCTTCCTGTCCAGCCCTATTGCTCCTTGTCCAGCCCTATTGCTTCTTGTCTGGCCCTATTGCTTCATGTCCAGCCCTATTGCTCCTTGTCCAGCCCTATTGCTTCTTGTCTGGCCCTATTACTTCCTGTCCAGCCCTATTGCTCCTTGTCCAGCCCTATTGCTTCTTGTCTGGCCCTATTGCTTCCTGTCCAGCCTTATTGCTCCTTGTCCAGCCCTATTGCTTCTTGTCTGGCCCTATTGCTTCCTGTCCAGCCCTATTGCTCCTTGTCCAGCCCTATTGCTTCTTGTCTGGCCCTATTGCTTCCTGTCCAGCCCTATTGCTCCTTGTCCAGCCCTATTGCTTCTTGTCTGGCCCTATTGCTTCATGTCCAGCCCTATTGCTCCTTGTCCAGCCCTATTGCTTCTTGTCTGGCCCTATTGCTTCCTGTCCAGCCCTATTGCTCCTTGTCCAGCCCTATTGCTTCTTGTCTGGCCCTATTGCTTCATGTCCAGCCCTATTGCTCCTTGTCCAGCCCTATTGCTTCTTGTCTGGCCCTATTGCTGCCTGTCCAGCCCTATTGCTCCTTGTCCAGCCCTATTGCTTCTTGTCTGGCCCTATTGCTTCATGTCCAGCCCTATTGCTCCTTGTCCAGCCCTATTGCTTCTTGTCTGGCCCTATTACTTCCTGTCCAGCCCTATTGCTCCTTGTCCAGCCCTATTGCTTCTTGTCTGGCCCTATTGCTTCCTGTCCAGCCTTATTGCTCCTTGTCCAGCCCTATTGCTTCTTGTCTGGCCCTATTGCTTCCGTTCCAGCCCTATTGCTTCTTGTCTGGCCCTATTGCTTCCTGTCCAGCCCTATTGCTTCTTGTCGGTCCATATTGCTCCTTTCAATCACTGTTGTCTTCCGTCAGCCTCTTCTAGTCCCATTAAATCTCAATCCATTTCAGTCAATTTAATCGACCTTAATCAGCATCATCATTTCTCCTTATCGCAAAAAGCTCATATTCAGCAGCTTACTAATCATTATTTTCATCATCATAACAATCCCAATCATCATTCATTTATCGACAGACTCGAGAAATTTCATTTTTATGAGATATGAAGATGAGATCCGATTATGTCAACGTAAGCAAGAAACTATCGTCGATGAGGGTTCAAATGATTATTTTTTATCATTATTGTGATGTAAATTGAGAATTGACACAATGAAAGCTCTTTTGCTGAGTTGATAAAGATGAGGTGATGAATGTTGGAACTAGAAGAGAAATAAGGGAGTGTAGATGAGTGAAAAAGCTCTAAAGTCGTTGACTTAATGGTATCCAGTTTGATCTTTTTAAGATATTCACAGTCAAAGCCATGACCCTAGTCACCCTCATCCTTCCTCTGCCTTTGCTGAGTCTCCAAATCATTTTTTCAATGATAAATCGCATTATCAGTAAATGATAAACAAAAAATATTTCAAGTGCCTTAAATTGTCATAATCTTCAGTATTTTTGGTGCTTTAATCGAAGACGGATTGGAGAAAAATTAAAACAGAAAATGTTGAATAAAAGTAAGTGAAATATTAGAGTAGAAAAAACAAAGTCTTATAGCTGAACATTTTGAAAGAAGTTTAATGAAGAGCCCCTTAGCCTCCAACCAATTGGTGTCTATTCTGCACATTCTATAAAATTTAGAATCAATACTGATAAAATCAGTAAAAATTGAGTCATCAAAGGTTTGGCATTCGCTGGTTGAGACTTTTTTATGAATTTATAGATAAGGATAAGTGCTTCTACCAAAAATTAGTCATACAAAGTTCATGATTTGCTCATAAAAACCTTTTATTTACTCGCCAATAGTAATATCAACTTTAGTGACCTTAGCAGTCACTTTTAGTCCATCACACCAGCTTCAAAATCTTTGTGGATCAGATCCAGCTGTCACACATGTTGCAGATCCATCAAGCTGCCATCTTTACATAGTTTGTGATCGAATCAATGGTACTGTTGTTCCTCGTCATGCCTCATGCTTTGGTTCTAGTGCTGATTATGTCAATTCCGATGCTAGCAATGGCGTGTTTTGCATAAATTCAAATAGTCATTGTATTAGTCCTCAGTGGTTGTGTCCGAATGTACCGGAAGATGATATTATGGTAAGTCTGAGTATAGCTTCATCATTTGCTCAATTCTATTAATTCCTTACTTCTTTAGGTTGCAGATCCATACGACAGAAGCTGTCGCCGTCATCGACCATGCCGTAATTTAAGTGGAAACTTTTCAGAATGTTCAGGCTCACTTGTCTTTAACAGAAATACAGGATTATGTGACTTACCAAGCAATGCACCATGCAGCCGAGTTCCACTTCCAGTTCAATGTCCAGCAGGATTCACAGGCTTCTATCCTGGAAATTTCTGCTTTCAATATGTTTACTGTCAAAATGGAGGAGTTTTGTTGACTTTGGAGTGCAATGCTGGGATGTACTTTAATGAGGATGCAGGAAGTTGCTTGTATGATTCTGTGTATGATCCAATGTGTCCCAGAAGTTTGTGATTTTTGTCAAACAAAATGCTAAGCATATGCCAAAATAATCCTCAACCCGTCTTCATCTTAATTCAATTAAAACAAAAGAACATAAAATTTCACTTCATAAACCCGACATTAATTACATCAAGAACATCCTTTACATCCTTTTGTCTCACACTAATCCTCCATTAAAGGCTTAAAGTTCTCTCCCACATACCCATCGTGTTGAACATTTATTCACTTACAAGTCATTTTGAATGTCAGACGATAGACTATCAAGTGGCGATGTTTCAAGTTACAATGTAAGTGCTGCTCATAATTAAATTGTTGTGATTATTTTGTCAGAATTTTTTTAAAATTTTAAAAACTTTAAAACAATTTTGAAAATCTTAAACTATTTAAAAAGTTAAAATAACATCAAAAATTTAAAAAACAATAAATTAACCCTCAAAAAAGGTTTTAAAATATGAAATTTTTAAAAAATTAAAAAATAAAATAAAAATGTTAAAAGTTATGTTTATTATTTGTCAGACTCTTAAGAGATATGACACTGCAATACAGTTGGATGAAATAACAATATAAGACTTAGATAATATGAAACGAATACATTAATTTGAGTATGATAATCGAATAAGAAACTATTCGAAGAATAATATCGATTTAAATTATTTGAATTTTAACGGTCTTAGAAATTTTGAACTAATTTCAGTTCTAAGTTTTTAGCACACAGAATAACAAGTGATAGTTTGAGAATTTTAACTGTTGTTTTAACTGTTAATTGACTAAAAACATTAATTAATCCTGAGTAAGAATAATTACTAAATGATTGACTGTGACCTAGAAGCCATCAAGAAATACGACGATTATGGAATTGATCAGCAGCAAAAAGCAGGTCTATGCTAAGTTAAAGTTTAACAAATTAAAAAGACCAAAAAAAAAGCTCAAAAAATTTTAATAATAAAAAACTTTAAAACTGAAGAGTCAAAAAAAATTAAAAAATAAAACTGTGAAATTTAAAAAACTTAAAAACCTACAAAAATTGTAGATTTCAAAAAGTAAAATTATACAAAAATGCAAATTTAAAAAATTGAAAATATAAAAAATTGAAGATTAAAAAAATTGAAAACTTAAAAAATTGAAAACTTATTAAAATTGAAAACTTAAAAAATTAAAATAAAAAAGTTGAAAATGTAAAAGGCTTCAAAATTAAAAAAAATAAAAAATTAAAAAATTTCAAAAAATCCAATCAAGGACTTCCATCCAAACACAGCATAAAGACACACAAAAAGACATTATATTCCATTTTAATTTTCTTAATGATGCTTTTATTGCTCCGACTTTAAACATAAATCTTCCAAATGTGTTCCTGTCTCAATTTCAGTTTGTAGCAACAACAAACAAGTAGCTCGAAAGATTGAATAACAAAAAAGCAATTTTTGGCGGTGCTTTTTAGAATCCTCATGTGAATTTCGAGGTTTGTCTGTTGCTTGTTTAGATATGCATGGGTTAATGTATATTTGGAATAGATGAATGGGAGAAATCTGGATGAACCCAACCCACTCCAAAAAATATTCAATTCCTCATCAACAGCATCCCACGTCGATACATTAAACTGCAGTAAATAAACTTTCCTTGAAAGAGTTCAACCGATCTGACCGAAGTCATCCATCTTTTTCTCACATCGATTGTAAATCTCTTTGAAAGGTCATTAAAGCTTTATTGCAGTTCATGTTCTTGCTTTTGTCTTATTTCATTCAATAATGTTGCTTCGGGTCGTTTTTATTTAATGAAATGTTTTAAGTAAATAGTTATTTAGCAACATAATGATATGTAACAGTGGATGTGGGTGCAGGGCTATGAACATAGCCATGGGAGGATCAAAGTATAGTTTTTAATATGTTTTATCATATTTCATCAAACTACAAATACAAAAATAGCATCAGATTAATTCAAATAATCATACACATGCATGCATGCCATAGAATTTGCATAAAGTTCCAATTTTATGTTATTACTGATCATTTAATGACTGGAATTATTTTTAAGGTAGATGAGATATTGGATGCACTGTGAAATTGGTTGTTTTGATGAAAACTGAAATAAATTCTATGTTGTTCGAACATTAGCAGATTGTGCAGTTTGAGAGAGTTATAAATTTTTAAAACATTTTATTTTCAATTGTTTTAAAATTCAAAAAAAAATTATTTTTAAACTTTTTTCAATTTTTTGTTACAATTTGTCAATATTTTTTAAAATTCATTTCAATTTTCTTTTGAATTTTTGACGTTTTTCAAATAAAATGCTTAAAAAAATCACAAAAAATTGAAAAATGCGCTCTAGCCACACGCATATTAACATTTTTTACTTGTCCAGCATAATTTCAATTACATTCATTCTTTCACAAATAAATCCGATATAAAATTTCAGTTCAAAAAACAAATACTTGAATATTTCAATTTTTCGACTATTCATTTTAATTATGATAAATCTAAAATAATCAGTTCCAAATGTGGTCGATGTGCAAACATCATTAGCTTAATAGCATCGCTTAATTAAATCAGCTTGTGGATTTTTCGACAATTATTTTATTTTGTATCTGGTTTTGTAGGGATAAAAAATTACTTTTTGTTGAGCAATTTTATGCATTTAAATATTAATGAATGGGCGAGTGCAAATGAAATGCAATAAAATAACTTTTAATTGAGATTGTTAAATTATTTTTAAATTGGTAGAGCTTCACATGAATGTGAGAGTTTGGTGAGAGATTCATATTGCTATTAGACACCGATGACAAGCATGGCTCTAGTTTCTATAAGTTCAATTGGCTTTGAAAGCTAAAATTCTTAAATTGTGGTCAAATTTGAAGCTTCATTTGGATTTCTAACGTTAGAGTCATATTCAGGAGCCATTTAAGATAAACTATGGATCCATGAACTTCATGTTAATTACTACAGCGTGTGAATTATAGATTTAACAACATTTCATACCAAACATATCAGAAAACTTGGTCCGAATTAAAAATATATATTTGGGGCCATTCACTTATTACGTAACGCTTTTAGGGGGAGGGGGGGGGGGGGGTCTAAGATTTTGTTACGGTTCAAACAAGGAAATTTTTTTTTCATACAAATTTTGTTACGAGGGGGGGGGGGGGGGGGGTCTAAGAAGTCATTTTTTCGCGTTACGTAATAAGTGAACAGTCCCTTTTTCATGGCTTCTGTTTACATCCCAATACTGAAGATTAGCCCTCTTTAAGTTCTGCACTCCTACTACGTTCGTACATGGTTAAGGTGACCAGATATTTTTTGAAAGCAAAGTGGACCTGAAAGTAAACTATTATCCCATGTGCCGACTACTTTTATTTGTTTTCTGGACGAATTAGAACCAAACAAAACTATTTTTTGAAAATGAAAAAAAAAACTGTTCTTTGCAAATCAAGCAGATGGTCAGTCTATACATGGTTTACATTTGACAAAAAAAAACACCTATTGTCTCAAGGGGCCGTTCACTTATGACGTCCAAGGGAGGGGGGGGGGAGATGGCAAAAAAAGAACAATAGAAATTCGAGGAAATCCATTGTTCTTTTTTTGAAAAATGACCGTTAATTTCGGACATCATTAGTGAACGACCTCCAAAGGAATTAATTATTTATTGAATTTGCATTCCTTAGACATAAATCGTCACTGGAATTCCCAGTTTAGATTGATAAATTATTAATAAATAGCAAGTATATTGTAACAGCAACTAGGTTGCATTGAGCTACAACAACAATTGCACTATTAATGATTTTGTAGAATACTTTAAATTCACGTGTAAATGCTTTAATTAGTGAGTCACACTTAATTTCCTTTTGCACTTTTAAAACTTGATATTGATGCTGAAAAACCTGTTTAAGAACTTTAAATCGATGAAATTAGTTACATTTGACGTTCAGTCATCTATCATCTGTTGAACAAGTCAAAGCTTAGAATTATTGAGGAAGTACAGTGGAATTTAAGTTGCTCAATTCAAGTACTTACGAAAATGATGAAAATTACATTATTTTTCATTATTTCAACAACTTTGGTCATCACAAATGGAGCACCACAGCATGATTATCACACAAAAGATCAAAACCTAGCCTACAAATTAGGAATAAGAACCACAAAAGGAAGTTTTAAAGATCACAGCAACGAAAGCTCTGAAGAACAGTCTGTTGAGTCTGACGAACATCATCGAAATCATGACAATTATGAAGACAGTCATGAAGGCTCAGATGAATCTGAAAGCTCAAGTTTAGAGCATAAAATTGAAAACTTGAACAAACATTTGAATAAAAAGATGAACAGAATTACAGCTTCAAACATTGCAAAAGGTAAAGAAGCAGCATCTAAAGGAAACACAGATTCTCAAAATAGAAATACGGAATCAAGTCATGTCGAGTCAAAGCAAACGGAAAATGAAAATTTCAACAGCATTAAACCAAATGAAGACATGGAAGGGCCAAATGGTGCTGGAAACACTAAAATCACTCCTCAAGATCAAGTCACTGAAGATATATTCTCAATTTTAGACCAAACAACATCTAGACAAACAGGAGATAAAGCCTTACTCGATCCTAGAATCACAAAACATCTAAATCGAGGACAAAGTCCTTCGAGAAAGCGCAGACATATCTTTGGTGATGGCTTTAGTTACGGATATACGATATATCATTACATTGTTCCACAAGATTATGACTATGGACACATCTATCATGTACCACTTCATACTTCATACTCTTATGTTCCATTTACACCATCACCAATCCCAAGAACACTAAGACCAACTTCTCCATGTCATCATGGTCATCATGGAAGCAACGGCTCATCTGATGAGAACAATGGCAAACCTGGATGGACAACAACCAATCGACCAGATGAAAATGCTGTTATTCCACTTGCAACTACTCAAAGTCCAATAAATATTAAACCTACTGAAAGTTTCTTGGAAGAAACTGACAATACAGAATATCCACAGGAGGTCCTCAAAGTAACTGAAGCACCTGATACAACTGATACAACTGACAATATTTTTATTAATTTGTTTGGCACTGAATAGTCCTGGAGATTCCTTTTGTATAATATTTAATAAAAGATTCTAAAATAAAATTAAATTAATCAAGAAAATTTCAAACAAAGAATAACAAAAGCTTAATAAACTTAGTTTTTCATGTCTGTAAATTCTTGAACAATGTCTTGTCAAGAAATGCCAAAGAGCAAATTATGTTTTCTTCTAAAAATCTTTGATCCTTTTGTCTTTTGTTTTTATTGAAATTTCTTGAATTTTCTTATTAATTATGGACAAGATGGTATTGTTTTATTTGCTAAACAATAATGGAAGTAAAGGAATTTAAAGAAAAGCTCAAAAGAAAAAAATTTGTTGGATATATGAATGATATGTGTTTTTCATGGAGATTTGGTTGTTGATATATTATGAAAGACGACACCAAAGATAAGCCTTGCATTTACCACTTTTGTTCAGTAGTTTTTGCATCAGTGTTCTGCTTCTTTTGTGCGTTTAGTAACGTTTGCATCACTTTTCTACATCTCTTGTGCGTCCAGTAATTTTATCAACACTCTTTTGCATCTCTTGTACGTTCAGTAGTTTTTGCATCACTTTTTTGCTTCTTTAGTGCGTTTAGTAACTTTAGCATCACTTTTCTGCCTATTTTGTACGTTCAGGAATTTTTGCATCACTTTTCTGTATCTTTGATAAAACAAATGGCAAAATAATGTTTAAAAAACTTTTTTTTTAAAAAAAATAAGTTTTAAAGTTCTCAGAAATTGAAAAATAGAAGTTAAAACATTCTTAACACCCACAGAATATTTCAATCTATATCATTTCTCAACCTCATCTTATCTTCCTTTATTTGCACATTCCATTTTATTTCAATTCATTCGCTCATTAATGAAGGTACATCAACCTACAGCAAAAATTTTACATCACCAACAATTTGCCATATTTCCTCAATCTTATACCTCCCCATCCAGAACATACACATTATGTCTATACATTGTGCTTATCGTTGATGATGAAAAAGATTCTTAAGAAAAGGAAAGCAAAAAAAATTCTATTAAAAAAGATGATTACATCATGAAGCTTTACAGACGTTATCAAGGATGTTATGTACACCTACCCAACTGATATTTCTGCTTCCTTATGTCTTATAGTGAGAGATAAGACTCGTGCTTTTATTTTATTATGATGATATCTCATAAAGATATTACTTACGTTTTATAATATCTGCTTACTTGCTTATTTATGGATGACGTTGATACTGACCGAGGGGCTGATGTGAAGATTCAGCATATTTATTTGTATTGATATGTTGGGTTTTGCATTTGAAGCAATTTGTTTAAATTCTTCTTGCGTCCAGGAACTTATTTATTAAGTTTTCGCATCTTTTGTGTGTTCAGTAATATTTTTTTACATCTCTTGTATATTAAAATTTTTTGCCTCTTTTAAATCTTTTACATCTTTTGTAAGTTCAGTAACATCTTTTGCATCTTTTGCTTCTTTTGAATCTTTTGCATCTTTTGAATCTTTTGCATCTTTTGAATCTTTTGCATCTTTTGAATATTTTTCATCTTTTAAATCTTTTGCATATTTTGAATCTATTGCATCTTTTGCGTGTTTAGAATTCTTGCATCATTTGTGTATTCAGAAATATTTTCTTGCATATTTAGTGCGTTTAATAATATCTTTTGCATCTTTTGTACGTTTAGAATTTTTTATGCATCATTTGTGAGTTCAGTGATCTTTTGTGCGTTCAGTAATCTTTTTTGCATATTTTGTGCGTTCAGTAATTTTTTTTTGCATCTTTTGTATGATCAGAAATGTTTGTCATTTGTTCGCATCTTTACTCATTAAATTTTTTTTTTGCAACACTTACGTGTTCAACGTCTACTCTGCGTCAGCTTTGCGTTCAAAACCTCAATAATCATAAACTTCTCGGGATCATCGTGGTTTATTTACGAATCCTCGTGTTAAGCTTCAGCATCCTCAAGTGAATTGTCTTCCTTCTTCCATCCATTCATTTCTTTTAGCTTTGAAATTATGTGCGAAGAACCTTTTTTTTTCCTTTCCATTCCACATTTTCATCATCATCATCATCTACTTCATATTTTCATGTCTTCCTGCCATATACACCTTGCTTAGTTTGTATCTACATTTACCATCATTGCTTGTATCTCGCTCTCTGTCTCTTATTAATTTCCATTTTCTTTTTAAAAAAAAACCTTTTGTTTCTCCCATGTGAGGAATTCCATCCTTTTCATGTAGTTCACGTATTTATTTGTATGGAAGCTTCTAGTCACATTTAGGTACATATAGTCACATCATCAGTTTGTTATGTGAAAGGTGAGAATTTTTCTAGAATGTTGATCAGGTATTGGAAATATTGTGGATGAATTCAAGGGAAGGAATGTTTGAGGTTCCGTTGGACTGACGGTTTAAAGTAGGTATGAACAATGTTAGTAAACTGAATTTTCAATGAAAATCTGCAAGTTCAAATTTTTATATCCAGTAAATTTCAAAGAAATTTCTCAATTTGAGCGGCTTTTTGACAAAAATTGAATTTTAAAATTTTCATGTATTTCTGTGTTTCAGATTGAATGAATTCTTGATAAAAAAAAGTATTTTTGAGCTTTCCTGAGCTTTCTGAATAAATGGAATTTAATATCCCGAATTCCTCAAATTTTGACCAGTTCAAGTGGACTTTTTTGGTATCATGCACAAAAATCAACTTCATGCCCCATCAGTTAAATGATTTTCAATAAAAAGCAATATCATATTCTTCATTTCTGTTCATAAATTCACTGTCAGTCATTGCGCGACACAAAAATCTGATTGTCGTGTGCCATAATTTCACATTATCGTATGCTTATGCCATTATAGCCCGATATATGAGAGACATACGTACAAGTTTAATGATATTAACATTAACATTTTCAGCAAGGTGAGGAAGACGATAGTAGTTGAGGAAGGAAATGGAATGTTCGATGTGGAATGGCTTGTTGTTAAAAATTAACTATGCAGAATGTGCAAGGATTGATTGTTGTGGTCGGTTTGGGTGTCAAAGTCATGATTTGATTATTTGAGAAGGTTGGAAGTGTCAGAGTGTAGTTGTTGATATATATTGATGGAGATCGCTGGTTAGCAGGAGGGAAACTTCATGGCAGGGACTAAAAGGCCTAAACACATGAGCAGGAATATGGTACTGAGTTAATATCTAAGACCAATCAATTTGAGACTATATAGATTTTAATTTCATAACGTTTGGTTATCCTACGAGTCCTAGCATCTAAAAGTGCCAAAATCTTACTTCTAAGGCAGTGTTGTTCAAACTTTTTTCAGCCACGGCACACTTTGACTTTGGATATTCTTTCACGGCACACCTAAGGATGTCCTTAGTGTGCCACAGCACGCAGTTTGGACAACACTGTTCTAAGGCAATCCAAATCCATTATTTTAGAGTAACTCTAGCATGAAGCCAGACAATCATTTCTTAAACCAATACCCAGCCATCAATGACTAGTCTTATCCTCAAATCATGCGCCCTAACCTCAAAAAAAAATTTAAAAAAACCTTCCGAAAACTCAACTTTATGTAAATGAGTGAAAAATTAAGCAACAAAATACACGACACAGCATGTCACTTAATATTCCAACAGGGAGTGCACACACATTCAACATATAATTCATATCCATAATATCAGAATAGGAAATGAAGCCACCAAACATGAATTAAGGATGTAGTATGAGGCATCAACAAAAAAGGAGAGCAAAATTTAAAGCATAAATGATGTTGAAAAATTTTACGTTATATAAAATTTTGAATTTCGATTAAGTTCAAAATTAATTCAATATTTTCAAATTCCAAAAGTCTGTTAACATGCCAATAATTTTGCAATAATTTAATGCCTCTTTCACTTTAATCAATTAAAGTATACATATATTTTAGACAATTTCATTGATAATTTTAATATTTCGTTAACTTTACTATGACTTTGATCATTAATGCGCTTCTGTAATGAGTTTGTAATCAATTTTATACTTGATCAGTCTTTTTAAATCGTTTTGTTAACTTGTGAAGTCGCATCAAGTTACGTTTTATAAAAAATTAATTAATTAAGCCATTTGTAGGCAACAATTTTTATATAGACAACTTACCTAGACACCAAAGAGTAAGAAAATATCAAATTGTATTGATTTAAGGCATTAAATTAATTATTTCCAATATTTTTCTCATATCCACCTTTTCAGGTGAATTGAGCCTAGAAATTCAAAAATTAAATCAGGTTATTTTGTGAATTAAATTCACTGGCATTGATAGAGGAAATATATATTGAGGAACAGCCAGGAATTGAATAAATTTTGATGAGGAACAATAAATAATTAATAATGACTGGAAATATCATGGATTTTCTTTTCATTTTGGATCTACAGGCTCTATAATCGACGTCAAGTAAGTTGTTCTGTGAATTTGGGTTAAATAAGGCATAAAAGATGAGTTTTTGAGACAATATACAGCAAGTTAAAAATTTAACCCCATAAAAATTAATTTTGTGATTAAGATCAAATTAATTTTTTAACACTCAATTCACTCTGGATTCACATTGGATGTAGTGAAGTGATATAATACATATAATTGAGAAGATATTAAGCATCTAAGTGCATTCTCATGAAGATTTAAAGAAAATAAAAACATCCAGTAAAAAATTGTGAGATCCAGAGAAAAAACATCCAGTGAAATTTTTTTAAAGATACAGTTGAATATTTATAGCACGTTTTTGTATTTGATAGTTTGTGCGTTTTATGAAAGAATTTGGACGATTATATAAGTCAATTTGTTAATTTGAGATATTTCATTTAAAAAAATATATATTTTATAGCAAATAGTACGTTGATATTACTAATATTTGAAAATTATAGCAAGTTTAAATTGCAAAAGTTCGTTAAATTATTGTGGACATAATTATTAATTGTGAATCAAAATCAGATGTTTGTTTGAAAAAAATCAATTTAAACTAAATAATTAATGATTGTTTAAGTGAATTAATGTGTTCAAATGATAAAATAACGTTGTGAGATATAGAAAAATTCTCGAAAGTAAGAAATAGTGTACGATTAAGATAATT